CTCTTTTCTTTACCGGCCCATCCTGCTCCTGCTCCTTCTCCTCCTCCTCTATCCTCTTTTGGAACTGCTTCAGTGGGAAGTTATAAAGCTCGCCGTACGTTCCGCTCTGTAGCCGCTGCAGAAGCTCCTTCTCAATGGCCTGGATAGGAGAGGATAGTGGAAGGGTAAAGGGAAGCAGATATACTTTTATATGCAAATTAATACATATTATTAACTGTAATAAGAAGTCGCAACAAGTGTAAGCCCCATCCATGACCATCAACCCCCTGGACTCACCCTATCAATCTTGGCAGCCGTCTCTACCTTGGCCTCCCTCTTCTTGTGCCGCTTCCTCATCTTTGTCAGCACCATCACCAAGACAGACATCCAAACAACTCCTACCCACAACAACCACCCTCCCTCTCGTCCTCTCACCCTATCAATCTTGGCAGCCGTCTCTGCTTTCGCCTCCCTCTTCTTGTCCCGCTTCCTCATCTTTGTCGGCATCATCACCAAGACAGACATCCAAACAACGTCTACCCACAACAACCACCCTCCCTCTCGTCCTCTCACCCTGTCGATCTTAGCAGCTGTCTCTGCTTTCGCCTCCCTCTTCTCGTCCCTCTTCCGCATCTTTGTCGGCATCGTCACGAGCTTGGGCCTGACAATGTGAAGGGAGGGTGTGTATGGGAGGGACGAGGGGGGAAGGGGGGCAGGGAAGAAGTGGGTTTAGGGGGTTGGGGGAGGGGAGGGGATGGGTTTGAGTCAACTTGAACGCGCTTAGTTAAAAGTGTATTGACAGAAGCTTGGGTCTGAGGAGACGCGGAACGACTCATCTCTCTTGGCTGCACTGCACTCACTGTATTTTGACCCCCAGTCGTCGCATGCGAATGAGGTACTGAGTCAGGTGAGTGAGTCGAAGCTTCAGTTAAGGGGTGCTCTGACAACCAGGTGAGACAAGTTCACTTCTCTGTGCTGCACTCACTGTATTTTGACTGCCAGTCATCGCATGCGAATGAGGTACTGAGTCAGGCGAGTGAGTCGAAGCTACTTATCTCTGTTGGCTGCACTGCACTCACTGTATTTTGACCGCCAGTCGTCGCATGCGAATGAGGTACTGAGTCAGGTGAGTGAGTCGAAGCTTCAGTGGAGGGGTGCTCTGACAACCAGGTGAGACAGGTTCACTTCTCTGTGCTGCACTCACTGTATTTTGACAGCCAGTCGTCGCATGCGAATGAGGTACTGAGTCAGGCGAGTGAGTCGAAGCTTCAGTGGAGGGGTGCTCTGACAACCAGGTGAGACAAGTTCACTTCTCTGTGCTGCACTCACTGTATTTTGACAGCCAGTCGTCGCATGCGAATGAGGTACTGAGTCAGGCGAGTGAGTCGAAGCTTCACCAGCGACACCATGCGAGGCGGCCACCATTGCTGGAATGCAAAAAATGGGGACGCGGGAAAAGGAGAAAAATGGGGAAATTAATGTTTCCGGGACACATAGATTGTAGATGGAAGCTTGATGTAAAAGCGCATAAACTTTTGACAAGATGGTGCAGTTAAGTTGCAGAACTCAACCCTGTTGATTCTACCATGTCTTTTTTTTTCAAATTATCAAGGAAATTCACCCGTTCTGACCAATTTTTGAATTCCGAGAAAGAACACACTCACCAGAAATTTATCCACTGCTTCCAGAGCTTTGGTGTAGTTTCTCGGAAGCTTCACTCGCTCCCAGAGCTTATTGGGCATGTGCGCCCTCTCAATGGTCTTCATGTAGAGGTACAGCTCGCCTGTTTGAATTTGTGTCAAACAAAATGGGATATTTTATGGAAAATTCTTAGAATGGAAAAATACAGCGAGAAAGGAGCAGCGAGTGGAGGCATAGCGAGAGGGTGAAGAAGGTCAGGGAGGAGGGGATAGAGGGGGGAGGAATGGGCGGATTGGGGGGGGGGGGGGGGGGAGGGGGAGGGGAGAGAGGGGGGGGGGCGGGGAGGGACTCAAGGCACTACCATCGTGTTCTCGCACTGTGGCGTAGCGGCTGTTGGCCAATGGGCACACGCCACGTTTGCAGATGGCGTTCAGGTTGAAGGGGTGTCTGCAGAACGTGTCCGTCTGCTGCCTGCACAGGCCAGATTTGCACAAACGGACGTGGTGAAAACGGACACAAAGGATTTTCGCACAAAGAATTTCGAGTTTGCGAAAACGAGATTTTGAAATTTTCTAAGACGCGAAAAAAAATTATGTTTGGTTCCTCCACTAAGCGAATCTGGAGCAGAGCAGGGTTTAAGTGCAGGGGTTTCTGGTTGAAGGTTTAAGTTTCATAAGGGTCGGGATCGGAATGGAGAAATAAAAGACGTTAACGGGAGATGCGCGCCTACTAAAACGATGGCCGACGCATAGAGACAAGCGAGCACGGAATGTTATGCTCCGGAAATATTGAGGACGCACTTGACTCGGTAACTGCAAGGGCCTTTCCCAACGAGACCCCAGATGACGTCATCGTGCTGCATGGCCGCGTGTTCCTCTTCCCCGCGCCCTGACCGCACCTAGACACCTCGCGTCGCGTGCTTCTCCTCGTCAGATTCGACTAAGGAAAGAAATCGCCTAGTTCAATCAACAGTTCCCTCAAGTCGCTCAGCCGCAACGAATCGACAAGCAGAGCGTGAAGGAAAAGAGCCGTGCTCGGGAACTTTCCTCCAGGCGCTGCGATCGGCTCGGTGAAACGAATAATGGGGCTAAATTTAACTGGGATAGGCGATACAAGCTACCAGAATGGCTAGACGGAAAATGGCGATCGCTGCGGTCGGTGGCTGAAGCAGGGGAGTTGATCGCTCAGTATGGGGGGAGGGGTGTGTGAGGCCAGGAGGGGAGTGTCGATACGGGCTGTTCCGAGATACCAATAATATGCATGGAGGTTGGATGAAACAAAATCCGTCACAACTTTCCATATTTAGGTCTCATTATATAAATGTGCGTTAAAAACTGCCATAAACGTTGTTTCTGAACCTCGGGTCCTGCAACAAAAGTGGATTGAGAAACTAGGCCTTGCAAGATCGCGATTCTACAATCATTTGCAGGGCTGCTGCACCTCCTCCTTACAAACCGGACAAACCTGCAATACACACCATGCACAAAAAGGATGCGAGTACGCCTATTAGTTCCCTGTTACCAAGGCATGAACTGCACGCATGAGATAGTAACTCCGAGCTTTTACGTGCAGCCAATCACGACACTGAGCTAACATGCAACGTAACATGTATTCTTGCATGACACGGCGACTTCAAAGATGCAAACCAGTATCCCATCCATGGGCAGAGGCCAGGCGCAAATCAGGCACTGCACATGACAGGTCAAACCCTCACCTTGTTGCGACCCAGCCACTGCACAACGCACTCCTCAAGGTACGAGTGATGGCACGGTGGCAGCAGCAGCAACTCCTCTCCTTCCCTTGCGCTGTTGCACAATGCTTGTAGACAAGCGAACCACCTCAACCTAAGTCTCACCTTGTTGCGACCCAGCCACTGGACAACACATTCCTCATGGTAAGAGTGATGGCACGGTGGCAGTAGCAGCAACTCCTCTCCTTCCTCGTACTCCAACTGACAAATAGCACACCTGAGAGTCATATCAGAGGACAGGGACCACGTGAGAATAATCGCCAACACAATATGATGATCACGAGGTGCCTGAGCTTCTCCTCTTCCTCTTACTCCAATGGACAGATGGCACACTCGAGGGTAAAAATGCACAATGATGGTGAAAAAAGGGGAGAAACTAAGGCGCTTGAAAACCACTAATGGTGCACAGAGCTGCCATCCCACGGTTCAGTGTACTTACATGTCCTCTCCTCGTCTCAGGGGTGTCTTGGTACTGTAGGCGACACGTGGCAGAGTGCCAATGGTTGCTTCTGACAGCCCCTTGCTCTCTGTTCCAATCACCTCTCCCAGTGCAGTCAGCTCCTGCAGAGCACACGTGGCATAGAAAAGCGGGCAGGGTCGGGCTACAACATTCCTCTTTCCTCTCTACGCAGCTCAGACATCCCAACGCCCAATCACATCCCCCAATGCAGTCAGCTCCTTCAGCAGAGCACACGTGGCGTTGTAAAAGAAGGATCAAGTCGCAACAGGCGTCCTCTTTCTCGACCCACCTCACTCACGGGTACCACACCTTCGTTAAAAGAGAGTGACGGCTGAAGCTCACTGCAACTCTTTCTGGTGAGAAGACCAGTCACGTCTTGCAGTGCCTCAAAACACCTCAGGCATCGCACCTCCTTCCATCCTCACACTTCACCTCTCTTGTACCATGCCATGCCACATGTCCAGCCTACTGTACTCGTGATGAGCATCTACGGATAGAGATGCTCAGGGTTTAAGGCTTCGGGTTTAAGGCTTCGGGTTTAAGTCTCATTAGGAAGAGTTCTCCTCACCTCATACGTCATCTCGAAACATCCAGTGCATCTTCATCCAAATCTGCCTTTGAGTCGACTCAAGGCCAGAGCAGTCAATTCTCACCTCATACGTCATCTCGTCTACATCCAATGCATCTTCATCCAAATCTTCCTCTTCACCATCCTCCTCCTCCTCCTCATCCCCTTCCTCCGAATCCTCATCACCCTGCGAGCACAGCACAGGCACATAAGTTGACACACAGATGCAATTAAGGTGGCCATATAGAGGAGCAGACATGGTTAGAGACTCGGTACGCCAAAAGCAAGGCCTCGAATCCACACAGTCAGCTCACCTCTGCCTCGCCAAACGGCCAGGGAATCCCGTGTGCTGCTGCCAGCATCTCTGCTCTCCTCCTCGAGCTGGACCCTGCAGCAACAAGGAGAGGAACAAGTTTCAGACCAGGAGAGGGCTTCTTTTTAGTAGACTCAAAAGGCCGAAGGATCTCGTGTGCTGCTGCCAGCATCTCTGCTCTCCTCCTCGAGCTGGACCCTGTGTCAATGACACAGGAGATTGAGATTCCGGGCAGGAAAGGGAAGGGCGCCAGCAGATGTCAGCTGAATACACGGCTATAATCACTATAATTTAAAGCTTAGGACGCGTCATACTGCCGCAGAGCTGACTAACGCCACGCCCAGCAGGTTGGCCTGGCGCACCTCGCCCGTCGCCTACTTAAAACCCAGCCATGGCCATCAGCCTGCGCGCCATCTCGCGCTCTTCCTCCTCCTCCTGCAACGCTGTGACTCTCGTGTCGACTCTATAATCCACCTAGAACTGGCTACACACGACTGTGACGCACCTCGCCCGTCGCCCAGTTGAAGCCCAGCCACAGCCATCAGCCTGGGAGCCATCTCGAGCTCCCCCTCCTCCTGCAACGATGCGGCTTTCGAGTCGACTCTAAAGTTCACCTAGACCTGGTTACCACCCACCCGCCAATGGCGACAGTGACGCATCTCGCCCGTCGCCCAGGTGGAGCCCAGCCATGGCCATCAGCCTGCGCGCCATCTCGCGCTCCTCCTCCTCCTGCAGCGTTGTGCCTTTCGAATCGACTCTAAAACCTAGAACTGGCTATACCCCCCCCACCGATGGCGACTGTGACGCACCTCGCCCGTCGCCCAGTTGGAGCCCAGCCATGGCCATCAGCCTGCGCGCCATCTCGCGCTCCTCCTCCTCCTGCAACGCGCGAGCAAACGCCTCGTCATCCTCATACGCTGCCTCCGCTGCCTCGTCTGCCTCCCCACCCCCTGCCTCCCCTCCCGCCCTTGCCTCCCGTCCCTCCCCATCTCCACCCGCTACCTCTCCCTCCCCTTCGCTTCTCACGCGAGACGCTCCCTGCGCTGCTGCTACCCCCCTGATGGCTCCTCCAGCATCGATTTGCCCATCCCTGGCGACGCCTGAGACGTTCTCAGAGGTCTCCGGTTCGAGTCCAAGCAGATCCACTTCGCTTGCTGACTCGCGTCCTGACTCGTCAGCAGCTTCGCCTTCTCTTTCGCCATCCTCGCCAGCTTCGCCTATTTCAACATCCTCTTCGCTAGCTTCCTCCCACTCGCCGTACTCATCGTCCTCCGCATCCTCAAACTCCTCTTCCTCATCCTCCTCATCTTCAAGCTCCTCGCCCTCGCTCAGCAGCACAATGGGACTATCTGCAGAAGAGCCTGTCTGACGATCCTGACGGTCTTGACGGTCTTGACGGCGACCCTGACGGCCTTGACGGCCTTGTAGGCCTCTGGATCTGTCTCTAGAGCCAGCGCGAGAGCTGGAAGCTGACGTTGACGCTGACGCTGCTGCTAAGGCTTGCTGGTGGTAAAGCATCATGAATGCACACTCCTGGGAAAAAAAAAGCCAGAACAAATGAGTACAACAACAACCGGGAGAATCAAGGCGAACCCCATAAAATTAAAAGCGAAGCCAGCCTGTCCGCCCTAGATTTATGCGAAGCCGACCTGCCTCTGTTAGCTCTATGTGAAGCATACCTGTCTGTCTTAGATCAGTGCGAAGCCTACCTGTCATTCTTAGATCATCGCGAAGCTTACCTGTTTCTCTTAGATCATCGTTAAGTCTATCTGTCTTTCTCAGATCATCGCGGAGCCTACCTGTTCCTGAATCGCACGAGCGAGAGCCAAATCAGCCTCCATCTGGCTGCTCTCCGTGAACGGAGTCCGTCGACGACTTCCGCCTTCGCTCCCTTCCTGACCGTCTACCTCGCCGTCTTGACTGGCAACCGTCTCATTCAGCTGATCTCCAACATCCCCTGATACGTCTGGCCGTTCAGCGGAGCCGGGAGGAGAAGAAGATTCACCGGCCTTGGCTGACTTGCTCGATACTCCATCATCAGACTTATCAGACGACCCGTTCCTGGCTCTAGATGGACCATTCATGGCTTCAGGCGAATCGCTGGATTCAGCAGCTGTCGTAGGAGTCTGCTCTTCCGGATGGTGATGCCTACTGGATGAACCCATCACAGAGGAAACGAATCCCTCGCGCTAGTGACGGGATACCGAACGAAGATCAGAGGTCCAAAAGTAGAGCACGTTCCACACGAGGCTAAGCTAAATCCACCGTATTACGGTACATCAAGGCTCAGAATACACAGGTCTCGTAGATTCGGTAGATTCCTGTTTCTGGCTTCTGCTAACCATCAGGGTTCTATGATCTAAACCGTTAGGTGATGGCTTGGCTCAGCAGTACAAACCTTCAGCGTTCTATGGTCTCGCCTCGGGATTGTCATGCAGGTCTGTACTGCTGAAACTCGAGGGAAAACTTCAAGGCTTTACTCGGGTCGGGAGGCACACTGGAATCCAGGATCGAAAGGCGACAGATGGATGGAAAACCCCAAGATGATGATGTGTGGATAGAGTGCTTTGAGTGACCATTGGCCCTGCCGTGTGGATGAAGCAGCCGTTCGGAATTGACGACGTCACCTTCAAACTATGGTGCTGATTGGTTGGTACCTTTTTGCGAAGGATGCAAACCTGTGAATGTAACCGCTAGTCGTCAATGTAGCGGTCATTCGGTTTGAGCTCGTCAGCGGAGCGCTTTCTGACGAATCACCGCTCCATGTCTCAGCAAAACTTGGCGGGAAAGCTGAACCACCACCCACCAATTTTTGTTGTTATTGGTTGGAAGAAAGAGGTTTGGAACTGTACACTCGAATATCAACCTATATACTACGGAGAAGCTTAGCTTGAACACATAACGCAGCACGCTAACTCGAGACATTGTAAAACCAAGGTTCACTTTTCCCTACCTCCATCACACGAAATGCGTCCATCTTTCCACTTTCTCCTCGTTTTCAGCCGTAGAATCCGGCGATATCGGCGTCGGAAAATGGCCAAGAAAGGGAAAAAGCAGCAGCAGGAGTATTCCGGCGGCGCGCCGCCGATAGTACCCGCCAAACGCATCACCTGGCCCAAGCTGAGACGGCGACGAGAGCTGACGCCGCGATTAATCCGCGGCTGCGACGTTTTCACAGTGAGCTCACTCCTAAGCTCCCTAGAGCAGCAAGCTCAGGAATACGCAGTCATCTTAAGCTTCAGAGATTCGGTTTCTCCTTCCTCTGATCTTCCTTTCCACGCCGTATGCAGCGTGTACTTCCAAAAACTGTCAGATTCCCGGCTCCCATGCACTCCTTCCAGGTACCAGGAGCGCTGACTTTTCAGGCGGAAGCCGTGGGGTTCCAGTGGCAGGGAAGCGCAAGAATCTTCCCCCAAAACGTACCACCTGCTTTCCATGCTCCCCTAACGCCCTTCTCAGGTGCCAGGAGCGCTAAGTGTGGGGGAATGCGAGCAGTTCATTGCACAGGCAGAAGCCGTTGGGTTCCAGTGGCAGGGCAGCACATTCCGCTTGTCCCCCAGAACACCCCTTTCAGGTGCCAGGAGCACTGACCAGTGAGGAATGCGAGCAGTTCATTGCACAGACGGAATCCGTTTGGTGCCAGTGGCAGGGCAGCACATGTTTGTGTTTCTCCAACACCTCTTCCAGGTACCAGGAGCGCTGAGCGCGGAGGAATGCGAGCAGTTCATTGGTCAGGCGGAAGCTGTGGGGTTCCAATGGCAGGGCAGCGGAGGGCCCGCCAAGGGTGAGGCGTATCGGGACAACCATCGGATATCCGTTGAGGATAACGATTTGGCAGGTGATAGCAAGTTTTTTGAGTCGACTCAAGGTGATAACACCAGGTGATAACAAGTTATGTGGCCGTTTTTATTAGTAGATGCTTTCTTTGCTTGGGAACGGGGGGGATACAGAGTGTATGTTCTTCAAAGGCAGTGAAAATGGGCAGCGGGGAAGGGGAAACGAGTTGGAGGAGAAGGCGGAGATTTCGGAGATTTCACTAGTCAACATGGCTTGTTCCCCCAACCCGACATGACTTCTTCCCCCCCCCCCCGGGCTCTGTTCTTTCTCTTTTGCAGCACACCTCTGGACCCGACTTGCTCCAGTCCTTCACCCGTTACAAGCTGGTAACCGCACGGCCGTACGATTGAATCCGAATATCCGCATTTACCGCTACAGCCCGGGCCAGCAGTTTGGAGCGCACATAGATGAGAGCGTGGCTGTAGCAGGGGGCGGGAGGACGGAGTACACCCTCCTGGCGTATCTCTCTGGTGCTCCCTCCACGTGGGAGGGGGAGGAGGAGGCGGAAGGGGTGGAGGGAGAAGGGGAGGAGGGAGGGGAGGGGGAAGGCGAGCGGGGAGGGGAGGGGGGGGAGAGGGAAGGGGAGGGGGCGCCGGGCGAGGGAGTGAGGGAGGCGGATGGAGGGGAGGGGCAGTGGAGGAGAGAGAAGGAGGTGGCTGGAGGGAGGGGTAAGGGTGGGGGGGGAAAGAACCAACAGCAGCAGCAGCAGCAACAGTTGGTCGGAGGAGAGACGGTGTTCTATGTGGGGGCACGATCCCAGGAGAGCTTTGAGGTGAGAAATATGCAACTTCGTGTATTCTGAGACTTTCCAAGCATCACCATCACCAGCAGCAGCAGCGGCAGCTTGTGGGCGGGGAGACTGTTTTCTAGGTGGGGGCACGGTCGCAGGAGAGGTTGGTTGGAAGTACTGCTATCTAGTGTTACGCACGAGGGTGGTATATGCTGCTAACTAGTGTTCAAATTTTCATAAATTTCGGCACGCATCTGCCACTCATATCCTCAGAAGTATTTTGAGTCGACTCAAAATAAATTTCGGCCAAATCTGCCACTCATATCCTCAGATCTCCCTCCTTGAAGATTCACTGCCCTTGCGAGTTTGCGGTTTCTCTTGCACTTCCCTTGTGCTTCCCTTGTGCCTCCCTTCACTCCCCTCCCCTCTTTTCCAAGAGTAGGTGAGTCCTGAGGTGGGAACGGCTTTGTTGCACCGTCATGGATCGAGGTGAAAGCAGGTATGATGACCCCCCTTCTCCCTCCCTCCATACCTGTCTCCCTCCCTGCCTTGATGCCTCCCTTCATCCTTCCCCCCCCTCCCCTTGCTTACACGAGCAGGTGAGTCCAGAGGTGGGCATGGCGTTGCTGCACCGTCATGGGGCCAGGTGCTTGCTGCATGAAGCTAGGGAGGTGAAAACAGGTGTGAAGTATGTGTTGCGTTCGGATGTTGTGTTCAAGTAGCGGCACACGCCAATGATGGTATCAGTAAGGTACATACCCTGCAAAAGAGGCGGTTCCGTACTCACTAAAGTGTAGTTCATAAGTTGTTTTTTCCCTTATTAACAAAACTTTCAAGCTTTACATACATTACAGGGTCATGCCCCTTAATTGTTTTTCACACGCAACGAGGACAGATGACGGATCACTGCAAGAGCAAGACAGTCCCCAAAGATGGAACATAGTAAAATTGGATTTCAGTTCTACAAAACTCAGATACGATACGGCCAACTCAGATATGTGTGCGGCATGTACATGTGGTACCAGTATTTACAAGTGCCATAGCTTCCTGAGACAACAAAAACTCCCAGCCGTTTCATATCTATTTACAGGGCGAGTCCTTCCACTCCCTCCCAGGCCTTCACCACCATACTCTTTTCAGTTCTACCATACCGTACCATCCACAGCTGGGTGGGTCTCACTGAAACACATGCCTGCGGCCAGTGGTACCAGCAGTATGACCTGTACTGCCAGTGCCCTCCGTGCCTGTGGATCCGTACTCAGCTGCTCCACGCTCCGACTCGCCACGGCCCCCCATGATACCACCAAGGCCCGTGCTCCCGCCATGATGACCCGTGGCCGTGCCATGCTCCGTGGTATGCCCCACCTGCGTGGCTCCCGTGGTGCCGTGGCCAGTCAAGCCACGCCCGGTGGTGCCATGCCCAGTGGTGCCATGTTGCCCAGAGGCAATGGTTCCAGCGCCATGGCCAGTCATGCCCGTGATGCCATACCCATGCTCCCCTCCGGGCCCATACTCGTGTCCCGTCCCAGTACCGTCCCCAGTGGCACCCTGATGCCCACCCTGACGCCCACCCTGATGCCCAGTACCAGTAGCACCAGTAGCACCCGTCCCAGTCAAGCCCTGCTTCTCCCGCCGCGCCTCCTTCTCCGCCGCTTCCCGCTCCATCGCGCCCGCGACCTTCCGCTCCGCCTCCAGCTCCGCGCGCTCCTTCCGTTGCGCCTCCTTCGCGTCCGCCACCGCGCGCGCCTCCCTGCTGGTGGGGTGGCGCGCCTTGTCCACAGACTCCTGGACCTCCGCCTTGCCCTTCGCCATGGCCTCGCCGGTTTTCGCGCTCACCTCCGACATCTTCTCCTTGGCCGCGGAGATCGCGTCGCCGGCCTTCTGCTTCATACTCGCCATAGTGTCCGCGTTAGTAGTAGGGATAGTGACGCCGCTAGGAGCGCCGGTAGGGGTGTAGTAGGGGCAGTAAGGGTAGTAGTGCTAGCAGAGGGAGCAGGGCACGGGAGCGGTCAGAGGGGTATGAGAGAAGTTGTTCCTGGATGGTCTGGAAGAGTGGAGCGAAATGGAGAATATATGGAGGAACCAGGGGAGGAGTGAATGTAGAGGGGCGAAGGTAAATGGGTTCGGGGAAAGAGCGAGACATCGTGTTGAGGACTTGGCTCGTGATTCGTTCGTTACGTGAAGCCGTCGCGCCGCGCCTTGATCAATCGCATTGCGATGTGTGAAAATATGCGGATCGAGCTCCGCATGAGAGTCTGTTACAGCTGGCACGGCGAATTTGGAATTCAGGGGCTAACACGTGTCCTCACGAAAAATGCTGCATGGTTGCATTTATACAAGATATAACACAATATATTTCCATATGCTGTCATCCTGCTATAGCTCAGTTGGTAGAGCGGAGGACTGTAGTAGAGCAATCCTTAGGTCACTGGTTCGAATCCGGTTGGCGGGATCTTTTAACAATTCCTGTTTTTCGTTCAGGAGATCACTGTTCCCCATGTTACGTGTTACAAGATTGGGCAATGAAAGGGGCCAATGATCACCACTGACACAACCGTAAACTAACCACACCCGTTTCTCCACGTGGCAGGCAGATCGCCGTCGCACCTCAACCTGTTTCTGTCCCCACTCAACCTTCACCAAAAGCATCGCCATCGTCATCCATTCGCCCAGAAACACGCCTTCGCGACAGCATAATATTCGTCACTTCGCCGCAAACGAACTTCTGGCGAGCTTGCGAACCCCCGCGAAGCGAGAACCCTAGGAGTTTCCCTCGCGATTTCACCCATTCCCAGGGTTTCCCTCCCCCGCCACACATCAACCTTCCCCTTTTCCCATTTTCCCTCTCTTTTCCACACCCTCCCTCTTGGAGGGAAAACCTAGGTGGCAGAATAACTATTGTGCTTTTTGCACGTCTCAGTATTCTGTTTCCCCTTTCCATGGTTCTACAGGACGCTGTCTTTCCCGGATCGCTTACTCGTGTTTTGTCAAGGCGCCATGCTAGTCACTACAGTAGTAGCGTGAATAGGCAGGAGCTTGGCACCCGTCTGAGTTATCCGTAGCTTTTTCTGCGCGCGTTGTTTACAGATTGGGGATTTTTTTTCTCCCTTTTTTCTGGTCCTGGAGCTTAGCACACTGCGCCTGTTATTTTCAGGGAACAGATCGGCAGATCCTATATTATGGCAGAGCGCGTGGGTAGAATGAAGTCCTAGGTTAGATTAGCAACTTAAGTTGCTGAAGGGGGGGGGTTTCCTCCCTGTAAATGCCGGTCTAGACCCTTGCTGCCAATGGCTAATCCCAATACTACCCCTGCATTTATGGCGCCTAGGCCGTACATGCAGGGCGAGGGTATGGCTGTGGATCATAGGGGGATGAGTATGGACCATAGGGGAATGAGTATGGACCACGGATCTGTAGCAGCACCACTGTCAGTACCGCCTTATGGCTCCCAAGCTGTGACCGCACAAGGCATGGCTCCGCAAGGCATGGCGACGCAAGGCATGGCGACGCAAGGCATGTCAGCGCCACCACTTTCAGGCATTTCAGCACCAGGCGGCCTGTCAACCCAAGGCATTTCGGGCATGTCCGGACCAGGCATTTCGGGACCAGGAATGTCCGGTTACTCATACGCGGGTCAGCCGTACCAGGTGCCGTTCACGCACATGAGACCGGCGTTCGCGGCGCCTGACGCGTACCACCAGTTCCAGGACCCCGGGGGGTACCAGGGAGGGTACGCTGCGGGCCAATACGGGAGGCAGGGGGAGGAGGAGTACCTCGTCGCGAAATTCTCCGTAAGTCCTTTAGATGCTACGAGGTAGTTATTAAGTAGTTCGATCTGGGGTGTATTCTTGGTGGAATTCATTCTGCCGATTCGCTGCTTTCCGAGTAGCTTAGGTCGTAGTTTTCCTCCAGGACTCCCGTCTCTCTGAACCGTTGAGAACCGGGCTTTGCTTCGGTCTTCACTTTTGCGTTGGCTGTCGACCGTGTTCGCTCTAGCTTTTCAGCCGTTAGATCCGTCGCTTTCCGTTTCTGACGACCTACTTGGCGATTCTAAGACTCGGCAATTCTAAGACTCGGTGATTCTAAGACTCGGCAATTCTTACACTCGGCGATTCTAAGACTCGGCGATTCTAAGAGCGGTACCCTTGAGCATTGCTGTCGACTGACATTTCATGGCTGATTCGCGCGTTCGTGCCCTCACCAGTGCCCGCCATTCTCCTTCCTCTGCGTGTTGTGGGGGTGCTGGTTTAGGAGCATTCGTTGAGGCAGAATGCGCCAGGGATGGTCCCCACCGTGCTATCCGGCCAGGTACGCCCACTCACTTAAGACGTCCGCGTTATTGAGAAGCTCACTCTCCTCCTCTGTCCTCGTCATTGTCACGCTCACTCCCCTCCTCCGCTTTCCTTACAGAAACGCAATTCCGCTTCACTCTGCTTTCTACCCCTCCATCCGTACTGTGGCAAGCAAGCCGCTCGTTCCGTCTCGCCTCACTGCGTGTCACCTCGCATTCTTCTTGATTCCCTTTGTCGTTTTCCTTTCCATTCCCAACGACGGGCGCAGACGACGGGCGAGCCATGGCCAAGGTTCAACAACGGAGAGGACCCCCTCACAGCGCGAGGGCGCAAGATGGCGCGGGGGAAAGGTGAGAGTGCGTCTCTGTCCTAAAAGGTGCTCCGGAGGAGTGAGCCTGCTGGTGAGGCGCCTCAGAGGTAGCCCCCCTCACAGCGTGAGGGCGCACGATGGCGCGGGGCAAAGGTGAGAGCGCCTCTCTGTCCTAAAAGGTGCCGTGCCTCTGTCCTGGTATAAGAAGTTTAAACGAGGTGACTTTTGAGTCGACTCAAATGTCACCTAGGTGCCGCACGTCTGTCCTGGTGTCAATAAACGTTTTATTGACACGCGGATGGCGCGCGGAAACGGTGAGAGCGCCTCTCTGTCCTACAAGGTGCCGTGCGTCTGTCCTGGAGGAGTGAGCCTGCTGGTGAGGCGCCTCAGAAATGGACCCCCTCACAGCACGAGGGCGCAAGATGGCGCACGGAAAAGGTGGGATTGCCTTGCGGGGAGGTGGGGTTACACGGTCGCTGCAAGCTTTCCTGTGTGTAGTGGCTCCGAATCATCTCACCTTCTCACGGATTCGATGCTTACTTGGTAATCAAACTCTTGAGACTGTGCTTCGTTTCTGCATTGCCTTGTGGTGGTTGCAGGGTGGGAGCACGGGGAAGCAGGCATGTCGCTCAACTCGCCAGCAGGGGGGGCCATGGGGCAGCCGCAGCAGCAATCAGCATGCCGCTATGACAACTCTCTTGGTAAGCCTGTCATTTTCATAATGTTACTGTCTCGAGTCCTTTCCTGCACTCTCTCGCTTTAATCCCGCCCTTTCCCCTCCCTCTCTTGCAGGGCTCTTAACGAAGAAATTTATTGACCTAATAAAGGGTTCGGATGATGGTACACTAGACCTGAACACTGCAGCCTCAACTCTCCAGGTAAAACTAAATCTGATGCATACAGATATCATCAAATCGATGTATCCCATAGCTGAGCAATTTTCTCTTTCACTATCAGCAAGTGGTTTATATATATATATATATTTATATATATAGGAACTATTCTTCTTGACTGTATTGTGGTTCTGTGCAGGTCCAGAAGCGGAGGATCTACGACATCACCAACGTGCTGGAAGGCATTGGCTTGATTGAGAAGAAAGGGAAGAACAACATCCAGTGGAAGTGAGTTGCTTGCTGTATGTGTGTGGTGTTGCATGTGTGTGTGCTCTTGATATATGTAATACACGACATCACCAACGTGCTGGAAGGCATTGGCCTGATTGAGAAGAAAGGGAAGAACAACATTCAGTGGAAGTGAGTGGGCTGTCTTACAAGCTAGAGGTTTACTGAGCGGGCAGCCGACTCTGGAGGCCTTTTCCAATCCTTTTGGAACTTCCCTGGAGCAGTTTCTGTGTGCTCCATTTCCTTTGGTCGAAGTGACTTTAGAGTCGACTCATAAGTCACCTCGTTACAATGTCACACAACACTGAAGCAGAGAAGTGATGGGATGCGGGATGCAGGAGGGGGCTTTAGAGTCAACTTCAAAGGACTCAAAAGTCACTTCTTCTCAAATCCTTGCAGAACTTCCCTGTAGCAGTTTTTGTGTGTTCCATTTCCTTTGGTCCTTTGCTGATGCATGTGTGCATGTGTGCATGTGTGCATGTGTGTTGATGTGTGCATGTGTGTTGATGTGTGCATGTATGTTGATATGTGCATGTGTGTTGATTGATGGGGTTGCAGGGGCTTGGAGTGTGACTCAAGCATCAAGGAAGACTCTCAGATACTACAGGTAAGTCAGGCTACATCTGTGGGGGGAACGGGAGAGAGTGGGGGGTGAAGGACTGTGCCGTATCCCGTTGGCCTTTGGTCTAGACGATATTGAGTCAGCTACAGTAAGGTGTTTTTGAGAATTTTCAAGAATGGGGAGTGGGGGGTGAAGGACTGTGCCTTATCTGGTTGGCCTTTGGTCTAGACGATATTGAGTCAGCTACAGTAAGGTATTTTTGAGAATTCTCAAGAATGGGAAGTAGGGGGTGAAGGGTTGTGCCGTATCCCGTTGGCCTTTTGGTCTTGATGATATTTAGTCACCTACAGTAATGTGGCATACCTCACAATCGTCCCTCCGTTTCTCTGCCAAAATCGTTCAGGCGGAGTTGAATCGGCTAAGGGAGGAGGAGTTGAGTCTAGACAACGGCATCAAGTACGTGGGGGGGCATGGGGCATGGGGCATGGGCGAGCATGGGGCATGGGAATGCTCGGAGGTGCTGAGGGATGCTGAGGGGTGGCTGTTGTCTCTCTGCCAAAATCGTTCAGCAGGATTTGAATCGGCTAAGGGAGGAGGAGTTGAGTCTAGACAACGCCATCAAGTACGTGGGGGATGTTTGTGGCCTTACGACAATTTGTTTTGTTTTCTGAGTATCCTGGTTCTTAGGGGCTGCTGCTTCATTCGAGCGTCAGAAAAGCAACACCCTTGATGCTTATTTTTGTTTGTTTGTTTGTTTTTTTTTTTTTTTTTTTTTTAAGTTTCCAAGCCACGTTTCACTGTTTTTTCCATTCAGGGACATGAGGGAGCGTTTACGGTTACTAAATGAGGACGACAAAAGAAAACAGTAAGATTTGTCACTTACCACGACCTGTCTTTTATCTCCCTCACGTGGTTCAGGATTCTTTGTTTCCCCCATGATTGAATGAGGAGTCTTTTTTTTTTTTTTTTAGGCGCCTCAAATTTTTTTGAGGTGCCTCAAATTTTTCTTAGGCGCCTCAAAAATAGATCCCTCACGTGGTTCAGGCTTCTTTGTTTCTCCCATTATTGAAGTGATTCTGCCTCTCTTCCGTTTCTGCCCTAACTTTCCTGCCCGCAGATGGATGTTTGTGACAGAAGAAGACATCAAGAACCTGCCTTGCTTTCAGGTGAATGTCTTTCAGGTGCTTTGCAAAATCACGGTTTTCTTTTCATTGTTGCATTGTTATGGTTATGTCGATACTGCGCTCTATACTGCTCTCTATACTGCGCTCTATACTGCTCTTACTGCTCTCTCAACGCTTCAACCTGTTCTTCTGTTTCTTAATTTCTGCTCCCTGTGCTCCTCGCTGTGCAGAATGAAACCCTAATCGCCATACGAGCACCGCACGGGACCATGCTGGAAGTGCCTGACCCCGAAGAGGTGAGCGGCCCTGCACACTGCACAGCATGCATTGCATGCTTCCAACCCACCTGGATCCAATGCATGTGGTTCTTAGCTGCTTCGTTCCAACCCTCATCATCGCCATACAAGCACCGCATGGCACCGCATGGCACCGCATGGCGCCAGGCTGGAAGTACCCGACCCTGAAGAGGTTAGCTGTACTGATCACCCCGTAGGACGCTAGACCATCCGAATCCCAACCTTGTTGTTAGTTGTAATACGAGCACCGCATGGCACCATGCTGGAAGTGCCTGACCTCAGAGGCGTAAGCTTCTCTGCACAGCGTTCGGGGTTTAAACCACCATAAGTGATTTTTTAGTCGACTCAAAAATCACCTAGCTTCTCCGCACGGCACTCAGAGTTAAAACCACCATAAGCACCACATGGTGTATTCTCCCATACCAAATTCCCTCCGACCCCATGTGGTGAATTCGCACATGGAGCACAAGCACTTTCAAGCACCGTGTGCGACCATTCCATGCTCCTTCCTTAAATAATTTGTCCCATGCTATGCACATGATATGCACATGATATGCACATGCCATGCACATGATATGCACATGATATGCACATGATATGCACATGATATGCACATGATATGCACATGATATGCACATGATATGCACATGATATGCACATGCTATGCACATGATATGCACATGCTATGCACATGATATGCACATGCTATGCACATGATATCCACATGATATGCACATGATATGCACATGATATGCACATGATATGCACATGATATGCACATGCTATGCACATGATATGCACATGATATGCACATGATATGCACATGCTATGCACATGATATGCACATGCTATGCACATGATATGCACGTGATATGCACATGATAGGCACATGATATGCACATGATATGCACATGATATGCACATGCTATGCACATGATATGCACATGCTATGCACATGCTATGCACATGCTATGCACATGATGTGCACGTGATATGCACATGATATGCACATGATACGTTCTTCTTCATTCATCAGTTTCACATGTCGTCACGCCTCCCGTCATCCTTGTTGCACAAATGTTCTCCCATGTGCTACCTACCACCGTCCCATCATTTATGTAGCGCATCACAAGTGTCCCTCCACGTGCTACCACCATCCCGTCCTCCCCCCCCCGGACTACCAGGGCTTTGCGCAGCGCAAGTATCAGATACTGTTGAAAAGCACAAGTGGGCCTATCGACGTCTACCTGGTCAGGTGGGCCCTTCTGTTGTTTTCTCCTGTGTGACATATCTCCCTCGGCGATTCTATGGGTTTCTCTGCAAGCTTTGCTCGCTTTCAAAAAAGCATTTCGTTTTAAACTGCCAAGGGTTCAAGTGCTTTCATGCGCCAGGGTTTCTCGTTTGTCGTGTGGGCGGTATTCCGCCCCTCACTGTCCTGGATTTCCGCAGCCAGTTCAAAGAGAAGTGCGAAGGAGCAGCCCCCTCCCCACAGTAGCTAGCTCCCCTTCTTAACAGTTCCAAACAGTGGCCTTTTTCCGTCCCCCTTCCCACGCATCTATCTCTCTTTCTCTCCTCTCTCTCCTCGTATCTGAGCAGCCAGTTTGAAGAGAAGTACGAGGGAGCAGCCCTCTCCCAACCAGGCCAGCTCGGGCTGCTGTCCACGGCGGCCCTTTCTCTTCCCTCCCCACGTGCCTCATGTCTCTTTCTTCTTTCCCTCTCTCCATTTTTGAGGCGCCTCAAAAATAGTTCCCCCCCCACGCGCCTCATGTCCCTTTCTTCTCTTCCTCTCTCCACGTATCTGTGCAGCCGGTTCGAAGAGAAGTACGAAGGTGCAGCCCCCTCCCAAGCAGGCCAGCCTCCGCAACAGCAACAATCACAGCAGCAGGGCCAGCAGCAGCAGGAGCAATCCTTGTATTCGCAGACCCCCAGCCAACCATACAACACTCCTGCTATGCCGGATAACTCAGGAGCAGCAGCAGCAGGAGCAGCAGGAGTAGGGGCAGTGCCAGCATCAGGGTACACCCCTGGGGGAGGAGCGGGAGCAGGGGGGGACGGGGGGGCAGCAGGGGGAGGAGCAGGGGCAGGGGGGGGGCACGGAGGAGAGGCGCAGTCAGGCATCGTCCGGCTCACTCCTGCCGAGTCTCATGTACGTTCACAGTGTCACGTCACGTCACGTCACGTCACGTCACCGTCCATATGCCCACTCCTCCCCGTAAGTTGGTTTTTGAGAATTGTCAAAAAACGGCTCCCTCCTGTCGAGTCTCATGTACGTACACAGTGTCACGTCTCATGTACGTACACAGTGTCACGTCACATCACCAGTGTCCATACGCTGACTCCCCGTAAGCTCAGTTGTTATCCCTCTCATAAGATATTTCTTTGTATCCCTCTCATAAGATATTTCTTTGTATCCCTCTCATAAGATATTTCTTTGTATCCCTCTCATAAGATATTTCTTTGTATCCCTCTCATAAGATGTTTCTTTGTATCCCTCTCATAAGATATTTCTTTGTATCCCTCTCATAAGATATTTCTTTGGATCCCTCTCTTCCAGGCACCCGTTCATGATTCACCCGTCTACCACCCCAGCACTCCCATTTCCCACGTGCCTCTCTGCCACGCACCCTACCCTCTCCCACTCTTGGCGGCTCCCCCGTGCTCTGCGTCTTACCCCTGGCAGGACTACTGGTTGCTGCCCAATCATTATTCCACTCCTTTTGAGACTCGAAGGCATATTCCACTAGTAGCCCCCTCACTCCCTCCTCTCTCCCACTCCCACGCCCCTCTTCCCCGTGCTCTGCATCTTACCCCTGGCAGGACTACTGGTTGCCGCCCAACTATTATTCCACTACTTTTGAGTCGACTAAAAAAATAGACTCATTACACACTGCTTCTTACCCCTGGCAGGACCACTGGCTGCTGCCCAACTATTATTCCACTAATTTTGAGTCGACTCAAATGCATATTCCACTATTCGACCCCTCCCTCTCTTCTCCCTCCCACTCCCACGCCCCTCTTCCCACTGCTCTGCTTTTTACTCCTGGCAGGACTGCTGGCTGCTGAGCAGCTTATATTCCACTACTTTTGAGTCGACTCAAAAGACATATTCCACTAGTAGCCCCCTCACTCCCTCCTCTCTCCCACTCCCACGCCCCTCTTCCCACTGCTCTGTTTTGTTCTCCTGGCAGGACTACTGGCTGCTGCCAGATCAACAGCTGGGGCTCACCGACATGTGGCGGCCTGATGGTATGTGATGAGGGGAGGGAAAAGGAAAGGCGGAGGTGTCTATTTTTTAGGCGCCTCAAAAATGGCGGCCTGATGGTATGTGATGGGGGGGGGGGGGAAGGAAAGGCGGAGGTGTCTATTTTTGAGGCGCCTAAAAAATGGCGGCCTGATGGTATGTGATGAGGGGAGGGAAAAGGAAAGGCGGAGGTGGGGGGAAAGAAAGAAATAGCGGCCTGATGGTATGTGATTCTGGGAGGGAAAAGGAAAGACGGAGGTGTCTATTTTTGAGGTGCCTCAAAAATGGCGGCCTGATGGTATGTGATGAGGGGAGGGAAAAGGAAAGGCGGAGGTGGGGGGAAAGAAAGAAATAGCGGCCTGATGGTATGTGATTCTGGGAGGGAAAAGGAAAGACGGAGGTGTCTATTTTTGAGGCGCCTAAAAAATGTCGGCCTGATGGTATGTGATGGGGGGGGGGGGAAGGAAAGGGGGAGGTGTCTATTTTTGAGGCGCCTAAAAAATGGCGGCCTGATGGTATGTGATGGGGGGGGGGAGAAAGGAAAGGCGGAGGTGGGGGGAAAGAAAGAAATAGCGGCCTGATGGTATGTGATTCTGGGAGGGAAAAGGAAAGACGGAGGTGTCTATTTTTGAGGCGCCTAAAAAATGGCGGCCTGATGGTATGTGATGAGGGGAGGGAAAAGGAAAGGCGGAGGTGGGGGGAAAGAAAGAAATAGCGGCCTGATGGTATGTGATTCTGGGAGGGAAAAGGAAAGACGGAGGTGTCTATTTTTTAGGCGCCTAAAAAATGTCGGCCTGATGGTATGTGATGGGGGGGGGGGGGGAAGGAAAGGGGGAGGTGTCTATTTTTGAGGCGCCTAAAAAATGGCGGCCTGATGGTATGTGATGGGGGGGGGGAGAAAGGAAAGGCGGAGGTGGGGGAAAGGGGAAGAGCGGGGGGTGGGAGGGGGGGGAAGGGGGGGGGGGGGGGTCGGGTCAAGGATTGATTAGTTGGTGGTATGTGTGGGTAACATCAGCAGCTGGGTCTGGGTAGGCAGCACCTCACATGCCTTTTCTCGCCATCCGTCCGTGATGAGTCGATTTTTGAGGCGCCTCAAAAATAGTTCATGGCAGGTATTGGTAACATCCGTGTGTAATGAGTCGATTTTTCAGTCGACTAAAAAATCGACTCATTACACATAGTTCATGGTACGTATGAGGTCACTTTTGAGTCGACTCAAAAGTCACCATAGTTCGTGGTACGTATTGGTAACATCCGCAGCTGGGGATGGGGAGGTAGCACCTCACATGACTTCTCTCCCCGCCCCCTCCTGCTGGTTCTCCCCACCCGGCCCATGGGAGGACTCCACTCGCCTGAATGGGTCTGCTGATCCAGGCATGACCGGGGGAGGTAGCACCTCACTTCCAATGCTCCGCTTCTTGATGCCTGGTTCTCTCCCCCTCCTCGTGCCCTTCCCATCCTCCAGGCCCGTGGGAGGACCCCTCTCGTTTGAATGCATCTGATGCAGGCATGACCGGGGGAGGTAGCACCTCACTCGCATTTTCTCCCCATCCCCTCCTGCCTGCTCTTTCCCCCACCAGGCTCATGGGAGGACCCCACTCGCCTGAATGGGTCTGATGGAGGCATGACTGGGGGAGGTAGCACCTCACATGCGTTTGAAACCCCGCCACACGCCAGCCACCTCCCCAGCATTCACTGACCCCCTTCAGAGAACTGGAGGGGCATTTACCCTCCAAAGCACCCCAAGACATGCCAGCCACCTCCCGAGCACTCACTGACCCCCGTTTGCTGTTCTAGTGTCAACCATACCAGCCACCTTCGCATTATTCACTGACCTTCTTTAGTCGACCCTTAAAGCCAACCCTCAAAGCCAACCCAATGCTCCACCTCATTGCCACCCACAACCTCCTTTGAGTTGCGACTCAAAAGTATACGCTCAATCCATCATCCATCATCCTAGTACCCCATCAACCAAAATCCAGCACCCATCGTAGCTGTTTCAGCGATCTACGACTGCATCCCGTACTGGCCACTTCCCCAGTGACCCTCCGCAAAGCCCCCGTTGAGCCTCTGTCAAGCTTCACCATCTCCATAACCCCCTAGGTCATCCCCCTCCTAACCCTTCGCCCACGTGCTTCTGACTCGTCTCCGTCCTTGTGACTCGTGTCACTTGCTTCCGTTTTCCTTTTCGGGAAACTAACCGCCGCCACCGCTGGAATGGTGGTGCTCCCTTAAAGCCTAACCCCTCCCTGCACCTGCTCGTCTAACAGCAACAGATGTACCTACCCCTGCCACCTCCTACTTCACTAGCTCCCTAACGCTGGCCATTCCCCATGGCCCTATCAATCAGCAGTCCTCCTCCTTCCTGCTACTTCCTCGACAGCAGCTGCAGCTACCTGTGGGGTTGTTGCAGGCTCTACTGCAGGTGGGAGCGTTTCAGGATCAGCTCTTCCCCCTTTGTGTGTGTGTGTGTGTTGTCTTGGTGAATGGGGTCTTGCACCCCTCAACTACAACCAACTTCCTAACTGCATGTCTGCTGCATAGAAATTTATGTACTCTGTTATCCTAATAAAATTCTGAAGGCCTGTTTCAATTCGAGATTTAGAAAGTTTGGGCGGGTTGACAGCATACGTTTTAGCAGCAATGCATTGTGGAAATGAGAGCGAGTTGTGTAAAACGTAAGATAGAAGTTGAGAGATTGTTTTCAACGTTTCACGTTTAGGCCAACAGTGTGGATAATAGGTGAGTAACAACACACTGTATTTTCCTAAATGTGTTAGTATCGCGTACGCCGCCCTTCTCCTTGCGCCCTTTCTTTCCCTCCACAACTGCCTCTCTTCCGCTCTGACTCAAAACCAGCCGAACCATGGCCGCGGCTAATTCGAGTTGCATTGACCCCAGCATCAGGCTCTTCTGCCGCGTCAAATCGCCATTCAACCCCAGCCATTCATTTCCGTCTCCTATTCATTTCACCTTGACTCCCAAGCCCGTGTCGAACCTCCCAGCGAGGCTCGTAAAACGTTTCTACCAACCTCCCAGCCGTGTAGTAACCCTCTCTCGAAGCCGTAGGGCTATTTGCCGCGTACGCCAAGCCTAGGCCGTGAAAAAGGAACCCGTGCGGCTCGAGCGCGTCGCCTCGCGTTGCTACATTCCTATACCGCGCGTGACACCAACCAGGCAGCGGCGGCTAGGTTGCCGCTGGGAAACGAATTCAATTCGTTGGCGACCATCATCATCGGTCGCCGGGCTTTTTTGGCCAGCGTTGGCGTCGTTGGGTTCAACTTACGCTAGGCTCCATCCCGCCCTTCCCTCCCACCACCCTCCTCCGACCAGGCTCGCTCACCCAGCCTCGCTCATCGCGTGCTCTCTGTCCAACAGCGATTCCGCTTTCTTGCGTTCCTCTCCCGACGACCATTCTAGCTTCTCGCAGATTCCTCTTTCAGCTCTAGTTACTAGGTGAATGCATGGAGAATTACTAGGTGAAGCTACTCTAGCTCCTAGTAGAGGAATCAGATTACCCGGCTTCACTAACTCCAAGACTTACGCCACGAGCCGAACGAAAGTCCGCCTCTCCATCGCCTCTCCATCGTCTAACCAGCTCTCCATATCGTATCGTAACGTATCGTACTCTCCATCTCCTCTCCTCGCGAGAGTCCTCGCCGGAGCAACGACCTGAAAACACGGAAACGAGCTGCTCGCGGCGTTCTTGTCGAGAGAGCCGCTCTCCTCCGCGATCGCCGCCGCCGCCTCCACGGGCGTCGGCGACGAACGTCCGTATGATCCTCCCGCGATCCGTCGCGACGCGACGGTCGCATACTTTCGCCGAAAAATCGCCGATGGTCGTGACGGTCGCTATGGACCTAGCGGGGACTCGCGGCTATGGACCGTCCGTCGCAGAGTCGCTACGGTCGTCCGTCGCAGAGTCGACCGATCTCATCGCAGTCTCGGTCGTCGACGACTGAGGGGGCTTCGTCTGCCCTGTGCGACGCGTAACGATTTCGCCACCGCTTCGGTAAGACTCACGTTAGCGAAATTATATTTTCCCACCGCCGTTTCTGTTGCTGTGTTCAGTGTCTTGGTCGCTTCCTCTCCCCTTTTCGCGCGCGCTGACTGTTTCTGCTCTGGTGCCTGCTCTGTTGCTAAAATCGTTCCCTGCGATTTTTGGCTTGAATTCTGTTTTTCGTCCCGTTCTTTACAGCTTCGTCCACAACCAGCGACGGCTGCACGACCATCAGGAACGCCCGTCACAAAAGTGTCCGTCGCCGTGACTGGCGTCCAGCTTCATACGCCGGCGTGCGTCGGAATAATTATGAGACGAGCGTTTCAACGCGTACGATCATTTCCGCCGCGTACGATTGTTACGCCGCTTGCAGTTATTCCGCCGCCGACGATTCTCTCTAAAATCGCGTTGGTAAGTGCTTCGAAACAGCTTCTGGGGGGGCGAGTAGGCGTCCGCCGCATAGCGCGTCTGCAGTCCGTTTCGTCCTGCTCGAGTCATCTTTCTCTTGCTGCTACTAACGCACCCCCTACTATCGCGTTTTCTGTTTCTACTATTTGCGTGCGTGCGCATGTCTACGGCGTGTGGGCCGCGCATTGCTGCCGCCTCCGAGGCGTCACGGCCGTGGAGTGGAGTGGAGTGGAGTGGAGCCTTTGAACTTGCCGTGGCGTCGAGGCCGAGGAGTGAAGCCGTTGAACCCGCCGCCATACGCAGTGCGCACCGCCTTGGTAAGTAGCGGGGACGAGCTAGCGGGGGGGCGGAGTAGGCGTCCGCCGCATAGCGCGTCTCGAGTCCGTTTCGTATTGCTCTGAGTCAGCTCTGTTGTTGCTCGGACTAACGCGCGCTCTCCCTATGGTGCTTCTCTGTGTGTGCGCGTGTGGTTGTGAGCTTGTGCCTAGAGGAAGCGTGCCGGCCGGGAGCCATGAAGCCGTGGACGCATGGATTGCGCCGTGGAGCCAAGTCTGCCTCCCAACTGTGTGTGCGATCTGGTGCGCTGTGTGCGACGGTGGTTTACGCTGTGCGACGAGGTGGCGATGAAATTGCGATGGCAGCACCTCGACGGGGCGACGGTTGAACAAGGTTAGTTTTGATAAGATTCGAGATAAAGACAAAAGAGTGTGATTGTATGGTTGAATAGGACAAGAGTGCAATAGTAAAACAGTAATACATATATATGTGATTCTAATGTGCTTGTAAAGAATTGGAAGAAGTGTACTCAAGTGAGTACAAGGGGACTTGTGGAGAGGGAGATGCTTGTAAAAAAGAGTGAGAGACTTACTTATGTATGTCTTACAAGGTAGAGAAGTTGTAGAATCTTGGGAGCGGTTCTTGATAGAGGAAGACTTGCACTTGGGAAAAATGTCTTCAGCCTGGAAGAAGACCACAAGCTTGAGAGGGGACCACAATTTTGGATGTGGTTGAAGGAGAGGATCTTGTGCTTGAAGAATGAGTCTTCCTACAAGCTTGTGGCTTGGTAATGCACCTTATACTCGAGTGGGGTATAAGGTGGTCTAGTGCTTGAATACTTCTCTAATCTAATAACTTTGTGAGAGAACTCTAAGAGCATAAACTTATATGAAAAAGAATATAGTACAGGCCTTATAATACATGTTGGATACAAGGACATGCATGAGAGAGAGACCACTCATAATAGTCTAGGAAGAAGGGTAGCATACCATCGCTAGAGACATAGAACATGAATGCTAACAAGGAGCCTTTGTAGTGGTGTGAACTTGAGGAGCTTGAAGTAGACTTGAAGGGGAGCTTGAAGGAGAGGAGTTTGGAGATGCCTTGTTGTACTTTGAAAAACTTCTTAAAATTTTTCTTGAGAAGTTGAAGAGGATTCTTGGTGAAAATGAATAGTAATGGAGCATGTGATGGTTGTTGTTGTGCCTTTAGTGACTTGGAGTTAGAAACCTGTGGTGTTGGAGAGAAACTTGGATGAGTTGGAAAGGAAGGAAAAGAGGAGGAATGAAAGCTTTGTTGAGTTGGAATGTAAGGAATGTAAGGAATAATGAGAATCTTGTATGATGATATGGCAACTTGAATGATTTGGGATAGGAAAAAAGGAAGGAATAAATAAGGGGCATGTGGAGGTTGATGAGTAGGGAAGGGAGGAATGTGCTTGAGGCACATGTGAGGAGGATTATTGGTTGGAGTAGATGACTTAGAGAATTCTTGATGAGTAGGAAGAGAGAGCACATGGAAAATGATGAAAAGTCATGTGCCTCGAGGTAGGAGTTGGAGAGAGGTGCTTCAGCGCAAAAGAGAGGCGCTTCAGCGCAAAAGAGAGGCGACTCAAAACTACCATGGCAAGTTGAGTGAGAGGGAGAGGAGGGGGCAAAAAACCCAGGGTAAGCTGATTGTGGGCTATGGAAGTCCAGTTTTGAGGCGCCTCAAAACTACCATGGCAAGTTGAGTGAGAGGGAGAGGAGGGGGCAAAAACCCCAGGGTAAGCTGATTGTGGGCTATGGACGGGGGCTGAGACACCCTGAGTTGGTGAAGTGAGGGCAAAGGAGGTGGGCTGAAACCCCTAAGAGTGGGTGAAGTGAGGGCAAAGGAGGTGGGCTGAAACCCCTAAGAGTGGGTGAAGTGAGGGCAAAGGAGGTGGGCTGAAACCCCTAAGAGTGGGTGAAGTGAGGGCCAAAAGAGGAGCAGTGAGAATCTCGATGTAGTATGAGAGCAAGGCAGAGGAGGGGGATTGGAAACCCCAGGGTAAGACTAGCGATGGGCAGGGGGGGAGAGGGGGGTTGAAACCTTCAGGTAAAGGCGAGCAAGAGGCAGAGGAAACCCCCTCCTCTGCTTTCTGTTCGCCTTATCCTGGGAGTTTCAACTCCCCTCTCTTGGCCCTCAATAGCCTCACCCTGGGAGTTTCAGCCTTCCTCCCATTCCTTGCCCTCGTGCTACATTGGAACTTCCACCCCACCTCTTCTCCCACTCCCTCTCCTTACTCTATCGTCTGCCCCTACCTTTCATTTAGAGCGTTAAGACCCCCCGGGGCCTCGTCCTGGGGGTTAAGATCCCCCAAGGGCCAGGGCCTTGTGCTGGGGGTCAAGACCCCCTTAAGCCAAGGAGATCTGAAACCCCCAGATTTCGTGAGTGGGTGTGAGATAAGGGGGCCGAAACCCCTGAGGTGGTTGAGTGGAAGAGAGCGGGCTAAATCCACTAGGTGGGGGTGAGTGGACATGAGGTCAGTAGCTCGGCCACGGGGTGAGTTACTTGGCCATGAGGTTAGTCACTCGGCCACGTGGTGAGTTACTCGGCAATGAGGTCAGTAGCTCGGCCATGGGGTGAGTTACTCGGCCATGAGGTCAGTAGCTCGGCCACGGGGTGAGTTACTTGGCCATGAGGTTAGTCGCTCGGCCACGGGTTGAGTTACTCGGCAATGAGGTCGGTAGCTCGGCCAGGGGGTGATTTACTCGGCCATGAGGTCAGTATCTCGGCCAGGGGGTGAGTTACTCGGCCATGAGGTCAGTATCTCGGCCAGGGGGTGAGTTACTCGGCCATGAGGTCAGTATCTCGGCCAGGGGGTGAGTTACTCGGCCATGAGGTCAGTATCTCGGCCAGGGGGTGAGTTACTCGGCCATGAGGTCAGTATCTCGGCCAGGGGGTGAGTTACTCAGCGACGAGGTCAGTGGCTCAGCCACGGGGTGAGTTACTCGGGCATCTCATGCACACACTCTGCCATGCACCCATCTCATGCACACACTCTGCCATGCACCCATCTCATGCACACACTCTGCCATGCACCCATCTCATGCACACACTCTGCCATGCACCCATCTCATGCACACGCTCTGCCATGCACCCATCTCATGCACATGCTCTGCCATGAGCATGGTACTGTATCCCCCCCGATTACTGTGTGGGTGCCTTGTCTGGGGGTTTTGCGGGGGGTTTGCGGAATGTTGTGTCATGGTTTGGCGCGGTGTGGAGCGGTGTACCAGTGCACAAGGACCGGAGTAGAAAGGCGAGCTACTGGACTGGAGACAAGTGAAGTGAGATGGTTGCTGGAGACAACAAGGTTGCTGCCACTGCCCTCGCTTGTCTGGACTTGTGTTTATCAGCCTATCAGGCAGGCTGATGTGGAACAAATCTTTCTGGTGGAAACCCTTTTTTTGAGGCACCTCAGAAATAGGAAGGTTGCTGCTGCTGCTGTGCACGCTAGTCTCGATTTGTGTGTATCAGCCTCAGGCAGATTCTGAACAGCTGGTTCTGGAATCAGTAGCTCGGCCGAGCAACTCACAACGTGACCTCGTGGCAGATTAGAGACCTAGAATTTAATTATACCTGCAGCAAATACTAGGGATGATGGGGACCAAAACAGGCCACATGACCACAGCGAGCCACGTCGCAATCAGCGTTCAGTTCACCTCTTATGCAGCAGGCCCACTGTATCCATTTCCCCTGATCTAGAGGTGGCCTAGTCTACAGTTGGACGATCTGATAGCGCCGGTGCAGCCGTTACAAGGGCTGGAGCCTCGGACGCGGTTACCACTTCAGGCACTTGGTCGAGAACAGCGTTCATCTCTTGCTCAAAGGTGAGCTTGGCTCGGTTGGACCTCCCTCCCACGAACAGCGTTGACCCCACCCGCACCGCCCACACCTGCAACGAGAGCGGTCGAATTGGGGTTATTGGGGGTCAGATGTTGGGTCAAAGGTCAGCTTGGCTCGGTTGGACCTCCCTCCCACGAACAGCGTTGACCCCACCTTCACCGCCAAAGAGCACTCACGCCCAAGATCACCCATGCCCAAGAGCACCCACGCCCAAGAGCACCCACGCCCAAGAGCACGCACCCACACCCAAGAGCACCCACGCCCAGGAGCACCCACGCCCAAGAGCACCCACGCCCAAGAGCACCCCCACCCATGCCCAAGAGCACCCGCACCCACGCCCATGAGCACCCATGCTCAAGAGCACCCACGCTCAAGAGCACCCACGCTCAAGAGCACCCATGCTCAAGTGCACCCACACTCAAGGGCACCCACGCGCAAGAGCACCCACGCCCAAGAGCACCCACGCTCAAGAGCACCCGCGATCAAGACCACCCACGCTCAAGAGTACCCACGCCCAAGAGTGTTGAGAGTAGCGAGAGCAGCGAGAGTAGCTGCAAGGAGGGATGCGTACCTGCGAGAGCGGGGGCCTTGTACCCATGATTTTTGAGTCGACTCAAAAATCGACTCAGTACAAGCGGGGGGCTCGTACCCATGGCCCATACCTGGGAATGTGAGAGGTAGCTGATGGCGGTGGCGGTCAGCATGAGGGCACCAAACCCCACATACACGTAGGGCACCCCAGGGCGCATCTTTGGCTCAAGCCCATATGCTGCCCATCAGCTCGTCCACCACCAGCCTGTGAGGCAACTCAGAAGGAGCACCTTACGCTCGAACCCCATGCTCCTGACCAGAGCAGCGAGAGCAGCTGCTGCAAGGAGGGATGCCTACCTTGGACTGCAAGCGCGGGGGGGATGCCTACCTTGGACTGCAAGCGCGGGGGGGATGCCTACCTTGGACTGCAAGCGCGGGGGGGGGGGGGGGGGGGATGCCTACCTTGGACTGCAAGCGCGGGGGGGATGCCTACCTTGGACTGCAAGCGCGGGGGGGATGCCTACCTTGGACTGCAAGCGCGGGGGGGATGCCTACCTTGGACTGCAAGCGCGGGGGGGATGCCTACCTTGGACTGCAAGCGCGGGGGGGATGCCTACCTTGGACTGCAAGCGCGGGGGGGATGCCTACCTTGGACTGCAAGCGCGGGGGGATGCCTACCTTGGACTGCAAGCGCGGGGGGGATGCCTACCTTGGACTGCAAGCGCGGGGGGGATGCCTACCTTGGACTGCAAGCGCGGGGGGGATGCCTACCTTGGACTGCAAGCGCGGGGGGGATGCCTACCTTGGACTGCAAGCGCGGGGGGGATGCCTACCTTGGACTGCAAGCGCGGGGGGGATGCCTACCTTGGACTGCAAGCGCGGGGGGGATGCCTACCTTGGACTGCAAGCGCGGGGGGGATGCCTACCTTGGACTGCAAGCGCGGGGGGGATGCCTACCTTGGACTGCAAGCGCGGGGGGGATGCCTACCTTGGACTGCAAGCGCGGGGGGGATGCCTACCTTGGACTGCAAGCGCGGGGGGATGCCTACCTTGGACTGCAAGCGCGGGGGGATGCCTACCTTGGACTGCAAGCGCGGGGGGGGATGCCTACCTTGGACTGCAAGCGCGGGGGGGATGCCTACCTTGGACTGCAAGCGCGGGGGGATGCCTACCTTGGACTGCAAGCGCGGGGGGGATGCCTACCTTGGACTGCAAGCGCGGGGGGGATGCCTACCTTGGACTGCAAGCGCGGGGGGGATGCCTACCTTGGACTGCAAGCGCGGGGGGGATGCCTACCTTGGACTGCAAGCGCGGGGGGGATGCCTACCTTGGACTGCAAGCGCGGGGGGATGCCTACCTTGGACTGCAAGAGCGGGGGGGATGCCTACCTTGGACTGCAAGAGCGGGGGGGATGCCTACCTTGGACTGCAAGAGCGGGGGGGATGCCTACCTTGGACTGCAAGAGCGGGGGGGATGCCTACCTTGGACTGCAAGAGCGGGGGGGATGCCTACCTTGGACTGCAAGAGCGGGGGGGATGCCTACCTTGGACTGCAAGAGCGGGGGGGATGCCTACCTTGGACTGCAAGAGCGGGGGGGATGCCTACCTTGGACTGCAAGAGCGGGGGATGACGGATGGCGGGGGGGATGCCTACCTTGGACTGCAAGAGCGGGGGGGATGCCTACCTTGGACTGCAAGAGCGGGGGGGATGCCTACCTTGGACTGCAAGAGCGGGGGGGATGCCTACCTTGGACTGCAAGAGCGGGGGGGATGCCTACCTTGGACTGCAAGAGCGGGGGGGATGCCTACCTTGGACTGCAAGAGCGGGGGGGATGCCTACCTTGGACTGCAAGAGCGGGGGGGATGCCTACCTTGGACTGCAAGAGCGGGGGGGATGCCTACCTTGGACTGCAAGAGCGGGGGGGATGCCTACCTTGGACTGCAAGAGCGGGGGGGATGCCTACCTTGGACTGCAAGAGCGGGGGGGATGCCTACCTTGGACTGCAAGAGCGGGGGGATGCCTACCTTGGACTGCAAGAGCGGGGGGGATGCCTACCTTGGACTGCAAGAGCGGGGGGGATGCCTACCTTGGACTGCAAGAGCGGGGGGGATGCCTACCTTGGACTGCAAGCGCGGGGGGGATGCCTACCTTGGACTGCAAGAGCGGGGGGGATGCCTACCTTGGACTGCAAGAGCGGGGGGGATGCCTACCTTGGACTGCAAGAGCGGGGGGATGCCTACCTTGGACTGCAAGCGCGGGGGGGATGCCTACCTTGGACTGCAAGCGCGGGGGGGATGCCTACCTTGGACTGCAAGCGCGGGGGGGATGCCTACCTTGGACTGCAAGCGCGGGGGGGATGCCTACCTTGGACTGCAAGCGCGGGGGGGATGCCTACCTTGGACTGCAAGCGCGGGGGGGATGCCTACCTTGGACTGCAAGCGCGGGGGGATGCCTACCTTGGACTGCAAGCGCGGGGGGATGCCTACCTTGGACTGCAAGCGCGGGGGGATGCCTACCTTGGACTGCAAGCGCGGGGGGATGCCTACCTTGGACTGCAAGCGCGGGGGGGATGCCTACCTTGGACTGCAAGCGCGGGGGGGATGCCTACCTTGGACTGCAAGCGCGGGGGGGATGCCTACCTTGGACTGCAAGCGCGGGGGGGATGCCTACCTTGGACTGCAAGAGCGGGGGGATGCCTACCTTGGACTGCAAGAGCGGGGGGGATGCCTACCTTGGACTGCAAGAGCGGGGGGGATGCCTACCTTGGACTGCAAGAGCGGGGGGGATGCCTACCTTGGACTGCAAGAGCGGGGGGGATGCCTACCTTGGACTGCAAGAGCGGGGGGGATGCCTACCTTGGACTGCAAGAGCGGGGGGGATGCCTACCTTGGACTGCAAGAGCGGGGGGGATGCCTACCTTGGACTGCAAGAGCGGGGGGGATGCCTACCTTGGACTGCAAGCGCGGGGGGGATGCCTACCTTGGACTGCAAGAGCGGGGGGGATGCCTACCTTGGACTGCAAGAGCGGGGGGGATGCCTACCTTGGACTGCAAGAGCGGGGGGGATGCCTACCTTGGACTGCAAGAGCGGGGGGATGCCTACCTTGGACTGCAAGAGCGGGGGGGATGCCTACCTTGGACTGCAAGAGCGGGGGGATGCCTACCTTGGACTGCAAGAGCGGGGGGGATGCCTACCTTGGACTGCAAGGCGGGGGGATGCCTACCTTGGACTGCAAGAGCGGGGGGGATGCCTACCTTGGACTGCAAGAGCGGGGGGGATGCCTACCTTGGACTGCAAGAGCGGGGGGGATGCCTACCTTGGACTGCAAGAGCGGGGGGGATGCCTACCTTGGACTGCAAGAGCGGGGGGGATGCCTACCTTGGACTGCAAGAGCGGGGGGGATGCCTACCTTGGACTGCAAGCGCGGGGGGGATGCCTACCTTGGACTGCAAGCGCGGGGGGGATGCCTACCTTGGACTGCAAGAGCGGGGGGGATGCCTACCTTGGACTGCAAGAGCGGGGGGATGCCTACCTTGGACTGCAAGAGCGGGGGGATGCCTACCTTGGACTGCAAGCGCGGGGGGGATGCCTACCTTGGACTGCAAGCGCGGGGGGGATGCCTACCTTGGACTGCAAGCGCGGGGGGGATGCCTACCTTGGACTGCAAGCGCGGGGGGATGCCTACCTTGGACTGCAAGCGCGGGGGGGATGCCTACCTTGGACTGCAAGCGCGGGGGGGATGCCTACCTTGGACTGCAAGCGCGGGGGGGATGCCTACCTTGGACTGCAAGCGCGGGGGGGATGCCTACCTTGGACTGCAAGCGCGGGGGGGATGCCTACCTTGGACTGCAAGCGCGGGGGATGCCTACCTTGGACTGCAAGCGCGGGGGGATGCCTACCTTGGACTGCAAGCGCGGGGGGGATGCCTACCTTGGACTGCAAGCGCGGGGGGGATGCCTACCTTGGACTGCAAGCGCGGGGGGATGCCTACCTTGGACTGCAAGCGCGGGGGGATGCCTACCTTGGACTGCAAGAGCGGGGGGGATGCCTACCTTGGACTGCAAGCGCGGGGGGGATGCCTACCTTGGACTGCAAGAGCGGGGGGGATGCCTACCTTGGACTGCAAGAGCGGGGGGGATGCCTACCTTGGACTGCAAGAGCGGGGGGGATGCCTACCTTGGACTGCAAGAGCGGGGGGGATGCCTACCTTGGACTGCAAGAGCGGGGGGGATGCCTACCTTGGACTGCAAGAGCGGGGGGGATGCCTACCTATGCCTACCTTGGACTGCAAGCGCGGGGGGGATGCCTACCTTGGACTGCAAGAGCGGGGGGGATGCCTACCTTGGACTGCAAGAGCGGGGGGGATGCCTACCTTGGACTGCAAGAGCGGGGGGGATGCCTACCTTGGACTGCAAGAGCGGGGGGGATGCCTACCTTGGACTGCAAGAGCGGGGGGGATGCCTACCTTGGACTGCAAGAGCGGGGGGGATGCCTACCTTGGACTGCAAGAGCGGGGGGGATGCCTACCTTGGACTGCAAGAGCGGGGGGGATGCCTACCTTGGACTGCAAGAGCGGGGGGATGCTTACCTGGGAGTGCGAGAGGTAGCTGATAGCAGTCGTCAGCATGAGGGCGCCGAAGCCGGCGTACACGTAGGGCACCCCGGGGTCCATCTTGAGCTCGAGCCCTGTGCTGCCGATCAGCTCGTCCACCACCAGCTTCCTCCCCTCCACCGTGATTGGTCGGTTGGATCCCGGGCGCCGCACGCCCACGAACTCGCCCTTGGAGTCGTAGATGACCACATTCTGCAAATCACGAGCCAAGATGCTTCTGCAGATCATAGGGAGGAGAGTTGGCCGGGGGGACAGGTAAGAGGGGGGAGGGGGGCAAAGTGGGGAGGGGAAGAGGGGGTTGAGTGTGAAGGGGTTATCTCGTCCACCACCAACTTCCCCCCTCCACTGCGATCATCCCGGTTTGACCCCGGGCGCCGCACGCCCACGAACTCGCCCTTGGAGTCGTAGATGACCATGTCGCGGGCCAGGATGCTTCTGCAGTAACGGAAAAGGAGGGGGGAAGGGGGGCGGGTGGGGAAAGGGGGGTGTTCGAGACTGTGGAGGGTGAGGGATGTTGGTCAGTTTGCGTGCAACCACTGCACTGCACCCTGAGAAGAACTCACCCTTGGAATCATAAATGACCACACGTAGTGAATCACGAGCCAGTCTACTTCTGCAGCATTTATGAGTAAGAGTTGCCGGGGGAAGGGGAAGGCCAGTGGGGGAGTGTGAGGAGGGGGGGGGGGGAGGAGGGGAGGGGGGTTTGGATCAATAACATCTATTGAATGGAATGATGTTAAGAATATCCTCCAGTGCCCCTTAGGCAGAGCAACCAAACCAAATGCAATAGACTCTGTCCCGACTCACATGCCCGTGGTGGTTGCCTCCCCCCCGGCTGCATTCTCCTCTTCTCCCATCAGCAAGAATGTGCCGAAAAGGGTGTTGCTGCGTCAAGGGGCTTAAAGTAAACAACTCGCATGCCCGTGGTAATTGCCTCCCCCCCTCTGCATTCTCCGCTTCTCCCATCAGCAAGAACGTGCCGAAAAGGGTGTTGCTGCGTCAAGGGGCTTTAAGTTAAGACTCCCATGCCCGCCGTGGTTGCCTCTACCCCCCCTGCATTCTCCTCTTCTCCCATCGGCAATGTAACGAGGTGACTTTTGAGTCAACTAGGTGACTTTTGAGTCAACTAGGTGATTTTTGAGTCGACTCAAAAGCCACCTCTGCATTCTCCTCTTCTCCATCGGCAAGAACGTGTCGAAAAGGGTGTTGCTGCATCAAGGGGCTTCAAGTACCGACTCACATGCCCGTGGTGGTTGTCTCTCCCTTGACTGTGTTCTCTTCTCCCATCGGCGAGAACGTGCCGAAGAGTCTGCTTTTGAGTCGACTCAAAAGATGACTGTATCCCAACTCACATGCCCGTAGTGGTTGCCTCTCCCCCTGCTGCATTCTCCTCTTCTCCCGTCGGCAAGAACGTGCCGAAAAGGGTGTTGCTGCATCAAGGGGCTTTAAGTCACGACTCACATGCCCGTGGTGGTTGTCTCTCCCTCGGCTGCATTCTCCTCTTCCCCCGTTGGCAAGAACGTGCCAAAGAGTTTTTGGCTGCTGCCCGGCTCCTGGAGCGACGCCATGGGCAGCTTGAAGGGCTCTCCGCCGTCGGATCGCAGCTGGACGGCTGAGATCGCCCAGTCGGTCTGGTACATGGTGACCCCCTGGCAGCGCAGGGGGTCGTTGACGCTGATGGTTTTTCTCTGGAGCTCCCTACCATAGAGGTCCGTGACTGAGAGGTCTGAGAAGAACTGCTTCACCTGTTCTAGGTAGGGGGGTGCAAGGAGGGGGGAAACAGGGGGCAATGGGGGCAGCAGCGGTCGTTGACGCTGATCGTTTTCCTCTTGAGCTCCTGCCCGTAGAGATCCGTCAGTGAGAGGTCTGAGAAGAACTGCTTCAACTGGTGTAGGGAGGAGGGGGGAAGGGAGGGGAGGGATAGTAGGAGGGGATAACGCTGGTACTCAGTGTAGAAACGACTCACGGGCACAAGCATGCTCATGGCAGTGGGATTGTCGTTTTGAGTCGACTCAAAGCGAAACTACTTACACACACGCTGGCACTCGATGTCGAAATGATTCACGGGAGCATGCTCATGGCAGTGGTAGTGTCCGAACTTCCCCCCTCCCCCCTGCAAACCTCCCTCCCACCTCCTCACCTCTCCATTCGGCCGATACTCGATATAGAACCGGTTGACGTGCACGAGCATGTTCATAGTGGTAGCAGTGTTCGAGTCAGAGCTGCCCATTTACCTCTCAACTCCGTACCTCTCCATTCGGCCGGTACTCAATGTAGAACCGGTTCACATGCACGAGCATGTTCATGGCGGTAGTAGGCCGGGCAAAGATGCTGTTTCCCTGAAGCGCAGTGGGTACAACCACGTCTAACCCCTGCGGCGTCATGGTAGTGCCTTGGAACCCCCCAGCGCACTGTAGCACCCCCCAGCCATGACCAATAGCAGCGCAGCGTGCACGCCAATGGGGGCTAGCCGCCCCACTAGGCCTTTGAACGCATATAACGAGGATCCTTTCTGGAAGACCTGGAGGGGAGAAGTGGAGGGGGGAGGAGCAGCGGGAAGGGAAGGTAAGACAAGCTGTTACCCAGCAGCGTGCATGCACAGCAATAGGGGCGAGCCGGCCCACAACAAGCCCTTGAAAGCATATAACGAGGAATCCTTTCTGGAAGGCCTGGAGGGAAAAGAGTGCGGGAGGAGAAAGGGAAGAGGAGGAGGAGAGGGGGAGGAACGGGAGGAGAGACATGGAGGGCAGGAAGGGGGAGGGAGAGAAGGCAGTTGGGTCTCCAAGGGTCGTTGAAGTCAACAGGAAAGAGAGAGGGTTCAGTGAAAGCGGAATGGGCAGGGCGAGCAATAGGAAAGGGAGAAGGAAAAAGAGCCACCTGATAGTCTTTAGTCTGAGCAGGAGCACTGCCGTCTATTGGTCCCACCTGATAGTCTTCACGCATGAGCAGAGTTGCCAGGTCAGCAAGCTGCGCTCGCTCCAGCGAATCAGAGAAGTCCATCTGGCGGAGGACTCTGGCCGTTGGATGAAGGACCACCTGATTGGTTGAGGTGAGGGTTTCAGGGAAAGGGGAGGGGCAGGGGCGGGGGAGGGAGAGGGAGGAGGGAGGAAGAGAGAACGAAGCATCAGCCATCATCCATAAGCCATCAGCCATAAGCCATCAGCCATCAGCCATCAGCCATCAGCCACCTCTCACATCCCCCTGTTCACCTCCCGCCTATCATACCCTCTCTCACCTCTGAGTGACCTTGAGCAGTGGCAGCTGCTGCAGTGACTGACGTGCACGCAGCAAGGGAGGCAGCGAGCAGCAGCAGATGAGTCTTGACTGTTGAACCCCAGCAAGCCACCTTACTGCTCACCTCTGAGCGACCTTGAGCAGTGGCAGCTGCTGCAGTGACTGACGTGCACGCAGCAAGGGAAGCAGAAAGAAGCAGCAGCAGCAGCAGCAGCAGCAGCAAGTGGCGGCGGCGGTGGCAGCAACAGCAGCAGACATTCAGCTACATCTCACCTGCTCCATCTCACATCCCTCCTCTCATGCGCTCACCTCTGAGCGACTTTGAACATGGACTGGATAGCAGGCAGCAAGGGAGGCGGCGAGCAGCAGCAGCAGCAGCAGAGGATGACTCCTGAGCCCACTCAAGAGTCGCTCAGAGGTCAGTGCCTAACCCTATCTCTCACATCTGATCGACTTTGAGCATCGGTAGCTGCCGCACCGAAGTGCAGGCAGCAAGGGAGGCGGCGAGCAGCAGCAGAAGCAATAGGACAATGCCTAACCCCGCAGCTCACCTCTGAGCGACCTTGAGCATGGGCAGCTGGCGCACTGACGTGCAGGCAGCAAGGGAGGCGGCGAGCAGCAGCAGCAGGGAGAGGAAGAGCGGCGAGCTGTACACGTGGTCGAAACCCAGAGCCAACACGAGCTGGAGGATCCAGATTGGAAGGGATGTATGGGGTTCAGTGGGAAGGGATGGTGAAAGGTCCAAGCCCCAATAGCAGGAGCAGCAGGGAGAAGAAGAGCGGCGAGCTGTACTCGTGGTCGAAGCCCCGAGCCAAGATGAGCTGAATGGGAAGGGGGGGGTGTATGGTTTTCGATGGGCAAGATTGGTGAAAGACAAGCTGCAACAGTAGGGGTGGGAGAAAGAGCATAGTGTGAGCTTGTGATGATGAGCATAGTGAGCATAGTGTCATCTTGTGATGATGAGCATAGTGAGCATAGTGTCAGCTTGTGATGATGAGCATAGTGAGCATAGTGTCAGCTTGTGATGATGAGCATAGTGAGCATAGTGTGAGCTTGTGATGATGAGCATAGTGGTGAGCATAGTGTCAGCTGATTGGGTGTCAGGCGCACCGCACCAACTCAGCATCAGAAAATAAATTCTGAGATGTCTCAAACTAAACTACTTAACCAAGATTATAGTGCCAGGCACGCCAACTTAGCATCAGAAGATGAGTTTAGGGATGATGATACTCTTGGAACCTCAGACTGGACGAATCAGCATGCAGTCTGCCACATCAGCATCCATCTACTCGCAGCCACGTCAGAACGCACCTGCCAGTTCAGCAGAGTGCCGTCAGGAAAGAGTGCCACGTAATCTGCTGGCCGCGCTCCCTGCTCTATCAGGGTGCCTGGATGGGGGGGTGGTGGAATGGAATGGGGAGGGGGGGAAGGAGAAAGGGGGGGGGGAAGAGTAAACACAAAGGAAGGGGTGAGCTAAAGGAAAGGAGGGGGGGTGGAAGGAAGCGGGTAGGGGGAGGGTGAGAGGCGACAACAATGGGTCTGCTGGTTGCGCTCCCTTTTGAGTCGACTCAAAAACCAGTCTGCTGGTTGCGTTCCCCTGCTGTGTCTTAGCCTGTCGGACGTGGGGTGTGGGGAAGAGAAAGGTAAGACCCCACGTTGTTGCATGACGAGTGATAAGATTCAGGCATTCACATTGCGAGCGCGTCCACACATGCAACATCAACGCACCCACAGCACAGAGACCAGCCACGGCGGACAGCAGTCCGATCGCGAGGGGGAACGACACACTACTCTCTCCGCACGCATTCATGCATTCATGCATTCAAGCATCCAAGCATTCATGCATCGAAGCATGCACACACAGAGAGAGTACACGCAAGCACGCTACTTTAACCCACCCACAGCACAGAGACCAGCCACGGCGAAGAGCAATCCGATCGCGAGCGGGAACGACGCGAGTCGCCTCAGCGTGCCTCGCCATAGGGCCTCCACCAAGCTAGGATTAGGAGGACTCCCACCCCCACGCCGCTGCCGCCGCCACCGCTACTGTCACCTCTCCGTTCGGTCACGGCGCGCGTTTTGAGGCTCCTCGAGCCAGCGCTACTGTCACCTCGCGGCTCTGCCACGGCGCGGGTCACTTGAGGCGGAGGTCTGGAGTTGCGAGCGCGGAATGCGGCGGGATTCGCGGCGGGTTTCGAGGAGGTTGGCGCTAGGAACGGTGTAGGACGAGGGAAGGGGCGGGAAGTCGATCGGATGCGCGAGAGAGAGGAGGAGGCACACAGCCGAGATCTCGAGCTGAAAGTACTAGACGCTGGGGCCACTGGGGAAGTCAGGGATGGGAATGGCGGGAGGCCTCTCGCCGTTGCTAATCGTAGAGAGCAAATCGCAGCCATGTCTACCCTTGGAGCACAGCAGAGAGCAGCTAGCAGCGAGCAGAGAGCAAAGAACAGAGAGCAGAGAGCAGAGAGCAGAGAGCAAGGCTCAGGTTGCGAATCTCGTCTGGTAGCAGGCAACGAGGAGCTTGTATCGAGGGACTGGATGCACTTAATGATCCTCAGGCTAAAAAACTGTCGAAACGACTAGCTATGCATTCACGTCCCTCCGCTGTAAGATGCCCGTCACATGAACGCGTAGGGAGGATCGCAGGCTACCACTGCGAGAGAATGCGCCGTGAATCGCGGCGGAGGATAACGCGGCGCTGCAGTGACAAGAACGCAGCCTGGAGAGGAAGGTGATGTGGTTGAGGAAGGTATGGCATTTATGTATGGTCCGCTTTGGAGCAGGCTCTGGTGGCCAGGAAATGGTCGGTTCGGGTCACACCTAGAGATTGTCGACAAACCACGTGTAAAGCTGCCTCCATGTCTGTACGCGGTATAGTTCCCTCCGTCAAAACTAACCAATATTGTACAAACTTCTACTTCCTAAGTAATGCTTAAGTCAATAATGTGGTCTTATTTTCAGTTTACATGAAGGGTGACTTCTCCAAATGCGTGCGACCAAAGCAGCATTGATCATCTTGAAAGCTTGAGCTTGAAAGACTCCATTGCCGCGACTAGCTGTTCACCAATGCCTCTTTCGTTGGCAGAATGCCCAGCATCTGGAACAACCTGTTACCACAAGGACCCCAGACGGGAGGAAGAGCGGATATTGCGGAGAGCAAGGGAACAGCACGCGAGAGAAAAGAAGAGGGAGAAAAGAGAGCAGCAAGCAGCGTAAGGTTGCATGGCATGTGGAGGGAGAACGCGGAGTCCATGCATGGCATTACCACGTCTTAAGCTTTGCTTCGTTATGACCGTACCTTGAACTCAGCTTCGGGCCAGGCCTTGTGGAGCTCCCAAGCCGACACGATAGGGCACACCACGTCGTACCGACCCTGATGGCCGCAGGGAGAACAAGTGAGAGAGCAGGAAACAGTGCGAGTGAGTAAACAGCAGGGAATAACATCACGAGCAGCACGAGCCAAGCTGAGCAGGAAATATGTGAGCAGAGCCGAGTAACATCTGGATTATGGGAGCAACAGCACGAGTGTGTCTGCTTAGACACTTCACATCCTACTTGCACAATGACAGCTGGCATATGTCGGAACCTGGGCAAAGAATCAAGCAGGAAGGAGTCGGATGGGGAACGTTTTTTTTTTTTTTTTTAAATCTCACATTGAGACATTTATCAAATTACCTGCACAATGACGGCTGGGATGTGTTTGAACTTGGGCACAGAGTCTAGCAGGAAGGAGTCCGAAGGCAGGAAGCCCTTGTTCACAAAGTAGTGGCTCTCGATGCGGGCAAACGCCTGCAGAAACAGGACGTGGAAGGGTGAATAAGGAGATATGATATGGATTCTGAGTCAGAGGGCGAGTGTTGTAATGGCACTCAAACAAAAAGAAACACAGGGGAAAAAGAAAGGCCCAAAAAAAGAAACTTGCCAGCGCGAATTTGTCGTCTTCGCCGCGCTTGAGCGAATCCTCATTGGGCAGCAGGTAGCTGGTGGCCATCTCCCACTCCGTCCAGTGCCGCGCTGCTGCCACCTGCAGGAGTATGGGAGAAAGTGTGAGGTCGAAAGGGATGGGGATGGGGTGCACAGCTTGAGGCAGCGGGTAGCTGGAGGACATTTCCCATTCAATCCAGTGTTGTGCCGCTGCCACCTGGTGTCATGCCAAAAGGGGTGGGGGATATAGGGCAATACAGGGATGGGCAGCAGGTAGCTGGTGGCCATCTCCCATTCCGTCCAGTGCCGCGCTGCTGCCACCTGGAGGAAATTGGGAAGAGAGCGTAGGGATTGAGAGTGAAAAGTACTGAGTGTGCTTGGTACTACCATATTAGACCGTGAGGAGGAGCAGGTACCTACCATTCGGTCCAGTGCCGCGCTGCTGCCACTTGCAGCAGACAGAGTAGGAGATGTTCGGAAAGAACAGCAGGAGGCAGACAGGACCTAATTCAAGAGTCTCCCACCTGCCTCCGAACGGAGGGCATCACAGGCAGCAGGCAGGTGGATGAATTAGGTTCGGAGTCAGCCATACCTGCTGATCAGGCTCAGAGTCATCTGTACCTGCTGGACAGGGTCGGATGCATCCATACCTGTTGGTCAGGCTCAGAGTCGTTCATGAGTCTCTTGTGGTATGCCGCCACCAAATCATGCTGCTCGTCCTTGGGGATAAACTCCCGGTACTTGTCAAACGCTGAGAGGAGCGGCGGAGAAGGTGGGGGAGAGGAAGGAAGGGCGGGGGAAGGGGGGGCATGTAATAGACACGTGCTGAGCGTGGTTGTGTCCAGATCATGCTGCTCCTCCTTGGGCATAAACTCCCGGTACTTGTCAAACGCTGAGAGGAAGCCGGTTGAGGAAGGGAAGGGGGGAGAGGTATAGAGAGTAGCTCACGCTAGGAGCAATGTGCTTTCAGATCATGCTGCTCGTCCTTGGGGATACACCCCCGGAGAGACGGTGGTGGGAAGGGGGGTGGTGTGGGGCGTGGGGAGGGGAAGAGTGGGAAGGGGTACAGAGAGAGGCACGTGCTGAGGGCAACGATCTCCAGATTATGCTGCTCTTCGTTGGCGATAAACCCCCGGTACTTGTCAAATGCTTTTTATCATGGCGGAATATGCAGGGGTAAGGGGAAAAGGTCAAGAAGCACCAAAAGCCAGAATCGCGTCACGGTCAAACTCCTCTTACCATCTGGGAAGATAGAATCAGCTCCCTTCTGATAGAACCGCTCCACTTCCTTCCTTCTTTCTGTTTTCCAGTGGCTAGACAGAAAGCCACGCAACAAAAGCAAGACACCTTCCTTCTTACCACCATCAATCAACCCATGCTTACCATCAGGGAAGATGGAGTCAGCTCCCTTCTGATAGAACCACTCCACTTCCTTCCTCCTCAGCAGGAATATCCCCCGAAGAATCAAGCCCGCGACCTGGGGGTGTGAGGGAGACGAGGATGGGGGGGGGATCAGGGGGTCAGGGAGGTCAGAGGAGTTGGAGGGGGGTGGGGGGTGAGGGATGTGGGATTTGGGTGCTGATTTTGGAGAGGGAGAACAGGTGAAGCCACGTACAAAGCAGATATTACATGTTTGAACCTCCATTGCTCCCCTTCCCCCCTTTCCCTCCCCCACACATACACATGTATTATCGTACATACCCTTGAATTGCACCACATACCCTGTCTGGATGAGTGGCAGCGTAGACAAGAGAGAGTGTGGAGCCCCATGACCCTCCAAACACCTGCAATGGACACATGCACACACAAAATCACACACACACACACACACACACAAACACACACACAAACACACACACACACACACACAAATACACAAATACACACCAGAGTAGACGAGACGGAGCGAACTTTAAAAGCCCATCTGCCAACACCCATCTGCCATGCCACATCTGCAAACCGTCTCTTAAAGCTCTGCCAATGCCAACCTCCCAAATCCCTGCCGTCAAATAATATCAACGTGGCAATGGAACCAGACACAAACAAAGGAGGAGGAGAAAACAACTCACACGTTCATCTCGCACATCAGCCGCTTATCACCCCACTCACCAGCCACTTGTCAACCCCCAGGTGTTTCCTCAGGGTCTCAATATCCCCCACCAGATCCCACGTGGTGTTTTCCTCCAAACAGGCATGCGGAGTGCTCCTGCCCGCCCCCCTCTGGTCCATCAGCACGATTCGGAAGAACGCCGGGTCAAAGAACCTCCTGTTGGCTGGGCCGTGCCTCCCCCTGGCCCTCCGTGCAGGAAAATTACAGGCTGTCATGGGGGAGAAAATGGACGTGGGAGGGAGGGGAGAGTCAGTGGAGCGCGCTCCTGCCCGCCTCCCTCCGATCCATCAACACTATTCTGAAAACACAGCAAGGCTGCCTCTACCTTGCACATTGCCTGCCATTCAGACAGTCTGATCTGGCCACTGAGCTTTCCTCACCTGGCCCTTGGGGTTGTCGCTCTCCTCCCAGTAGACTGTATGCAAATCCGACACAGCAACGCTGCCGGGTCGACGCAGCTCTGTGGGCATACGGCTTCTAATCGTTCTAAACACTCTCTCACCTGGCCCTTGGGGTTGCCGCTCTCCTCCCAGTACACCGTATGCACGCCAGACACAGCAAGGCTGCCGGATCTATGCGGCTCAATCGGCGCGTTCAGCTCCATGTGGCCATGCAATCTTCCACCTTGTCTTTGAAATCGACCCTCACCTGGCCCTTGGGGTTGCCGCTCTCCTCCCAGTACACCGTATGCACGCCAGACACAGCAAGGGTGCCGGATCTATGCGGCTCAATCGGCGCGTACAGCTCTTGTCTCAGCCGCACACGGGCTGCTGGGACGCTGTCGCCCATCTCCTCCCAGGCCTCCTCTGCCTCTCCCCCTCCCCTGCCTCTCCCTGTCCCCCCTTCCAAAATCCCTCCTTTGCCTCTTTTCCTCCCTTCCCTGACTGCCGAACGCTGAGGCGTGGCCGGCAGCTGCTGCTATCGGCTTGAGAGATCGAGAATGGTAAGTGCCTGAGGCTTAAATAGGGAAACGGAAGAAGAGATGGCGGCGAGTGGTTTAACAGCTTTAAACGGTTTATACAGTTGACTATCCACAGCATAATTTTTTGGAAAAATCCGGGAGAATACGCCTTGACAGAATATGGGTATCATGACAGAGGGAAATGACGGACATCAGATGAAAGAGGCAGACGGGTTTCGATCGATTCGCGACGTTCACACCTAGTCCGGTGCAAAATGAAGATCGCTGTAGCTGTAGCTCTCCGGTTGGAAGACAGTCGCTCGGTTTGGTCGCAGGATGATATGTGCGGGAAATGGGGGAAATGCTATGGCGAGCGAAGGAAGAAGACGTTGCAACGGTTTGACGGGACCTGCTGCGGAAGGCGACCGAGAGTCGAACGACGACTGCGGAAGTGCTAAGAGATGCTGTGGCAATGGCGGCCATAAATGTTCTCAAGAGTCGGCCAAAATCTCGTCTAAAAAGCCAGCCAATAATATTCACACTGGAAATGGGTGTGAAACTGCCGAGGTGAATGTGAGGGAGCAATTGAACTATCGAAGCCAGCACTCGAGTATTCCCAAGGGAGCAGAAAAGCGATGAAATCGAGGGATCGCGGTCGGTGGGGAATCTGTGGAATAAGTGCAAATATGCTGGTGGATCCATCCTATAAACCATTGTATAAAATGCTCCGTTCTATAATTCTTACATAAATTTTCCATTCCTTTATCCACCACAGAAAATAGCAAACCTTGTAATGCCTCGAAGCCAAACAAAACATTGTACACAATTGTCTCTTCATCTACAGAAGGAAAGCATGAAAAAACGCAGTGGCAGCGTTGAGCCCCATGGTTATAGTCTAACGCACCCCTTCTGGCCCAGAAGGATGGACTTCCCATCCCTTAAAGCCCTTCTAGCGGCGTCCAACCCCTTCTAGCCTTTTCACACGTTCGGAGGCGGCCAGATCTTCTGGAAGTGCTTCTCAACCTTCTCCGTCTGAGCCACAGCGGACTCGATCTCCGCCTGAAGCAAGTGTCGAGCGCATGGCCCAACATTAGCCATGAACCTTGCCATGTCCCAAGGCTTCACCTGCAATAAGCACGGTCAACAACCACTTGCTTAGAAACGTTGTCGAGTAAAGCAGGGAAGAGCGAAGATGAACACACGGGAGGTGGCACAATGACATAAGCTAGACGAGCACAAGAGGCGGATTCAACTCGCCTTGTCGGCCGAAGCTGCTGCCGCAGCGGGTTTGAGGTCAGCAGAGGCAGGAGAGTCTCTCAGAGCCTCCAGCACCTTGAGCGGAACCACCAGGTAGTCGGTGCTGCAGCAGTACAGGAATGAGAGAGCCGTTTTAAGACGGAAAAAAACACTCTGAGAGGGACCACAAGGTACTGCACGCTGGAATGGTTAGAGCCAGAGTGGACGGCAGGAAACCCGGGAAGGCATACACAAGAGGAGGCTGAGGGAAGTTGAGTCATGAGAATTCTCAAAAGGCATACCCGAGGAGGCTGAGGGAAGTTGAGTCATGAGAATTCTCAAAAGGCATACCCGAGGAGGCTGAGAGAAGTTGAGTCATGAGAATTCTCAAAAGGCATACCCGAGAGGCTGAGGGAAGTTGAGTCATGAGAATTCTCAAAAGGCATACCCGAGGAGGCTGAGGGCGTCCTGCTTGTTGCGGATGTTGGAAGCCATCACTCTGGTCGGGAAGCCGTTGCGGGAGATGAAGGCACACACGCGGCGCACCTGATGGGCAGCGAGCAGACAGAGAAGGACAGGGATGGGGAGAGGTGGACAGGGATGAGCAGAGGTGGACAGGGATGAGCAGAGGTGGGCAGGGACGAGGAGGGATGCCTTAGAAAATTCTGCAGCAAAAGTTGGAAAAATAGCCCCAATTAGAAAACTGGCGCATCAAACACCTGCCACGCCTAGAAAAATCAAGATCTTGCCTCACAAGAGCCTGCCTTACCAGTCTGACTCCTTATGAGTCGACTCAAAAGATCTTGCCTCACAAGTCCCTGCCTTACAAGAGCCTGCCTCACAAGTCCCTGCTTTACAAGAGCCTTCCCCACAACAGCCTGCCCCACAACAGCCTGCCCCACAACAGCCTGCCCCACAACAGCCTGCCCCACAACAGCCTGCCTTACCAGTCTGACTCCGGGGTCCTCGCCCTTGGCTGCTGCCTCGTCCACTTCCTTGTCGCCCGAGTTTGTGCGCGCCCAGTCCTAAAAAGGAGGGAGGAGGAGGGGAAGGGGAGGGAAGGTAAATGAAGCCTCTTTATCCCCAAGTGGTGCACTTCCTTGTCGCCTGAGTTCGTGCGTGCCCAGTCCTGACAAGGAGGGAGGGAGAATGAACAGAATAAAATCTCTTTGTCCCAAATGCTTTCCCGTGTGTCATGAACGGCCATGTATACTGTGAGTCTAACCCTTGACTCTGCTTCAAGCCGTCTCAAAAGCAAGAGAAGGAGCGGCGGCTTTAGCTTAGCCATGCATATTGTGCTGCCATGTACGTTGTAGTCCTCACCCTGATTCGCCCGACGGGGATCTGAATGACTGAGACGTTGGCCTGCGCACACGCTGACGCCTGGGCGAAACTGCAGGGAGGAGAGAGGGGAAAAAGGGTGGAGGAGGGAGCGGAGAGAAGCGTTATACTGGGGAAATTGAGCCCCACGTCGTCACATATTCATCCCCCCGCCCCCCCTCACCAGCCAACGCCAGTGACTGACACGCGTCTTCACGCCAGTGAATGCCATGCGTCTCCATGCCTTCCTTCCTCCTGCAGGTGCCTCGCAGCCTCTATGCCCTCCCATGTCCCATTCTGTCCACGCCCCGCCCCAACCCACCCCGCCCCGCCCCACCCCGCCCCACCCCACCCCACCCCATTTCATCCCCAGCTGTATAATCGCATCTCACCCCCCTCGCCCGCGCCCCTCACCTGCCAATGCCAGTGACGTGCGTCTTGATGCCTTCCGCCTCCAGGTGCCGCGCGGCCTCGATGCCCTCCCACGTGGCGGGTAGTTTGAAGAGCACGCGGTTCAGAGGCACGTCCACCTCCCTGTAGAGCGCGGCGAGGTTGCGCACCTGGCGATGGGGAAGTAACGGGGCGGGCGGAAGGGAGAGGAGAAACCGGGGAAGCGGGAGGGAGTTAGAGACTAAAGGCTCTCCACGTGGCTGGCGGGTACCTTAAAAGAGCACCCGGTGAAGAGGTACGTCCACCTGCAACCATTCGTACCAACCACCCGGTACAGGACGGCACCATTCCTAATTCCTACCAGCCGTTTGACCGTTGCTCTTAGTAGCAGTGACAGTCGAGCCAGCCACTCACCCGTTCGACCATGGCGGACGTGTTGTGCGCAATCCGCGGGTCCACTTCAGCGGAAGCCCGCCTGGACACCTCAAAACTGGGCTCTTTCCCCACCCACGCAACCACCACCCATGCACCCCTTAAACAGGACTCTTGACACTTCCAAGAGCCACTCACCCGTTCGACCATGGCGGACGTGTTGTGCGCAATCCGCGGGTGCACTTCCGTGGACACCTGCCCGGACACCTCCTTACCAAGCTTCTTTCTCCCACAATCCCCTCAACAAGCCATGCAGCCCTGGCAGGTGGCGGCTGACGCGCCAGTCTCTCACCCGTTCGACCATGGCCGATGTGTTGTGCGCAATCCGCGGGTCCACTTCTGTGGACACACGCCCGGACACATCGAGGCTGAGCTCCTTGCCCACGTTCACCAGCGCCTGCACGGGTGAAGGGGGGTGGGCAGATGGGGGTGGGTAGATGGGGGGTGGGCAGATGGGGGGTGGGCGCGATGGGGGGTGGCGAGAGGGGCGAGGATGGGGGAAGGTGGAGAAGGAAAGAGAGACCCAGCCGGTGCACTTGAGTAAGCACACGGCCGGATGCCTCGAGGCTGAGCTCCTTGCACACGCTCACCGGCGCCTGCATCACGAGTCATGGGACGGCAGATCCTGAAAATATGCCTCCACCAGTGCCCTGGCTACGGATGCCGTGGCTACGGATGCCGTGGGTGCAGATGCCTTCACCGCAATGAAAAAAGGCATTGTGACGACAAGCGTTAGCACAATGTAACCATAATATTTTTTACTGTACGCCTTCTGATCTTCAGAACTGAAGATTTTTTGGCATAATATAAGATCCATTGCTTGTATCGATGCTCACCTTATCGAGGAAGCAGGAGAGTTTGTCGTCTTCCGCCGCCACCATGCACTTGCCGTACGCCAACGCGCTCTTGATCGCCCCCTATACGCGATACAAGGGCAGATGGCAGACATTAGACATTGCGACAAGGACGGAAACCATGCACTTGCCTCATGCACGCGCTCATGATCGCCTCCTGTACGCGATACAAGGGCAGATGGCAGCCATTGAGAAAACAACGAGTGTCACTTCGAAGCATCACTTTTTTGCGCGGTACGAGCACACGCCTAGACAAGCACACTCCCGTACGAGCACACTCACACAGAAGCACACTCCCGTAGGAGCACACGCCCGTAGGAGCACACTCACATAGAAGCACACGCCCGTAGGAGCACACTCACATCGAACTTGGCCTCCGCCAAGGAGGAGATGCCGAGGATGAGGGACGAGGACACCGTCGCTGCAGTCGGCTTGAACCTGAAACAACAATGTTACAATGTAACAAAGATGTCAGAATGTCGCAAAGATGGCACAATCCCACATTGATACTCCTTCGTAGCAACGGGTCAGCAGAAACAACATTAACCAGGTAACTGCAAGTCCTACTTCGTGAATTGTCGCTCACAAGACTTGAAGCATGCAATGATGGAACCGAAAGGAACACGCAAGGCAACTCAGTCCATGCAATCAAATCCCGATTCGGTTTGTCTTGCCACGTGGCGAAATCCTCTCACCTCTCGAACTGGTCGCCCACGATTGTATCGGGAACGATCTCGCTGCTCCGTGAAATGACGTCCAGCTCCGAAGGAGAAACTGCAAAGAATAAAATTATATCAATTTATACCATACAGAAACAGAGAAAGTAACTTTCCCGGTTCCATAAGTGCGAACGCCTGAGAAAGGGTGCAATCCTCCTTGGACCGTACAGCAAGGATATATAATGACATGACCGGCCTACCAGCCATAGCGGCGTGAATGGAAGCGGAGCATCTTGCAACGAGGCGGCATCCGGCGTTCATGCGAGCACAGGAGGGGGCGGGCCGAGGCAGGGGCGACGGGATGAATGCCGTTTTGGCGGCCACGACCACCGACGGCTTCTGCCGAGAGGGAACGGTGAGAAAGAAGAACAATACAAGGTTGACTTGCGGGAATGAATGCGGTTTTAGGCGCCACGACCCCCGAAGGTTTCTGCCGAGAGAGAACGGTGAGAAAGAGGAATTATGAGCAAATCGAAGTTGAGATAGTGGAACTTGTCCAGAAAAAAGTCGGAGTTGATTTTTGGGGAAATAGCGACTCCAGTTTCTACTCACCCGTGGAGGGCTTACCTGGAAAGCGGACGAGTTCAGCTTGATGCCGCATGAGACGCTGACAGCTGACGCAAGAGCCATGTCTCGCGAGACTATTCCTCAGAAGGGAATCTTGGAGCGATGGCAAGTCGTGCAGCCGCTTGGTTGCGCGGCGAAGAAGGGCGTCAATAGAGGAATAGGCTAGGCGACAGGAACTGGAATTCGAAACAACACTGCTTCCAAATTATGTTCAAGGCTGAATGCTGAATGCTGCATAAATGGAAGGCTGATCACTAAATTGGGATGGCTTCAGCTCATTTTCCCGTTTGCTGCGTTTCATGCGAGATTCACATGTCGCAGCACTTCGCTGCGGGGGAATGCAGTGAGACCAGTGCTGCCGTCCCCTTCGCCTGTTACCACATGCACGAGGCGCTCAAAGATATTCGACACATTCGAGAACATCAAGATTCTGGGACCACAAAGGCGTTACGTTCGTCGATCCTGCACAATGACGTGGACAATGCATTGCTGAGGTGGGAATCCGCCAGACACGAGTTTTGACGTGGGAAATAACTCAACTGATCTGGCAGGTATCCACGCTGGACACCGCCTGGAGTCTATCCTGACGCGACTGGAATATAAACTGTATACAGCGGAACTACAAAAATAGTGAAACTACAGTTAGTTGGTGTAGCTAGTCCGCTTATATAGAGGAAATCCCGTCTGAACCAATGACGTGGCCGAACTCTCACAACCAGGCCTTGAAAGCCCAACCGATGCCAGCCGTCAGTTACCCGTCATCTGGATCTGACATCAGATGACTAGTGGATCAAACTTGGCCCTCGAACCACTCAGGTGACACCAAGACACGGAGGACGATCATCCGCGCTGGCGAGACGCATTTGCGAGAAAACCCATCCGCAATCGTCAACCGTCTACAAACGAACAAACCGGCAGAATGCAAAATGTAATAGCCTTCACGATTGGCCTTGAACTTGCCAAGCAGATCGAACATGACGGCCTCCACCTGTTCCGTCATCTTCGCCGTCAAATTCTTGGGATCTCCTCTCCTTCCTCCCAGAAATCCAGCCACTGCTCCAGTGACAGTCGCAGCCAGACAATCCCAAGGCTGTTCCGTACAGTAACTCTCAACTCTCTGCTCTGCAACCAGCTTGACAGGTGAACGAGTGATCCTGAAACCAGCTGTAGTGTATCTCTCTTCTCATTCAACCAGGTTCTCACAGAAAGCAGGGAGCCTGCCTTCAGCTGGTCATCTTCCTTCGGAACTACGTTCCTCCTGACCAGCAGCAGCCACCCAGCCCTCTCTCCCAACGATCCTTGATCTGCCGGTTTCAGTTTGTCAGGCGCTAAGAGCCTGATCGCAGCTGCAGCATCATCCTACCACCCAACTCCACCACCAATTTTATCACAATGGCGACCATCGCTTCTGGAACAGGTTCGTCGCAGACTATGCAGCCGTTCGAGTTACGCCGATGCTTTCAGGACAAACCCTAGACTCCTTCGCTTCATGTCTCTCTTATTCTTCATTTCTTAGGTAGCGACGCAAATCAACCCTAGACTCCTCCGCTTCACGCCTCGCTGCTGGCCTTCCCCGTTCCTTCCTTTCCCAACACCACAATCCCATTCCTCGATCTCCCGTTCCTCCTTTTCAAATATCTTTCAGCCATCGCCGTAGCAGCTCTCTTTGCCAGAAGTGCAGCTTCCGCTGCTTCCTTCTTATTGCATGCATTCCCTTCGTCCTTCGTTACATCGCTCTTCGTTACAACCATCCCCAACCTATCCCTCCGTTTCCCACTCCCCCTCATTCTGTTCCTCTGAGCCATCCCAACAGCAGCGCTGACTGCCAGCAGAGCAGCTTCCGCTGCTTCCGCCTCCACCAGCTTCGCCTTCGTATCTCCATCACTCTTCGTTCCAACCCCCCCTATCTCATCCCTCCGTTTTCCCACCCCCACCCCTCCTCCTTTCCCCCCCTCCCCCCTTCCCACGCGCCCCTCGCCCCATCCCGCGCAGCCATCCCCACAGCAGCGCTGACTGCCAGCAGAGCAGCTTCCGCTGCTTCCGCCTCCACCAGCTTCGCCCGCTCCGTCGTCCCCGCGCCTCTCCCCGCTCCCCTCTCCGCCGCTCCCCGCGCTGGTCGCACCCACCTCCTCCGCTGCCGCGCTGCTGCTGTTGAAGACGGTAAGCGCCGTTTCTCTTCCCATGCAGTGCAGTTGACTCAATCCCGTCCGAGCCTTTTTTTTCACCCTCGCCGGTGTTCCACCAGTTTCTGTGCCTGTGTACTATAATCCTGATACCATTGTAGAATGCCACAATATGTCGTAATAATCCATATTCTACATACTCTCCTGCAGTAGATGTTACACGTACCTTTAAACCCAGAGCTTGTCGCCCTCCCGCCCTTCCGTGTTCCATTGCTCCAGGACCGGTGAAGAAGGTGGAGGTGGAGGGAGGAGGACGACGAGCCCCTTTTGTAACATTTTGTATGCATTCCCGCCTCACCTGATCCCATCCATGATCGATCCAGGAGCGGTGAAGAAGGAGGAGGTGGAGGAGGCAGAAGAGCTGAGCAATGGCGCCGCTGTGGCCGCGCCCTCCGCATTCGAGGTATGCTCCCTCTCTTCGTTCCGTCACGCCATCCAGTCACCTCATCCCCTCACCTCGTGTTCTCTCCTGGGCTTAAGCTCTGTGACGAGACTCAGAGGTGTTCTCGGGTGCTCTAGGCAAACCCCTCCTTCAAAAATAGACACCCCATGCCCTCATCCCCTCCCCTTCGTCTCCTCCCCTCTGCCCCTCAGGTGCAGTCGCTGCTGATGGAGCTGTGCGACGAGACGCACATCGCCGAGCTCAAGGTCAAGGTGAGGGGGGACCAAAAGAATGCTACTGACCGTAAGGTCACTTTTGCCAAGTGTCTGAAGTAACAATTGTAGCCACGCAACGACGCAATCCCCGCTGGGGTTCTCTGCGAGCTGTGCGACGAGACGCACATCGCCGAGCTCAAGGTCAAGTTGAGGGACGGAGGAAAGGAGGATTTGCCTTGCATGCAAGAGCCAAACGCTATAGTAGAGCCTGACGGCTCTCCAAAAGTGGTCACATACGTTATAGTAGTCCCTGTGCCCGCCTTCCCCATGATCGAGTCCCTCCCCCCCACCGCTGCTCCCGCTGCTGCTCCCATTCACCCTCTCCCATTCACCCTCTCTCATTCACCCTCCCCCTTTCACCTTCCTCCATTCACCCTCTCCCTTTCACCCTCTCTCTTTCACCCTCCCCCTTTCACCCTCTCCCGCTCTCCCTCTATCATTCTCTATGCCAGGTGGGGTCGTTCTCCCTGCACGTCAAGAGGGACGTGGATGGCAGCATTGGCAGCGCGGTTGCTGCTGCTGAAGCCTCTGCGGCGGCTGCTGCCGCCCCGGTGGTGTACGCCGCCCCTGTGCCCGCCTTCCCCATGATCGAGTCCCTCCCCACCGTCGCTGCTGCTGAGCCTGCAGTGGAGGTTGCTGCTGAGTCGGAGAAGCCCAAGGACGAGGGGCTCGTCTACGTCACATCGCCCCGGGTGAGAGAAGAGATGAGCGCATGATCCCATCCCCGTGATATTGTCTGTTCCCCCCTCCTCGCCTGCTGCTGCTGCTGCTGAGCCTGCAGAGGAGGTCGCTGCTGAGCCGGAGAAGCCCAAGGACGAGGGGCTCGTATATGTCACATCGCCCCGGGTAAGAGATGAGATGGCTGAATGGCGGTGCTGGAATAGCCTCCGCCTGCCCTGAATGGCGGTGCTGGAATAGCCTCCGCCTGCCCTGAATTTCGGAGGTCGCGGAGGTTGCTCCTGAATCGGGGAAGCCCAACGATGAGCTCGTCTACGGCACATTGCCCCGGGTGACAGGTGAGTGCACAACCCCTTTCCTGTGACTGAGCCTCTTCCCTTCTCACACCCTCCCCACCCGACCACACCCCCTCACACCCTCTCCGCCCGCCCCACACCCCCTCACACCCTCACACGCTCCCCTCCCGCCGCACACCCTCCTCCCCCCCACCCTTCCCCACACCCCTCTGAATCCGCCCCTCAGGTGGGCATCATGCGGCGTGGCAAGCTGTACAAGGGCAAGCACGGCCGACCAATTGTGCTCGAGGTACGGCGGCGCAGTGTGGTACTCGGTGGTACAGTGCAGTTCAGTGCATTGTGGTTCTCTCACATGCAAGCATTTACAGATTAAGAAAAGTTTACAGTGCTTGACACGTGCAAGAGGCACATGGTGCTTGCCACAGCACACATGTGCACACCATAGCCTCCCCACCCCACTGTTCTCCTCACATTCACACTTCCGCCTCGCCTCACACTTCCGCCTCGCCCCACACTTCCCCCTCGCCACACACTTCACCCTCGCCCCACACTTCACCCTCGCCCCACACTTCACCCTCGCCCCACACTTCACCCTCGCCCCACACTTCCCCCTCGCCCCACACTTCCCCCTCGCCCAACTCTTCCCCCTCGCCCCACAATTCCCCCTCGCCCCACAATTCCCCCTCGCCCCACACTTCCCCTCGCCCCACACTTCCCCTCGCCCCACACTTCCCCCTCGCCCCACACTTCCCCCTCGCCCCACACTTCCCCCTCGCCCCACACTTCACCCTCGCCCCACACTTCCCCCTCGCCCCACACTTCACCCTCGCCCCACACTTCCCCTCGCCCCACACTTCCCCCTCGCCCTACACTTCACCCTCGCCCCACACTTCCCCCTCGCCCCACACTTCCCCCTCGCCCCACACTTCCCCCTCGCCCCACACTTCCCCCTCGCCCCACACTTCCCCATCGCCCCACTCTTCCCCCTCGCCCCACACTTCCCCCTCGCCCCACTCTTCCCCCTCGCCCCACACTTCCCCCTCGCCCCACACTTCCCCCTCGCCCAACTCTTCCCCCTCGCCCCACACTTCCCCCTCGCCCCACACTTCCCCCTCGCCCCACACTTCCCCCTCGCCCCACACTTCCCCCTCGCCCCACACTTCCCCTCGCCCCACACTTCCCCCTCGCCCCACACTTCCCCCTCGCCCCACACTTCCCCCTCGCCCCACACTTCCCCCTCGCCCCACACTTCCCCTCGCCCCACACTTCCCCCTCGCCCCACACTTCCCCCTCGCCCCACACTTCCCCCTCGCCCCACACTTCCCCATCGCCCCACACTTCCCCCTCGCCCCACACTTCCCCATCGCCCCACACTTCCCCCTCGCCCCACACTTCCCCCTCGCCCCACACTTCACCCTCGCCCCACACTTCCCCATCGCCCCACTCTCCCCATGAATGAACAGGGAGCTGTGGTGAAGAAGGGGCAGGCCATGTGCTTCTTGGAGCAGCTGGGAACCAACCTGGCGATCGAGGTGGGGGGAAGGGAGGGTTATGGGGGTGGGTCTGCTAGGGCATGACAGGGTGGTGAGGTGGCGAAGAAGGGGATGGCAGGCCATGTGCTTCTTGGAGCAGCTGGGCGCCAACCTCGCGATTGAAGTGGGTGGGAGGGAGGGGTAATTTGTATGCTGCTTAAAGTCCCACGGCTTGAAGGTGCTGTGGGACTGTGAATCCAGCTGACTTAGAACTTGAGAGTCCAGGTGACTTGAATAGTCGAATCTAAGGTCCGAAGGGGCTGGTTTGGACGCAATTCTCAGTTTTCCCTCTTGTGCCTCTAGGTGACTTTTGAGTCGACTCAAAAGTCTGAGTTGACTCAAAAGTTTGAGTTGACTCACAAGGACGCAATACTCAGTTCTCCGTCTTGTGCCTCTACTGCTGTGTTTGTGCAGACGGAGCATGCCGGCACGGTGGTGGAATTCCTGGTGGAGGATGGAGGTGAGTGAGATGCAGGGTATGGAGCTCCTATTGGTAGCTTGTGATCGTCTCCTTGCCATAGCTGTCCTGCAGATGGAAAAGGGGGAGAAGAGCGTGAGAGAGAGTGTGTGGGAATGAGAGAGAGAGTGTGTGGGAATCAGAGGGAGAGTGTGTGTCCCTTATCTTGCCCCCTCCGCATCCCTTTCCGCTTTCTACATCCTCTTCCCCCACCCTGTGAGGTACAGAGACCCCCTTCCAGCCATCCGTCCTTCCTCTCTCCCTTATTCCCTCCTTACCCTCTCCCCGTTCTCCACCCCCCTTCGTCATCAGTCCCTGTGGGCTATGGAGACCCCCTGGCTGCCATCTGTCCATCCACTTTCCCCTGATTCTCCCTTACCCTCTCCCCATTCTCCACCCTCCTATCCCACCATCAGTCCCTGTGGGCTACAGAGACCCCCTGGCGGCCATACGTCCATCCTTCCCCTTATTGCTTCCCCTCTTCCCTCCCTCTCTTCTCGTTCTCCCCCCTTTCTCCACCCCCCCCCCCCCCCCCCCCCACGAATCACCATCAGTCCCTGTGGGCTACGGAGACCCCTTGGCGGCCATCCGCCCTTCCTTCCCCGGTATCATGAAGCTCACTTGAGCCCTTGAGCCTCATAGGACTCAGTTTTGAGGCGCCTCAAAGCGCGCCATAAACTCTTACCTACATTATGTCTAGAGAAATGGACATACGCATATAACTATGGTTTCCAGCCCAGCTTGTATCTGCGCGATTGCATGCCTGGTAGGAGCCTTGTGCTTTAGGTGGCTGGTGGTGGGCCCCTTCGATATCCTTTTTGCCACAATGGCTGTATTATCTAGATGCAGTTTCCGAAATTCTGTTTTGCACACCTTCCAATTCTCCACATTGTTACATATGGGAATTAAGCAGAACCCTTTACCCGGAAAATGGGCAAACATAAAGCTGCATACAAAACATTGCATTACTACAACACTTCGTGCCAGGGCACACAACGATTTTCCCTATGCAGGATGCGCGCTTTACTAAAGTTTGGTGCTGACTGTACCATATATGGGTTGAAAAAAAGAGAGGATGCGAGGGGGAGGGGGGAGAAGAGGATGGTGGAGGGCTAGCGCTTTTTCAGTTTAGGGTTTGGCTTGAGGAGCTGCCTCACGCCGTCAGCAGGAGAAATGTCCCACTTCTCAACATGCCTGCGCAAGAGAAGGTAGAGGGACAAGGATAACGGTTAAGGTTTGGCTGAAGGAGCTGCCTCACGCCATCAGCAGGTGAAATGTCCCACTTCTCAACATGCATGCGCAGGGGGAGGAGAGGGAGACACGAGATGGCCATGTTTGATGGAGCGGCATGGGATGGCCATCGGTTTAGTTTTGAGGCGCCTCAAAACTAGATTCCTGTCATGTTTTGAGGCGCCTCAAAACTAGATTCCTGTCATGTTTTGAGGCGCCTCAAAACTAGATTCCTGTCATGTTTTGAGGTGCCTCAAAACTAGATTCCTGTCATGTTTTGAGGCGCCTCAAAACTAGACTCCTGTCATGTTTGATGGAGCGGCACGGGATGGCCATCAGGGTTTGGCTTGAGAGCTGCCTCATGCCATTGGGGTTTGGCTTGACAGCTGCCTCACGCCATCGGGGCTTGGCTTGACAGCTGCCTCACGCCATCGGGGTTTGGCTTGAGAGCTGCCTCACGCCATCGGGGTTTGGCTTGAGAGCTGCCTCACGCCATCGGGGTTTGGCTTGAGAGCTGCCTCACGCCATCGGCAGGTGAAATGTCCCACTTCTCCACATGCACGCACAGGGGGGAAGGATGGGAGGACAAGACGTGGTTTCAGGCACCTATTGATACACATGCCGGCCAAGAGAAGAGGGTAGAGAGACATGGGAAGGGCATGCTGGGTGTCAAGGCATGCCCTTCACATGGGTGAAGGAAAGAACTAGGTGATCACGAGCCCAAGGCAAGGCACTGCCAAATGAGAAAGGCAGCATTTGAGCTGGCACAGTGGAGTATGACAGGTGGCAAGCGGAATTCATCCAGTTCAGGCTTATATTAAAGTCTGCACTTCATCCAGTCCAGGCTTATATCAAAGTCTGCACTGACTTGTATTATTACTTTTAAAGTCCAGAATTATTACTTTCATCAGCCACTTGATATTAGAGCCTGCACTGACTTGTATTATTAACTGACTTGTAAATCCATCCAGTCCAGGCTTATCACTTTAATCAGCCACTTTATATTAAATTCTGCACTGAGTTGTATTATTACTTTTAAAGTCCACAATTATTACTTTAATCAGCCACTTGATATTAGAGTCTGCACTGACTTGTATTATTAACTGACTTGTAAATTCATCCAGTCGAGGCTTATCACTTTAATCAGCCACATGATATTAAAGTCTGCACTCACTTGTAGATTTTCCCAGTTGATTCGTTGAAGTAATGGTCCGTTGCCCCGGATGCTGCAATGGAGAGCGGAGGAATAATGGCAGGGAGGGGCAGAAAACAATGGCAGGGAGGGCAGAAAACAATCGCAGGGAGGGGCAGAAACACGGCAGCTTAGTTGCACTATACGCAAAAATTGGGGAGCGTATATATGCCATACGCTCGGCTTAAAATTCTAGGGCAGCCTGGAACAAAAATCAGGATTTTTTTGCTCGTCAATTCGCGAGTAGGCGAAACCAAATAGGGTGTCGTGAACTTGCGACACATCGAATTTTGCAGCAACTCCAACTTCCAACCATTTCGCCCCCCTCCACCGCACTGCACCCTAATGTCTCTACCCAACCCAACCACCCCTCCAAACTACTATCTTCCTCTCTCACAGCTATGTGCGCTAAACCTAGTTTAGTGCGCGTAACGTAGCTTACCTTAACCAGCCCCATTCCCCAAGGCCTTTAGGTCGTTTCCGAACCTAGTCGGCTCGAAATCGCTTAGACTAAAAGGTTAAGCCATGGCGTCGCCCCTGACTCCGGGTGACTCCTCCGAAGCCTTGGCACGATGCTTATTGATTATGCCTAAGTCTATGTTTTCTGGTTGTTGTTGCAGTGGAACCGTTTGCTCCACATCCCCCTCTTCCCCCCCCCCCCCTTCAGCGGTGTTTTTGCCCCTGCCCGGACTTTTTTTGGCCTGCCCGGACTAGCGTATACGTAGCGTATACAAGGTCCCAATCCGAGCGTATTGCGTATATACGCTGGCGTATATGGCACCATACGCCCATGGCGCAACTAAGCACGGCAGCAGTATTAGCGCGGGAAAGGAAGTGTTAAGAGGGGGTATGCACTGGTTGTTGAGAATACTAAAAAACATGCTCATCTCAGAGGGGCAGAAACACGGCAGCGGCATTAGCGAGGGAAAGGAAGTGGGGTGTGGGAATCTATTTTTTTGGCACGCCTAAAAACGAGTAAGGGTGGGAGGGCAGGGCAGGGCAGGGCAGGGCAGGGCAGAAACACGGCAGCGGTAATAGGGATGGAAATTAAGTGGAAAGAGTGGGCTTTTGTAATGGTGCTCGATATCGGGTAAGAAATGGTAAGAAATGGTAAGAAATGGCACCCCAATGCAGGAAGCAATCAATGACTGGCAAAGGGGGGAACAATCAAGACGGAGGGAAGAGGGTTGGGGTTACAGGGTGCGGAGAGGATGGAAATAGGGTCACAGTGATAGGATGGGGAGGAGGTCCGGGGGATGAGAGGGAGGGGGGTAAGAGGGGGGGGGATGAGAGGGAGGGGGGTAAGAGGGAGGGGGATGTGAGGGAGGGAGGGAAAGACCGTACCAGCGAGTATAGGACGCCATGGCAGGCCCAAGACACAGCTGAATCGCCACTTTGCAGTAACCATGCCCTGCGGTTACATTGGCAAGCACACATGTTTGAAACAAAATGAGTTAAAATTTAATGGAAACACAGAAAAATAATATAAGAGAGGGGACATGCACACATAAACAGAAAAGGGTTCCTTGACATAGTAAACCATCAGACTGCTAGCATCAACCGCAATACCTCGGACTCCTGCCAGTCGAGAATCTTCAAGGAAACTTCCTCCATGAACGACCCGAGGTTGGACACGTTCTGCTTGAATCGATCTCGGCCGTTGAACGACACAAAAGGGTCGGCAAACTCGCAATCTGGTTCGTACAGCCACATGGTCATGTCACCTGCGGGTTTGGAAATGCGTGCAGATTCAGGGAGCAGTGGAGAAAAGAGGCGCTTTGAGTCGACTCAAGGGCACATGGCCATCGTGTCGCCTGTGATTGTAGAAAAAGGTGCCGAATCAAGTTTTGAGGCGCCTCAAAACAAGGGTGCAGATTCAGGCAGCAATGAAGAATAGAGGCACACAGGGATTGGCGTGTGGGTGAAATTCAGAATGTTTTGAATTTATGATTGCTCAAACAAGATTGCTCCCACACTAACAGTAAGGCTCGTGGCGGGATTCTGCACAGGCTGGGTGTGCGGGTAAAAGAGAGGCCCAGTGGGGATCCATGATTCCTTGTGTGAAAGAGAGGCCCAGGTTGGTTCGAAACGCGTGGTAAAAACTGACTGACATGTGCAGACTCAGGGGCAATGGGGGAGCTTTTGAGTTGACTCTTGAGTCAACTCAAAAGCCACCCAAAAATCAGCGTCGTTACTGATTAGTGCAGATTCAAAATTCACCCGTCTGACTTTGAGTTGACTCAAAATTCACCCGTCTGACTTTGAGTTGACTCAAAATTCACCCGTCTGACTTTGAGTTGACTCAAAATTCACCCGTCTGACTTTGAGTTGACTCAAAATTCACCCGTCTGACTTTGAGTTGACTCAAAATTCACCCGTCTGACTTTGAGTTGACTCAAAATTCACCCGTCTGACTTTGAGTTGACACCCGTGCGTGTGTGTGTGTGTGCGTGTGTGTGTGTGTGTGCGTGTGTGTGTGTATGTGCGTGTGTGTGTGTGTGCGTGTGTGTGTGTGCGTGTGTGTGTGTGTGTGTGCGTGTGTGTGTGTGTGTGTGCGTGTGTGTGTGTGTGTGCGTGTGTGCGTGTGTGTGTGTGTGTGTGTGTGCGTGTGTGCGTGTGTGCGTGTGTGTGTGTGCGTGTGTGCGTGTGTGCGTGTGTGCGTGTGTATGTGCGTGTGTGCGTGTGTGCGTGTGTGTGTGTGTGAGTCTGTGTGTGTGTGTCTGAAGGAGAGTGAGAGAGCGAAAGAGAGGGAGTGGGGAAAAGAGAGAGGGAGTGAGACTCAAACCCATAAGGCACATATCCCATTGATTATCTCTCACGCAGTAAGTCTTGTCATAGTCTATATCACACTTCCCATCCCACTTGTCACTTCCCACCACTTACCCGTCACGAAGTACGACTTGTCGTAGTCTGCCCTCAGCGCTTTAATCGCCGCATCGCGCTCAACTACCGCGGGCTCCCCGTCCACCATTGCGCCCTTTGCGCCTCCCCCCTCCCCCCCGCGCACCGCCGCGACCGCCTTCCCGAACGCCTCGGACGCGTACCACGCCAGGCGCACCATGGGGGACGTTTCCGCCGTCGGCCCCGCGCGCTCCTTTCCCTTCCGCCCTGCCCTTTTCTCCGCGCCTTCGGGTTCCGGCAGCGCGGACGCGCGGATGACGCTTCCCCGTCGGCCTGAGAGCCTACGAGGCGTCGTAGCGCCGTAGAAATCGGCGGAAAATCCGCTGGAGAATGCGGCTTTGCTAGTTAGCAGCGAGGCTGGGGACGCGGCAATCCCGCCGGCTTTTGGCCCTAAGAGGGCACGCGAGCTGGTCCGCGGAGGCGTAAGATGAATTCGCGGAGAAGCTCTTAGCGAGTCGTCGGGCGAACAGTGGGAGGGGTGGTTGACCGCGTAACAACGAGTGACGGCGGCGCCTACAGCCGCCATGGCTAGCCGCTGGGTTATGGCAGTTATACAATCGACGGTGATTAGGAGGGGGCGCGGGAACGGGGCGGAAATTGCGCGACGCTGTTGACGGATTTTTTTCTGGGGAGTGAGGGAGAGTGAGGGGCATTGACTGACGGAGGGTGGTGCAGTCGCCATACTCGTTAGAAGCAGCTGACGATATAATCAAACAATGTGTGAACAATGAATCCGAGATTACACATCACGTACCCTGCTGATTCTATTCAATTGCCATTACCATAACTCAGCTCATCCACTACCATAGTTTGTATTATCCTCAGTATTTTCCCCAAAATCAGAAAAGGTGCTTAGGGAGTGTTGTACACAATACAGTACAGCAACATGCATGTTGTTTGTGAAGGTTTTGCTTTGCACCCTACCACTGACCCAAAATGGCTGGGTAAGGTTTAGAGGGAAACTGAATGCTTATGACATGCCCTAAAGCAGTAAAACTAGCTCCCACCTCAAATGGGCTTATATCGGTACTTCGCTAAAATCTTCTAATGAGTGCCTAGGGCAAAGAATGGACTACGCGGATGAGTAGGCTGCAGCTCCGTCACCGTCACCTTCAACCACCAGGTCAATGATGCACCACTCGGCGTCGTAACCGTGACCTAAGCTCAGCATTCTCCTGCAGTTGGGTTGGGAGCATAAGGGCAATAGCAGCATCAGCATATTTAGTTAAATTGCCATGCAATGGACTGTCTGTGGACTATCGATGGACTGCCTGTGGACTGTCTGTCTGCCGTGCTTGGGCTGTCAACTTATATATATGTTAATATGTAAAATTTTAGGCTAAATAGGTTTGTGTTCATTGAGGGTACAACTCCAACCCTAAATCCTCTCATGTACTCCCTTGTTCTAATTATTATGCTACTCTAAGATTGGCGATGGATTGTCCTGAGACGAATTACTCACGCTTGTGCAAAATCCCTCCTCACTGTACTGTTCACCATGGTTACAGAATGTGTAAAACATGACAAGCCAGACTAACTCACCCTTGTAAGAGCAGCAATGGTGGCCTCCAGCTTTTCATTTTCAGCAGATAGTGCTGCCTCTCGCCCCTCCATCGCCTGAAAAAAAAAAGGAGGTAGGTTTATAGCAAAAAATGAATTGGCATAGCACAACCAGACAACCTTCGATCTCAAAAAACCAGCTGGTATGAATGAAAGCAGAGAAGGGCGGGGAAGTGAGGACGTAGAAGTGATGTGTGGCTTGCAAGAATATACGGTATTGCTTACAGTAATGTAGTACTTTTTCTTCTCTCTTGCTTGTTGCGCACTCACTCTGTTGCGGAGCAACCTGCATCCCAGGCAAATCAGGTTGACCAATCACGCCACAGCCACACCCCCCAAAATACACAACCCATATCCAGAAGCGCGTATCGGGGAAACCCTAAAAGTTAGTGAGCTAGGATAACTAGTAGTATCTAGATAAGGCGCGATGAGGGCAACGACAGAACCTGGATATGTGTTCGCTTCAACTCAACGCACCTTCTTCGCTTCGGATCGGCTGTCGGCGGAATACTAGCAGCTGCGGAAGGCATGGCGGAAGCCACAGCAGACGGCACGGCGGGGGATGAAACCGCAGCAGGCAGACGCGAAGCAGGCGGGAATAAAGCCACGGGAGTCGCATCGTCGCGGTCACCGGGAAGCGAGAGACGAGTGGCGAAATCAAACCGGCCGTCGCGATCGCGAGCGAGGGGGGGAGAGGGACAAGCGGAGGCCGCTGGAAACGCGGAAGCAGTCTCGGCGGAGGCTGCAGGTTGTAGCGGCACAGACGGGGACGACGGAACGAGTGGGAGGTCCGCGTGAGAAGCGGAGCGATCGGCGCGCGACGGGACGACAGCGCACGGCTCGCTGGCGACGGCGACGACGAAGTCGGGCTGCTCGTCGAACTCCAAACCGTCGCCGTGCGAGTGTGCGACGCCGTCTCCTCCCTTTCTCTTCCCAGTCAGTTTCGCCTGCGCGACTGCTGGCGACTTGAGGGATTGAGCGTTCCGCCCTACGAGCGATTGAGAGTTCCGCCCTGCTAGAGCCTCCCGCGTCGCCGCCACTCGCGCTTGCCTCGCCATCGCTGTGGCTTCCGCGTGCCGCTGCTTGAACAGGTGATGACTGTAAAGCGGATGAGGTTGGTAATAAGCCGGGTGATAGGGGCTCACCATCGGATATTCCGCATGTGGGTAGTCAGAATAGTATGAGTCATGATCATAGTTCTTAGTCGTCTCCGAGGAGTGGACATCCTTAGCAGTCGCCGGGGCGCCAAGCTTTAGCTTCAGATCAGAATCCAGAAATCCCCAGGACAGTTCGTCGAGCGCGGGATCGCCGCCGCCGCTGCTGCTGTGCAACCCCGCAAAATCCCCGCCTGGATCATCCGCGACGTCGATCTCGCCGTGAGTCTCGCCGTTGTTCTCGGCATCGTTGAAAAAGGGCGTCGGGATGTGACCCATGCTGGCGCGATCGGATCGGCCGGTGCGGCGAAGACTCTTCGCGGGACCTGACGCATGATGAAGTGGATGTCGAGTGGGTTGATGTCGAGCGGTCTGCTGAGGGGGAAAGCCGTAGCTTGGATGAGCTCCATGCGCCGCCGCGTGCGCCGCTGCGTGTGCCGACACGTGCGGAGACATGTGCGGGGGAGTCATGTGAGGCGGCAGTGGCATGTGCATCGGCGCGCCGTACATGGGGGGAAACGGCGCCCCGTAGTGGTACGGCGCGGAGCCGCCATAGCCTGCGAATAATGACAACAGAGGTGAGGTGTCAGGTACGAGATGACAAGCAAATACGGTCGTGTCACGGTAACAACGCACGTGGAGTAGCCATGGGTACGCACAAAAAACGACGCAAATGGAAAAAAAAGACTCTCTAGGAGACGGGAAGTACAAGCATGTTCAATGGGTCAGGACTCAGGACCGGCTTCGCGGGAACGCACCAGCAAAATGATATGGTCCCGCTAAATACGACGGGATCCCGTGTGTCACGCCAGGGAAGCCAGCATCCGACGACGACTCGCACATGCTCATATCTCCGATACACACGCTGATGGCCTGGATGAAGGGGAAGGAGTCGATGTCGTCTCACTCTACGTAGAACGCTGTGTGGAAGTGCGAGGCTAAAACGCTACGTGGAAGTGGGAAGGCTAGATCGTTATGCCTTGAGAGCGAAAGCTGCAACGCTTAGGACAATTGAGTGGAAGTGGGAGTGTGTGCACTTCAGGATAACATAATCCACAGGTTCGTACAATTCACGAAGGTCGTGACAGCCACTGTGATTGGACAGGAAGAATGAGCGGGCAGGAATGGAAACCGCAGACGGAGAAGCCGAAGGGAAGGGCGAGCGGCAAGCGAAAAGGTCTGCGGGGGAGAGTTGGTGGGAGAAGCGCTCCCCCCAACCCCCCTCTCCCGCCCCCCGCAGCGTTTTGCTGAGCTAACACATCCCCGTAGTGTGCCTCTCCAATTTGCTCCATTTCTCCCCTTCTTTCCCCGCCGTCTCTTCCCCTTCCCGCTTGCTCCGCGAATAAATCTGTGATTGATTGTGTGGTGAATCCCAGTGCTGCGACACGGACGGCTAAAATCTGTCCACATTTTCATCGGACGGATGATATTGAGAAATCACTGCGCGTGACAGGAAGGGGGGAATGCTAACCTCCCCCTTCCCCGACGACACTTGTCCCGGGCTTTACAATCCCCGAGAGTCACCGCAAGATCAACTGTACCCTTCATCCAAGCGTCACCCTGTCAGCCACCAACTCACGCCTGTTGCCAGATCTGCAGCCAGCATGGGATTGCGTGCAGAACCCCACGGCGTATCCCCTACTGAAATTACTGTGTGTCCTTTTGTGGCTCGGGTGAACGGACAGGAATCGTCCACGGAAGCAAACCACTCTCTGATCAACATTTGGCAACGAACTGCCTGTAAGCTGTAAAATCTGTCATAAATGCAGGCTGGCCAGCTCCGGTAGAGCGGATTCATGGACCCATTTTGGTTGCCATCCTGGTACATATATTCTACTACGTGCCGTATGATCCATCCTTTTAGCTAACCTGTTTTAGTGTTCAATAGATAAACTATAAAATCCCACGCTAGGAGTGCATTACAATCCTACACTCACTTCATGACCCTGAGCGTCCCCTTTCATGCGTATACTATAACCATAGGTTGGTGTGAAATGGAAACCAATTTCAAGCCTCCTTTCCAAGGGAAGGTGACAGCGTGTTGTGCCTTAGCAATGCTTTACTATGACACCATTGATTTTAGCCTTTGAGAGGCCGAGTCCAAATACAAGGGTATACTAGGCAACTTTGCCTGGTCATTTGAATCCTTTCTCCCCCTCCTAATCAGCTGCAACATGAACATGATACATGGGTAGTGGATGTATGCATGGTGCGAGCGTCAACTTGGAAACATGCACGCGAAAGCATGAAAAGGTTCAACAGTGCAGTGCTTTCTCACCTTTGAAGCCCAGTGGCGCTCGGTTTGCTCACACACATCACGAATGTCTCTCCCGGACATGCTGCAATCACATTATCACATGCAGGGGAAGACGGAAATCCATAGTAGGAGAACGACAACACGAATATAGGAGGAAGAAGAAAAAGAACAGGTACATGTTTGTAGGGAATGGCGTGGCAGGGAGAGCCTACCCATCACATGCTTTCGCAAGGGTCTCTCGGTCGCCGCGCATAGGAGGAAGAAGAAAGTCTACACGTTCGAAGGGAATTGCGTGACAGGAAACGCCTACCCGTCACATGTCGCATGGGTCACTCGCTCATCGCGCATAGGAGGAGGAAGAAGAAAAGCATCTACAAGTTTGAAGGGAATCGCGTGGCAGGGGCGTTTACCCGTCACATGCTTCCGCAAGGGTCTCTCGCTCTTCTGCTGTGAGATGGCGGGCGTATTGCCCGATGATCAACGCCCGCGTGTGCGCGTCCGGAAGGCTGAATGTGATGGCTGCATCAAAGCGACTGAGACATGGGTGGGGCATGGGGGAGACATGGGTGAAGCATCGGGAGGCATGGGGGAGGCATGGGGGAGGCATGGGGGAGGCATGGGGGAGGCATGGGGGAGGCATGGGGGAGACATGGGGGAGGCATGGGGGAGGCATGGGGGAGACATGGGGGAGGCATGGGGGAGGCATGGATGAGGCATGGATGAGGCATGGATGAGGCATGGGTGAGGCATGGGGGAGGCATGGGGGAGGCATGGGGGAGGCATGGGAGAGGCATGGGGGAGACATGGGGGAGGCATGGGGGAGGCATGGGGGAGACATGGAGGAGGCATGGGGGGGGCATGGGGGAGACATGGGTGAACCCTCGGGAGGCATGGAGGAGGCATGGGGGAGGCATGGGGGAGGCATGGGGGAGGCATGGGGGAGACATGGGGGAGGCATGGGGGAGACATGGGGGAGGCATGGGGGAGGCATGGGGGAGGCATGGGGGAGGCATGGGGGAGACATGGGGGAGAGGGGACATGGGGGAGACATGGGGGAGGCATGGGGGGGGCATGGGGGAGCCATGGGTGCGGCATGGGGGAGACATGGGTGAAGCATCAGGAGGCATGGGGGAGGCATGGGAAAGGCATGGGGGAGGCATGGGGGAGACATGGGGGAGGCATGGGGGAGGCATGGATGAGGCATGGGTGAGGCATGGGTGAGGCATGGTTAGGCATGGGTGAGGCATGGGTGAGGCATGGGTGAGGCATGGGTGAGGCATGGGCGAGGCATGGGTGAGGCATGGGCGAGGCTTGGGCGAGGCATGGGTGAGGCATGGGTGAGGCATGGGCGAGGCATGGGTGAGGCATGGGTGAGGCATGGGTGAGACATGGGTGAGGCACGGGCGAGACATGGGTGAGGCATGGGTGAGGCATGGTTGGAGTATGGGTGGGGCATAGGTGGGGTATGGGTGAGACACGGACGGGACAGGAGTGAGACGAGGAGGATTGGGGCGGGAGTAGGGGTAACACAAGGCTGCCTGATGGGGGTGGGATAAGAGCATATCATAGGACGGCATGGGTGAGAAGAGCACCCCATAGGACGGCAGGAGAGCCATGGGAAACCTCAGGGAGGCTGAATTCAGTTCCACAGCACTGCTGCTCTGGGGGCAACATAACACGGTTCGCAAACAGTCATTATAGGCTCTGACGGCTATAACACAGTTACAGTTACACAGTTACGCCACGGCAATATCTAAAGTTCACCTGATGAGTGCAGGATCCAGATCCTCCTTCCGATTGGTTGCAGCGATGACCACCATGCCACGGTCCCGCTCGAACCCATCCATCTGTGTCCATCCGATCACAGGCAGGGAGGGCAAGGCGGCAAGGAAGGCAAGGCGGCAGGGAAGGCAAGGCGGCAGGGAGGGCAAGGCGGCAGGGAGGGCAAGAGAGTGGGAGTGGGCAGGCGAGTAAGGTGAGCAGCGCTGCAGCCATAAAGGACAGATCATGATGCGAAGCAAAAAAAAAAAAAAAAAAAACAGTCAACCAGCAACCGCAAAGAAGAAAAGAAAAGAAAAGAGGTCCTTCACAAGGAGTTACACTGCTTGCAACAAAAAAAGAGCGCCCCTCTCAATAACACGGGGACAACCTGGCGTGTTGCTTCATGCATGTCGCCGAGCGCATGTCGCTGAACGCATGTCGCTGAAAGCATGTCGCTGAACGAATCTAATCTCGTTGTTGCCCCCGCGCCCGCCTGGCATGTGCACGCAAGCGCACACACACACACCCGTCCCCGCCTCCACACATAAAACCCACCTCCCTCAATAGAACCGAGAGCACCCGCCGCGTGGCCTCGTGCATGTCGCTGTCCCTCGTTGTTGCTAGAGCATCCACCTGCCATGAGAGCACACGACCACATGGGCACATGAGCACATGAGCACATGAGCACATGAGCACATGAGTACATGAGCACATGAGCACATGAGCACATGAGCACATGAGCAGATGAGCACATGAGCACATGAGCACATGAGTACATGAGCACATGAGCACATGAGCACATGAGCAAATGAGCACATGAGCACATGAGCAAATGAGCATATGAGCACATGAGCACATGAGCACATGAGCACATGAGCACATGAGCACATGAGCACATGAGCACATGAGCACATGAGCACATGAGCAAATGAGTACATGAGCACATGACCACATGAGCATATGAGCACATGAGCACATGAGCATATGAGCACATGAGCACATGAGCACATGAGCACATGAGCATATGAGCACATGAGCACATGAGCACATGAGCACATGAGCACATGAGCACATGAGCACATGAGCACATGAGCACATGAGTACATGACCACATGAGCATATGAGCACATGAGCACATGAGCATATGAGCACATGAGCACATGAGCACATGACCATATGAGCACATGAGCACATGAGTACATGACCACATGACCACATGAGCACATGAGCACATGAGCACATGAGCACATGAGCACATGAGCACATGAGCACATGAGCACATGACCACATGAGCACATGAGCACATGAGCACATGAGCACATGAGCACATGAGTACATGAGCACATGAGCACATGAGCACATGAGCACATGAGCACATGAGCAAATGAGCACATGAGCACATGAGCAAATGAGCATATGAGCACATGAGCACATGAGCACATGAGCACATGAGCACATGAGCAAATGAGTACATGAGCACATGACCACATGAGCATATGAGTACATGAGCACATGAGCATATGAGCACATGAGCACATGAGCATATGAGCACATGAGCACATGAGCATATGAGCACATGAGCACATGAGCACATGAGCACATGAGCACATGAGCAGATGAGCACATGAGCACATGAGCACATGAGTACATGAGCACATGAGCACATGAGCACATGAGCAAATGAGCACATGAGCACATGAGCAAATGAGCATATGAGCACATGAGCACATGAGCACATGAGCACATGAGCACATGAGCACATGAGCACATGAGCAAATGAGTACATGAGCACATGACCACATGAGCATATGAGCACATGAGCACATGAGCATATGAGCACATGAGCACATGAGCACTTGAGCACATGAGCATATGAGCACATGAGCACATGAGCACATGAGCACATGAGCACATGAGCACATGAGCACATGAGCACATGAGCACATGAGCACATGAGCACATGAGCAGATGAGCACATGAGCACATGAGCACATGAGTACATGAGCACATGAGCACATGAGCACATGAGCAAATGAGCACATGAGCACATGAGCAAATGAGCATATGAGCACATGAGCACATGAGCACATGAGCACATGAGCACATGAGCACATGAGCACATGAGCACATGAGCAAATGAGTACATGAGCACATGACCACATGAGCATATGAGCACATGAGCACATGAGCATATGAGCACATGAGCACATGAGCACATGAGCACATGAGCATATGAGCACATGAGCACATGAGCAAATGAGCACATGAGCACATGAGCACATGAGCACATGAGCACATGAGCACATGAGTACATGAGCACATGAGCATATGAGCACATGAGCACATGAGCATATGAGCACATGAGCACATGAGCACATGACCATATGAGCACATGACCACATGAGTACATGACCACATGAGCACATGAGCACATGAGCACATGAGCACATGAGCACATGAGCACATGAGCACATGAGCACATGAGCACATGAGCACATGAGCACATGAGCACATGAGCACATGAGCACATGAGCACATGAGTACATGAGCACATGAGCACATGAGCACATGAGCACATGAGCACATGAGCAAATGAGCACATGAGCACATGAGCAAATGAGCATATGAGCACATGAGCACATGAGCACATGAGCACATGAGCAAATGAGTACATGAGCACATGACCACATGAGCATATGAGTACATGAGCACATGAGCATATGAGCACATGAGCACATGAGCATATGAGCACATGAGCACATGAGCATATGAGCACATGAGCACATGAGCACATGAGCACATGAGCACATGAGCAAATGAGCACATGAGCACATGAGCGCATGAGCACATGAGCACATGAGCACATGAGCACATGAGTACATGACCACATGAGCATATGAGCACATGAGCACATGAGCATATGAGCACATGAGCACATGAGCACATGAGTACATGACCACATGAGCACATGAGCATATGAGCACATGACCACATGAGCACATGAGCACATGAGCACACGAGCATATGAGCACATGAGCACATGACCACATGAGTACATGAGCACATGAGCACATTCGCACATACACACGTGAGCACAGGCAGCCGGACTTGGTTTATTGACACGTTTCTCCCAAAAGCACACCTACAGACAACACACATACCACCTGCCTACTTATCCCTTCCACTCACTCCTCTTCCTTCCCTCCCTCTCTGCCTCTTCCAACCCTCGTTCCGTCCAAACCCCCGGACCTCGCTCCCTCTCCTCCAACCTCAATCTCTTGAACACACACTCCCACCCACCTCCCAAATAGTCGCGACGGCGACACCTGGAAGCAGCTGATTGGCCCCGGACCTTGTACCTCTTATACCCTTCCTCCCCCCCCTCCATCCTGCCTCGCACACTCTCTCCCCCAACCACACCTCCTTCCTCTTCTCCCCTCTTCCCCTCCCCCCCCCCCCGAACCCCCCACACACCTCATCGAGAAACACGATGGCGCCACCTGGATGCAGCTGATTGGCCAGCGCAAACACGGACGACAGCTGGCGCTCGCTTTCCCCGTAGTACTTAGAGGCCACGGCCTCTAGGGGCACGTACACAAGTGGCACGCTCTGAGTGGTGGGGAGAGAGGGGAGGGGGTGTAAGTAAGTGGCACAGAACACAGTAATGCACAGTTTGTGCGCGCTCTCCCCATAGTACTTGCACGCCACGGCGTCTAGCGGCACGTACACCAGAGGCCCGCTCTGGTGGAGGGAGGGGGGAGGGAGGGGGGAGAGAGTGACTAGTGTAGGAACCATCAAACACAGAGTGCGACTGGCGCTCGCTCTCCCAATAGTACTTGGACGCCACGGCCTCTAGCGGCACGTACACCAGAGGCACGCTCTGGGGGAGGGAGGGGGGAGGGGGATGATACGGTTCGATGTATCAAACATGAAAGACAGAGCTGGAGCTCGCTCTCCTCGTACGCCAGTGCTGGGCGCCAGTGCTGGGCGCCAGTGCTGGGCGCCAGTGCTGGGCGCCACTGCCGGGCGCCACTGCTCTAAACGAAACTAGGTACACCCAGAGTACCTTCTCCCTACTTTCTGACTAGTCTCTGTGTGTACCGTGCCGTGCCGCGGTACCGTGCCGTGACGTGCTGTGGCACTCTAGTGAAGGTGGGGGGTACGTAGTTTCGTTTAGGGTCGTGCCACAGTCGACTCAGAACGGAACTTGTTACACGTGGGGGGTAGTGAGAGGGATGCGCTGGTGCCCGGAGCGCTCACTTGCGCGCGCAACTCACTCTCCCCCGCCATGACACTTGAAAGGGTGTGGTGGTTCGTGATATGGGGAGGTTGGTATTACGTTTACGAGAGAGTTTAGACGAGCCCGGTTAGGAAAAAAACTCTTGTCGAGTTTATGTCGGTTTTTTTTCTAACCGGGCTCCTCTAAACTCTCTCCTAAACGCAATCTCGCCTATGGGGTTCGTTTTGTTGTACTAACCTACAGATTTGATGGAAATAAGGCCTCCTCAGCCCACCTGTAATACATCTACGACAGTTGAAAGAGTGGCAGCAAGGCACGGGTGGTTCGTGATATGGGGAGGTTGATACTACTACTGGGTGTGGCAGCAAAGAGTGGGGTGGTTCGTGATATGGGGAGGTTGATACTACTACTGGGTGTGGCAGCAAGGCACGGGTGGTTCGTGATATGGGGAGGTTGATATTACTACTGGGTGTGGCAGCAAGGCACGGGTGGTTCGTGATATGGGGAGGTTGATACTACTACTGGGTGTGGCAGCAAGGCACGGGTGGTTCGTGATATGGGGAGGTTGATATTACTACTGGGTGTGGCAGCAAGGCACGGGATTGTCATGACGCCATTTCAATGATGAGACATGATGGTTGGGTGGCTATGATGACATGCGATTGACCACGTGACATGCGATTGACCACGTGCCATGCGATTGCCCTTGCCCGTGGTTGTTTTGCATCCACGGGCTTGCAAAAGGCATGTGCCCTTGCAAGGGGCATGCCACATGTGCCCTTGCATGCCACATTTGCCCTTGCAAATGTAGCTTACGGCGTGTCTCGCGCGTTCATTTGCACTTCATTTAGCCACGGATTACCACATTTTATCAAGTGTAACCCTTTGGGTGTCTCCCAAGTGACGCACACGGACTCGGCTGCACCAAACATACACCTCTCGCACGTACCCCCAGAACCTGAACGTAATACGCACGCTGCGATTACGTCCACTGGAACGGCGATGGTTTCGCCAGTCCCGTGCGACAAACATTGATCGGGCAGCGAAGAACGCAGCAGCATTGACTTGCACACAACCAAGCTGCCTCCGCCTCCCCTGTCCTTATGGCGTTTTCTGAGGGACACTCCGTTTTCGGTTTACACTTGGTGGTACAAAATTGTCGTTACGATTCTGAAACGTACTGACCCCTTCGATGCCCGAAATGACCGCGCGAAACACGCCCTTACCGCTCGTTTGGCCATGGCCCTTGCGCACGACGTCTTGCCTGTGCCTGGTAGGGGTAGGCGGCCAGAGAAGTGAAAGAAAGAATGAGGAGACTTTTGATAGCCACATGTGCCTCGAGTCGACTCAAAAGTCACCTGGAGAGGAGACGATGGATAGCCCGTGTGTAATGAGTCGATTTTTGAGTCGACTCATTACACTCAAAAATTGACTCATTACACTCAAAAGTCACCTGGAGAGGAGGCGATGGATAGACAGCAAGCACACACCAAGAGGGAGCAAGAAATAAAAGGGAAGAAGCAAGAGAATGGAAGGAAGCCGCAGGTTTTTTCCGAATGGATTCAAATAGTAGCAAGGTGCCTCAAATTCCCTCATTTCTTGTTTTCATTATATTTGGGTTTCCAGATTATTATTCCTTATAGACCTTCCAAGGTTCCCTGGCGTTTTGAGCTCGCTAATTTACGCCTACAGGCACGAAACAATCTGACCTGGAGGCCCCTCGAAAAGCACGGCACGCGGGCAGTTAGTTCCGAAGTGCGTGCGGGTGGCTCTGGCAATGCTGTTGTAGACGTCTGGACGGAGCAGAGCACAGCCCTCGCACTACAACGACCACACAGATCTAGCACTAGGGCGACCAGACAGCCTTAGCACTACCCTACTCATACTCTCACCTGGAGGTCCGTCAAAGAGCACAGCCCTAGGGCGGTTGGTCTCAAAGTGCGTGCGGGTGGCTCTGGCAATGCTGTCATAGACGTCTGGACGGAGCAGAGCCAGCAATACAGTGTCCTCTATCTCTCTGACGGGACGGACAGCACGGGGGAAAGATGGGGGAAAGCAACGCTACGACGCTATCACATATGTCAGATATGTCATATATATATATATAGATATATATATATATGTGTCATATTTGTCAGACATCTCTGAGGGCTACGAAATAGAGTACAATGTCTTGTATCTCCCCGTAAGGAAAGGAATGGTTGTCTTTGCATCGAGGGGAGGAGAGGAGGAAGTGGTGAGACAAGGACATGGCACTATAACGAATTGAAGAGGAAGTGGTGAGACGAGGAGATGGCACTATAACGAATTGAAGAGGAAGTGGTGAGACGAGGCGATGGCACTACAACGAATTGAAGGTGACCAACAGGCAACTTTTAGTATCACATCACAACACGACTTTTAAATTGGCTCAAAAGTCACACCAGTACCCACCACCTCGCGGCACAGAACTCGACAAACCTTGCATGAGGAGTCTATTTTTGAGGCGCCTAAAAAAAAAACTCAGCACAGCCACCACCTTCGAGCCAGCTCAAAATTCACAGCATCACCCACCCCCCAACTCACGGCTCAGGAACTTAAAGCTGTGACTTTTGAGTGACAAGCCTCACCCCGCACTCGGCCCACCCTACCTCCCCCCTAGTCCGCCCAACCCTCCCTCCTTTCCGCTTTCATACCACCTCTCCCACCTTAGCGACGTAGCTCCACTCACCTCTTCTGCTCCACTCACCTCTTCTGCTCCGCTCACCTCTTCTGCTCCACTCACCTCTTCTGCTCCACTCACCTCTTCTGCTCCACTCACATCGTCTGCTCCACTCACATCGTCTGCTCCACTCACATCGTCTGCTCCACACACATCGTCTGCTCCACTCACATCGTCTGCTCCACTCACATCGTCTGCTCCACTCACATCGTCTGCTCCACTCACCTCGTCTGCTCCACTCACATCGTCTGCTCCACTCACCTCGTCTGCTCCACTCACATCGTCTGCTCCACTCACATCGTCTGCTCCACTCACATCGTCTGCTCCACTCACATCGTCTGCTCCACTCACCTCTTCTGTTCCACTCACCTCTTCTGCTCCACTCACCTCTTCTGCTCCACTCACCTCTTCTGCTCCACTCACCTCTTCTGCTCCACTCACCTCTTCTGCTCCACTCACCTCTTCTGCTCCACTCACCTCTTCTGCTCCACTCACCTCTTCTGCTCCACTCACCTCTTCTGCTCCACTCACCTCTTCTGCTCCACTCACCTCTTCTGCTCCACTCACCTCTTCTGCTCCACTCACCTCTTCTGCTCCACTCACCTCTTCTGCTGCACTCACCTCTTCTGCTCCACTCACCTCTTCTGCTCCACTCACCTCTTCTGCTCCACTCACCTCTTCTGCTCATCATACCCCACCAGGTTTCCCCCATCCATCCTCCTCCCCTCATATCCCCCCCTATCGCGACCAGACATACCGTATCTCTCACTCCCTGGCTTCCCCCCCACCCCTTCCCACCCCCCCTAACCTCACCTCTTCTGCTCCTCATATCCCACCAAATTGCCCCAATCCATCCACCTCCTCTCCCCCCCCTTTCCCTCCTCCTCTCTGCCTTCCCCTTCCTCCTCCAACTCGTCTTCCCCATCTCCTCCCTCCCCCTCCTCCCACTCTCCCTCCTCCCATTCCTCCCCCTCTCCCCCCCCCCCACCACCCTCCTCTCTCCCAGGCGCATACACCATCACTCCCATGCGCTGAAGCTTCTCAGCAATTGCCTGGGACATGCCAGACTGCCCATCCCCACCGGTCTGCCTCTCCCCACCACCACTGATGCTCCCACTGCCAATCCCACTCCTGCTGCTGTAACCACCGCTGGTGTAACCCCCACTACCGCCATTACTGCTAGACCTACTGCCATAGCCCTCGCTGCTGTTACCACCACTCAAGCTACTACTGCCGCTACTGCCACTACTGCCCCGGTCAGCGTGCAATCCTGACTCCTCCTCCTCCTCCTCCCCTCCCTCCAATGCCCCTCCCATCACTCCCACTCCTGCCAGTAGCACTCCCTGGACGCTGCTGCGGGCGAAAGGGAGTCGAGCTGTCGATTGCTGATTGGACACTGCTGGCAATGGCGTCAAGTTCTGTGGATGTGAACGCGCCCGGTTTGAGGAATTCAATCTCCTGGTCGTAGGAAACAAAAAGGAGGGGGTGGGGTGGGGTGCGGTGGGGTGGGGTGGGGTGGGGTGGGGGGTGGGTGGGGGGGGTGTGCTCGAATTGCTGGTGCTGGCTAGTTGCTGGAGGTGGGGGGGTGTGAAAGAGCCGGACGTGAGGAAATTTATCGTCTGGTTGAAGGAAACAGGAAAGGGCGAGGGAAGAGGGGGGGCGGTGGGGAGGGGAAGGCTTGAATAGATGGTTCTGGCAATGACATCTTGTTATGTGGACAAGAAAGAACCAGAGGGGGAGGGGGCAGAAGGGGGGAGGGGAGGGAGAGAGAGAGGAGGCTATTGACTTGAACCAACGGTGCTGGCAATGCCGTCAAGTTCTGTAGATGGGAATAAGGAAGTTGATGGGGGAGGGTTGGTGGGGGGTGAATAGGGAGAAGGGGGGTTCTTAAGCCGATGGTGGCAGTAATGATGGGCTATGCCAATGGTGGCAGTAATGACGGGCTATGCCGATGGTGGCAGTAATGATGGGCTATGCCGATGGTGGCAGTAACGATGGGCTATGCCGATGGTGGCAGTAATGATGGGCTATGCCGATGGTGGCAGTAATGATGGGCTATGCCGATGGTGGTTGCATGATCCAGCTACTGAGGCGCCTCATAGAATGTACGCCTCATAGAATGTACGCCTCATAGAATGTACGCCTCATAGAATGTACGCCTCATAGAATGTACGCCTCATAGAATGTACGCCTCATAGAATGTACGGTCCGACCTACTCACCAAAATGCCAAAATCCAACGAGGGGCTCGATTCGAACAGCAGCACCTTGACGGGCCCTCCCCACCCGCCTCACTGACGACCAGTAACAGCTGGCAATACAATGCAAGTTGAAGCTACAGCGTATAACCACTGCCACTCACTGGGGTCCCAAGCCCAACGAGGGGCTCGAACAGCATCATCTTGACCGCCCCTCCCCCCCTCCCTTCCCCTGACTGGCGGCCAGTAATAACTGCCAGTCAGGCTTGGGAACCCAGCAACACAATACAAGCTGCATTCAGAATCAGTGCCACTCTTGCCACTCACGGGGGTCGCAAGCCCAACGAGGGCTTTGAACGAACAGCACCACCTTGACAACCCGCCCACCCCCCCCTACCAGAAACACCACAAGCAAGGGCCAACGGGACCCAGCGGTTTTGCCTTTCCAAACCCAATGGTACTCACAGGAGTGCCGAGCCCAACGAGGGGCTCGAACAGCAGCACCTTGACCGCCCCCCCACCCGCCACCACCACCGGCTCTTTCGAATCCCCCTCCCTGCCCTCCCTGTCACTCGCCTCCAACCTGCCCTCCCCCTGACTTCCTGCCGCCCTTCCGCCCTCCTCCTCCCTCGTCTTGGCTGCTGTGCATGAGTCAGCTTGAGCTGGCAGGTGCGCGTGTGGGAGGAGCGGCAGCAGCACGAGCTGTCGGGCCACGGGGCTGTGGGCGCAGGGGAGCATGGGAGAACGGGAAAGGGAGACGGGGGGCGAATGGATGGGGAGAGCACGGGCAGGTGCGCGTGGGGGAGCATTGGCAGCAGAACGAGCTGCCGGGCCACGGGCCTGTAGTAAGTACCTGAGTGTGCGGATGGGGGTGAGCTGGGATGGGGGTGAGCTGGGATGGGGGTGAGCTGGGATGGGGGTGAGCTGGGATGGCATGTCATTGAGCAAAAAAAAAAAGAAACAGCCAAGGCAGGGCATGGTATAAGGAGGGCTGAGCTTAGCGCGCTTTAGAAACATGTGAGGCGTGCGAGATGGAGACATGAAAACAAGGAGCAAGGAAAGAGTCGAGGAATGACAGGTGTCTCGTGTTACCTGTCTTGTGCGCACACCGCCATTCCTCATCCCCTCTCTCTCTCACCTGTCCCACGCATACACTGCCATGCCGCCTGCGCCCACCATGTCGCCCACGTCATCCACAGAAGAAGCCCTCCTCTGCACGGCGCTCCCAGGCAGGGACGAGTTGAGCGCCGGAGCCACGGCAGGGTGGCAGCCGAGGTGCGAGATGAGGTGGGTGAGGACGGCAGAGAGGTCGCAGGAGGCTGGTAGACGCAGGCGGACCGACACCTGGAGGGATGGGTTTGGAGAAGTGGTGGGTGGAAAGGGCTGGGGAGGAGTTGAGAAGGGAGATGAACGGCATTGGGAGAGTCACCCAACACACGTCGATGAAAGACCCACAGCCCTGTAACCCACAACCCTGTAACCCACAGCCTTGCAACACACATCCCCTGGTATGCACATACCTGATGGCCCTTGCAGGTGACAACTGGTGTAGGTAGTATATATGTCTCTGAACCCACACTGCCACCACCACCCCCTTCCTCCGCCCTCTTCTGCGCCTCCTTCTGTCTCATTCGATAGAATCTCACCAGCAAACCCCTCCTCGCCGCCCGCACCGCCTCCTCTAGGGTTTCAGGCCCCACTAACGGCTCTCTACTGAACTTCGGCGATTCAGTCCCTAATTCTGCTGAATCTGATGCTTTAGAATCAGAATATGACGGTCCTGATCCAGCAGGGTCTAAATCTGACGGTCCTGATTCACAGGCGACCCACTCTGATTCCAGTGGAGACGCTGCTACTGCTGCTGCGGAAGCTGTTGCTAGGCCTGCCCACGTGGCAGAAGACCACTGGCCCCTGCTGTTACTGCCTGCTGAGCTGGACTGCGATGCTGACGTGGACGATGCGGGAATCTGTGAAGACGGGTTGAGTGCTGCTGCATGGATCCAGCGATCCGTTATTGAGGTGAAACTGCCAGGCCTTAGCAGAGGTGGACGAGCAGGAGAATGCCACGTGGCAGCATTACCCAGTGGGCTGTCGAGAAGGCGTGGGAAGGATAACATCTGCCTTAAGTTCCGTCGCCAAGCGGCTACATGAGGTGGCGCCATGGCGATTTGATCACGAACACGACAGATCCTATCCCTAAGTCGTGGCTACAGTAGTTATGTCAAGGTAGCCTGGTGGATGCGAGTATTCTAGAAATGTCGAGGTCCCTAATCCGTGCCTAGTGGGTGTAGGAGCTTCAGGTACCAGGCGTCTTGGTGGAGGTAGGATAACATCCAAGAAGGAAAGAAGGGAAGCATCAGAGATTTTTCAGAATTCTGGGTACCAAAGAATACCCATCAAAGTAGCGTAGGGAACACGCTAGACAGAATTTTGACCTTCCCTTATGATATGATTCGTTTGAAGGTAGAATCATGGGAGTCGAAAATGTACGATTGGCCATAATAGAACGCGTGGACAACAATGCTGTCCTCTGACCACCTTCCGATTGCTGGGCTGACGAAGCTCGCGAAACTCCAAATCTCTTTCGGCAAGGTGAATTTCTCTCGACGATCTCGACTCGACCAATCCCCGACCTATCAACTCCCTTAGTCCAACCTTTTTATGATCGCGAATCGTAGAGTAGCACGTCAAGCCAACCAGAAGAAGCGCGCTTTGTCTGGCCCAGTCATCCCTAACCAATCATTTATCGTCGAAGCCTGCACCACTCCCCAGGAGGGCGAAAGCGTCAGCACGCTGTTGATTCACCCACTACACGTCATCCCACGCATTGGTCGCGCTGGCCGCAGAGCATATTCTGCACCCATACTTGAACATGACTGCCTCGACTTGTCGGCCTGAACCACGTGTCCCAATCCGGAGAAACCTCGGATTTCCGTGTCGGTTTTCCCCACGAATTTCTGCGCCAAAGTGTCCCGTCAGTGCGGTCCGCGTTTGGTCCTGTGTGCAATTCCCCCCCCTCGGCTCACACCTCCACACACCTGCCCGCCCGCACCCTTCAGGAATCAGGGGACCTCCAACAAAAAGCGACCATAGTCGCGCAAGAAATATTAACCGTCGGATCTTGGAAGCCAGACCTGTTTACTTGTCTCCGCCGTCAATCCGTTCTGAAAATTTCAGCCAATGCAAATAACTCCCTCCGCCAGCGGACCAAAATCCCCTCATCCTGGTTCAGACTCTGCTCCTGATTTCCCCCAATCTGCCCAATCAGGGGGCAGGGTGGTCCGAAAATGGCTGACAGCGCGAGCACTGGCGCACGGTTTAGGAGGGAAAATAACAGAGAGCAAATGGGGGTTTAGGCGGGGGGACAGGCATGAGCGGAAGGGGGAAGACTGGGGGAGTACAGTACTCATGGGAGAGGGGGACCGGACCGGAGAGGAGGAGGGGGAGGGGGAGGGGGAGGGGGAGGACGGCATGGGGAGCAGAGGGCGACGAACCAGCGACCGAAACTGCCACAAGCAGCAACTGCCTCCGCATTGGTGCTCGCGCTGCCTGGCTGCTCGCCTGCTGCTTGCTCGTGCTTTGCTGCGCTGTCTTGCTGGTGCGATGGATCATGGGATGGGATGGTCAGCAGCTGTTGTTGTGGGCGTTCAAAAACTAGGGAAGGAAAGGGATGCATCATGCCCAGGAGCAGCAACAACCATCACCTCGATGGCTCTCGCACATGTCAGCAGCACCCGCCTAATCACGCTCTTAGCTTGGCATTCCGTCTAAGTTCGAGCCGGATCTAACGAGCCGCAGGCATAGCATACGATTTGGTTTCTAACTCCAGCTCAGTTGTTCAACGACGATTGTGTCAGAGGCTGCGCGCCTCCTCTTGTCGTTCCCAAGTTAGGGATTAATAATTATCAACTGGGCCCTGCTCTTCCCATCAGAAAATTAAACCATCGACTTGAGTTATTATTCAGCAAATAACACTGCGTCGTGAAACCCGGCGGATCTCGTGCTGGGAGTGACTGTTTGATCCATGGGAAAGCTAAGCCCAGTGGGACCGAAGCTCGGTTCTAGTTACTACGGTGCGCAGCGGGAGGTCGTTCGACCGCAGCTGTTATCTCCAGGAGCTTATCAGGTGCCGCTCAATGTCTTATCTCTATCTTATCTCTAAGAGTTATTTCGGCGGCAGCTTCCGCGCGTGCGCGGCGGGGACTGAGGCCTCGAGATCCGCTAGTCCAGGGCGTCTTGTTTAAAGCCTTAATGTTTCTTCGGGGTTTTCCTGTCGTTAGAGGCGAAGCAGGCACTGCGCCACGAAATCGCGTCTCATTTAGTGCTCAATTCCTCTGTTTGCGGCGTATAGCTTGTGGTATCTCGTCGTTCGATGCTTGTCTGTCGCATCCCTTCTTTTCTGTCGACTGTCCTGTTCCCCTCAATCTCGCTTCTACCAGTGCTGAGTTCCCCTTTCAATAGCTTTACCCCGCGCGTTGTGCCGCTCCCCTAACTCGTCCCCGTCCACTCCCCCAACTCGTCCCCGTCCACTCCCCCCCCCCTCACCCCCCTCTCTTCTTCCCCCATCTCTTACCTCTTTCCCCCGCGACTTTCCAGGCCTCGTCGCCGCTCCCCTCGTTGCGCTGTTGCCACGCCAGCCATGTATCTTCCGCCATTCCCGTCCCGCCGCGGTCCACGTCAGCAACAGCGGCCAATCAGGGCGATCCACGTGGCAGCGGCCGCAAGAAACTGCGCCCGTGTCTCTCCGCCCCGCCCCTGTACATATCCTCCTTTTTCTATACGAACGTAACCCCCCTGCGCGCCGCCCGCTCGCCTTCCGCCGGCTCTCCCAGTTCCGCGCACTCCCCCGGTTCCCCACCATTCCCCCGCGCCTCCTCCGCCTCCTCCTCCGCTTCTTCCGCCAGCCGCAAGCATCGGCAATCCCTGCCGAGCCAGCGCCTGCCCCCGCTTCTCCCCGCTTCCCCGCTTCATTCTTCCGCCTCTTCCGCCTCCTCCCCGCCGTCGTCCCCGTTCCTCTCCCGCTCCCCCAATTTCCTCCCCCGATCTTCGTCACTCTCCTCCGCTTCCTCCCTCCCCTCTCCTCCCTCCCTCTCCTCCCCATCCTCTCTCTCCTCCCCCCCCGCGCTCACCTCTCCGCTCTCTACCCGTCCGCGGACGTCCTCCGGCAAGACTGCCGGCGGACCAAACGGCGCCGGCAAAGTGGAAGCGCGCGCCCTGCGCTCGGGGCTTTCGACGGCTGGCCGGCGGTCGCGCGGCCGGCAGCCGGCAGACGACGAGGAGGAATACTTTTATTTTCTGCCCGACGTTGAGGACGAGTGGGAGGAGGAAGAGGCGGTGCAGAGGCACAGGCGCGAGGGGCAGCGCTGGCGGGGGGATCTCGGCGGGGAGGCGCAGGGAAAGGGCGCGGAGGCGGAGCGCGGGGAGCGGGGAGCGCCCCCCGGGTACGGGAGTGGATCTGGGGGTGAGAGCCTGTATGGCAGCAGCGGCAGTGGCGGCGTTATTGGCGGCGGTTTTGGCGGTGCGGATGGCTTGAGTAGCTATGGACCGTACCAGGAGTTACATCACCACACGTTTCATCAGCCGTTACAGTATCAACAGCATCCGCAGCCGCAGCCACAGAACTGGTACCCGTACGACCCTCTCGGTTCACAACAACCGGCTCAGCAACAGGCGCAGAAGCAGCAGCAGCAGCAACCAGAGCAGCAGCAGCAACAGCAGGAGCAGCAATGGCGGCAGCAGCAGCAAACGAACGGCCAGGAGCAGGACTTTCAACGGCAACGGGAGCAGCTATGGGGGTGGCAGCAGCAGCAGCAAGAGCAGTTATGGCAGCAACAGCAACAGCAACAGCAACAACAGCAGCAGCAGCAGGCGCAGTGGCAACAATCGGAGCTGCAGTCAGGGCTGCAGCAGCAGCAGCGGCAGCAGTGGGAGCAACAGCAGGGAGCACAGCAGCAGCAGCAGCAGCAGAAGCAGACGCAGCAGGATGGTGACGTGGCAGGGCAAGCATTGCAAGATCATGATCAACAGCGCCACGTCAGCAGCCGCTCCCAGGAGCATAAGCACCACCATCACCACCACCATAATCATAGTCATAAACACGGGCACGGGCACGGGTATGCGCATGCGCATGGGCATGGAAGTGAGCAGGAGAGAGGGAATGAGAAGGGGCGTGGGCACGGGCACGGGCACGGGCATGGGCATGGACATGGGCAAGAGAAAGGCAAGACTGTTTCTGGGCCTCGGTTGCCCCTTTCTCAGGCTCAGGCGCAGCGGCAGGTGGCGCAGTGGGCGGTGAGGGCGCTGAGAGCGGTCAAGGACAACATGGTTCTCTCGCTGCCGCCCGAGTCGCTCATCCTCGTCGTCTCGTGCCTCGTGGGCGTGCTCACAGGCTCGTCAGTCGTCTTATTTAATGACACGGTGAGTTGAAGTCTGTTAATCGATTCAAGAGGGGCCTGAGTCGCTCATTATCGTCGTCTTGTGTCTCGTTGGCGTGCTGACCGGATGATGAGTCGGCCTATCTAATGACACGGTGAGTTGGCTAGTACAGGATCACACAGTGGGTGCTGTTTAACTACTGGGATGGCAGAGGGACCAAACGATGGCTGACGTGTGGCACCTCTCATCCTCCCACTTAATGCCTTTCCCCCACTCCCCCACTCCCCCACTCCCACACTCCCTCACTCCCCCACTTCCCCACTGCCCACACTTTCCAGGTGCACATAATCCGAGACACGCTTTTCCAGAACGTGAGGAGGGCTCCATGTGGCTGAGAGGCCAATCAGTAGCAGACCTCTGGCACCTCTTCTTTCCCCCCATGGCTTTCCCCATGGCTTTCCCCATGGCTTTCCCCAATGGCTTTCCCCAATGGCTATTTTCCTATCCCAGGTGCACATCATCCGAGACACGCTCTTCCAGAACGTTCCGCACGAGGAGGGCTCTGCGTGGCTGAGGGACCAATCAGCGGCCGACGTGTGGCACCTCTTCCTGGTGCCCCTGGCGGGCGGCATTGCTGTCGGCATACTCAACGCTCTGAGGTCCGGGCTCAAGGACACCGCCCCCACCCGCACCCAGAAGCAGCAGCAGCAGCAGGAACGGTTACGGAGGGAGGAGGAGGGGAGGGAGGATGAGGGTGGAAAGACACAGAAGAAAAACCCCAAGCAGTTAGGCCTTTCCGTCCCATTCCTCACCCCGGACGACCTCACCGAGCTTAACCGCAAGGCTCGGGCCGTGGCTCGGCCGGTCCTGAAGGCCCTGGCAGCAGCAGTCACCCTCGGCACGGGCAACAGCCTGGGGCCTGAGGGCCCGAGTGTGGAGATCGGGTCGAGCATCGGGAAGGCGACAGGAAGCATCGTGCGCGGCAGCCGGGAGCGCACGATCGCTCTCGTCGCGGCAGGCTCGGCTGCGGGTATCGCGTCGGGGTTCAACGCGGCGGTGGCGGGGTGCTTCTTCGCGTTGGAGTCGGTGCTCCGGTCGTCCACGCAGGGGTCTCCTGCGAGCCTGACCACTGCGATGATCCTCCTGTCGTCGGTGCTGGCCGCGGTGGTGTCACAGGCCGGGCTGGGCGCCGACCCGGCTATCCACGTACCGTTGTACGAGCTGAGATCGCCGGCCGAGCTGCCTCTGTATTTACTCCTCGGGCTGTGCTGCGGAGGGGTGTCGATCGCGCTCACGCGCTCGGCGTCCTTCTTCTCGTCCATGTTTGATAACTTGGAGGCCAACACGCACGTGCCGCCCGTGCTGCTGCCAGCGATTGGCGGGCTGGGGATCGGGGTGATCTCGCTGGTCTACCCCGAAGTCCTCTATTGGGGTTTTCAGAACGTCAATGACCTCATCACGTCACACCCGCTGGTCGCTTCCCCTGCGGTACGTGCTGGTTGCGTCTGTGCCCCACAAGCTGCCTGCCATTGGGGGGTTGGTGATTGGGGGGTTGGGAATTGGGGGGCTGGTGATTGGGGGTTTGGGAATTGGCGGGCTGGGCATCAGGGTGATCTCGCTGGTGGACCCCGAAGTCCTCTACTGGGGCTTTCAGAACGTCAATGACCTCATCACGTCACACCCGCTGGTCGCCTCCCCTGCAGTACGTGCTCCCAAGTGTATATCTTGATCCGTGCTGCTGCACTGTATTTCCCTTCGTTCTTCCCCCTTTCCCCTCCACCCCTCTTCCCTTTCCCACGTTCCCTTCCACCTTCCCTTTCCCCATCTCCTTATCTCTGCCCTGGCATGCCCTAGCAATCCTTCCGTATCTCTGCCCTGGCATGCCCTAGCAATCCTTCCGTATCTCTGCCCTGGCATGCCCTAGCAATCCTTCCGTATCTCTGCCCTGGCATGCCCTAGCAATCCTTCCGTATCTCTGCCCTGGCATGCCCTAGCAATCCTTCCGTATCTCTGCCCTGGCATGCCCTAGCAATCCTTCCCTGGCATGCCCCTGGGAGGTTTTCATCCAGTTATGCCACCAGGATCGCTTGTGCTACTTTACCAATAATGCCCTTCCTTCCTCCTTCGCCCTCCTCCAATCTCCATTTTCCCTTCCCCCCTCTCTCTTGCCCCAGCCGGGATTCCTCCTCCATCTCGTGGAAGTGAAAGTCCTCGCCACTGTTTTTCTCCTGTGGCTCTTGTGCTCACTCCTTTCCCCTCCCCGTGCCCCCTTTCCCCAATTCCCCCTCCCCCAGCCGGGCTTCCTCCTGCAACTCGTCGTGGTCAAGGTCCTCGCCACTGCCTTCTGTCGCGGCTCTCGCCTCGTGGGCGGCTTCTACGCGCCGTCGCTCTTCATAGGGGCGGCACTGGGGGCGGCGTACGGGCGGCTGGCGAGCGACCTCCTGGCGTTCATTGACCCGGACCTCACGTTCACGTGGATCCAAGTGGCCGCTCCCCAGGCCTACGCCATGGTAAGACTCCTAGCTGCCGTCCCCCTCCCCCTCCCCTCCCCCCCCCCTCCACGTCTCGGCCTTGCTCATCCCGTCAAGTCGCCTCAACGAGCGACCTCCTGGTGTTTCTTGACCCAAGAGGATCTCACGTGACCCGGAGTCTCACCCTGGCGTGGATCCAAGTGGCGGCTCCCCAGGCGTACGCCATGGTAAGACCCCCAGCTCTCATCGTCCCCCCCCCCAAACTGTCTACCCTCGATCACCCGCGACTACCGCGTCATCCTGCCCCTCATGCCTGCTGTCTGTCCCGCCTTTACCCGTCCCCAACCCCCACCCCTGCATGACGCAGGTGGGCATGGCAGCACTCTCGCAGGCGTGTGTCAAGTGCCTCTCAACATCCGTGTGCTGCTCTTCGAGCTCACCCGCAACTACCGCATCATCCTGCCCCTCATGGCTGTTACCTGTCCCGCGTTTACTCTTCCCCCATCCCCATCCCCATCCCCTCACGATGCAGGTGGGCATGGCGGCTACCCTGGCAGGAGTGTGTCAGGTGCCCTTACCTCCGTGCTTCTTCTCTTCGAGCTCACCCGTGACTACCGCATCATCCTGCCCCTCATGGCGGCGGTTGGCATCTCCTCCTGGCTCGCCTCCACCACTGCCAGAAACCCCTTTACAACTTCTTCCCCGCTCTCCCCCCTGATCCCCTCTCAATCACCAACAGGTGGGCATGGCGGCTACTCTAGCTGGAGTGTGTCAAGTGCCCCTCACCTCCGTGCTCCTTCTATTCGAGCTCACCCGAGACTACCGCATCATCCTGCCACTCATGGCTGCAGTCGGCATCTCCTCCTGGCTCGCCTCCACTGCTGCCAGAAAGCCCCGCCGCCCCAAACCTGGCGGCGTCACCGTCTTTGCTCCCTCCAACTCGCCGTCCTCCTCTTCCTTCTCTTCTTCCTCCTCCTCTACTTCCTACCCTTCCTCCCCCTACCCCTCTTCCTCCTACCCTCCCTCCTCCTACCCCGGTTCTCTCTCCCCGTCGTTCTCGCCTATTCTCGCGCCGGCGCCTGTCCCCCCCTCGCCGCTGTTCTATGCCGGAACAGCCAACGCTGCCCCGTTTGCTCCTGGCGCTGCTGCTGTTGCTCCTCCTCCTCCTCTTCCTCCATACACACCGTCTCAACTCCCTGGTCCTTATCCTGGGTCGCTCTATCCGGGGACTACTTATTCTGGGCCGGAACCGTGGATGGGTGGAGGAGGTGGGGAGGGGATGGGGAGGGATGCCAGAGGCGGGGAGATAGGAGGAAGAGAATGGGTTGGTAATGGTGATGGTGGTGGTGGTGGTAAGGAGGGGGCTGATGTTCCCTACTCGAATCCCTCTGCTGCTGCTGCTGCTTCTGCTGCTGCTTCTGCTGCCTCCTTTTCTTCACCTCCGGGGTACAGGGAACCAGGCTCTGCTGCGTACGGCGCACCCAGCTCTGCTGCATATGGTTCGCACAGTTCTGCCGGGTACGGTTTGGCCACTTCTGCTGCCTACGGTTCGATGTCTCAACCGTATGTTCGGGTGGGGGCGGATGACGATCACTTCTGGTCCCCTGGAGCCCCTGCAGAGGCAGAAGGGGTAGAACAGCAGCAACAGCAGCAGCAGCAGCAGCAGTGGCTTCCTGCCTCGCATCTCTCCTCCCCACACTCCTCCCCTCTCTCCTCCCCTCCTTCCTCCCCCAAGCGTAATACGCTCTCCAAGGCTCCTTCCTCTGGGCCCAAGGTGGCCAGTGCAGCAGCAGCAGCTGCAACCGCAGCCGCAGCAGCGGCAACTGCAGCAGCGGCAGCAGCAGCAGCGGCGTCCAGTGCCCAGGAGAAGGCGTATGACAATCCCGATGCTTCTTCATTTATGCCGGAGCTAGACCTAGCTGCGGAAGTGGCTGCCGAAGCTGCGGGTGTGGCCGCCGAAGCTGCAGCCACGGCTGCCGAAGCTGCTGTCGAAGCAGCGGCAGAAGCAGCTGAAGCTGATAATGCCGCTGCGCTTTCGCCAACAGATGACAATGCTGCTCCTTCCCCTCCTGCTGCTCCTGCTGCCACCACAGCAGCCAACCCTCTAGTGCCAGCTGTTATCCTGGACGTTGCAGGTGGAGCGGGAGGAGTGGTGTCTCCAGGGGGTTTTTCAGGTGGTTCAGCAGAGTCTAACGCTACTGTGATTGTGCTGGAGAGGGCAAGTGGCCTAGTGCCTGACCCGGTACCCCCTCGTCCTCTCACTTCTTCCTCCCCAGCCACTACTCAAGGCCCTTCTGCTTCTGCTCCGCTTGGTGCCCCTTCGGAAGCGGAGGCAGCTCAGGCTGATGCAGCAGCAGCAGGAGTGGCAGCAGCAGCAGCTGTGGCGGCGGCAGCAGCAGCTTCGGTGGTGGTAGATGCAGCTTCGGCGTCAGCAGCAACAGCAGCTGCTGGCGCCACAGGGGCAAGTGACAGTTCATTGGAAGCAGGGTCTACTGAAGTGGATGCCAGCTTGAATCAAAGACATTCAGCAGCGGCAGCAGCAGTGGCAGCAGCAGCAGCACCATTGGAAGTTGAGGTGCCAGGGGCAAGCAGTGATGGGCTCTCACAAGAGACCCCACCTGCTGTCTCCCCCTCTCCTTCTCTCGACCTCCCACCCACAGACCTCCCTCCTTTGAGAATCCCCGCCCCCTCGTCAACTTCCTCCCCTCACTCTCCCCGTTCTCCCACCAACCCCCAACAAGGCTTCATGCCCCCCTCCCAGCCTAGTTCCCCTCCTCCCGCCCCGCCCTCTTCCCCTTCTTTCGCACCTCTCCCCCCCCTCCTCCCCTCGTTGTGGTCTCGCGAGACGACGGGGTCTCTTTAGACGTGCGGGACGGGGTGTTTTTAGAGGAGCAGCTCTTAGAGGAGCTACCGGTGGCAGTGGCGATGAACACGTCCTTCGCAGCAGTGAGGGTGGGAGCCATGGTGCGGGACGCTGTAGCAGCCATGGTGGCGCACAGGCAGTGGTGCTGCCTGGTGCTGCAGGACGGGGGGTACCTGCACGGGTTGCTCACTCTTGTGGATGTACAGGAGGAGGCGGAGAGGCAGTTGACTGCGGGCGGTGCTGCTGGTGATGTGGAGTCCCTTCCGGTCGTTGCCATCTGCCACCAGCATCCAGACTCTGAAGCCTACCTCCGCTTCCCTTCAGGCTCAGACTCTTCGCTGGATGTGCATGGGCATGGGCATGGGCATGGGCATGGGCATGGGCGTGGCCACTCCTCCTCCTCTTCCCCCTCCTCCTCCTCCTCTTCTTCCACTTCCGGTTCTGCTTCGGGCATTGCCGCCCGGGGCCGGGCGTCAGAGGACATAGAGGTGACCTTTCCGGATACCACGCTGCGGGCGGCGCGCGACCGCATGACGGCTCGCGGGCTTCGGCAGCTTCCTGTGGTGCTTCGGGAGGATGTGACAGTGAGGAGGGAGAGGGTGGGGGGCAATGCTTCGGGGAGTGGTGGCAGCAGTGGGAGTGAGAGTGCTGGTTACAGCAGCAGCAGCAGCAGCAGCAGCAGCAGCAGCAGCGGGAGTGGGAGTGAGAGTGAGAGTGGGAGCGAGAGAGAAGAAGATGGTTCTACGGATGAGGAGAGTGGTTCTGATGCTGATGACCGCAATGCCGATGATGGCGATGATCGCGTGGCGCCTGTAGTGCGACTGCGGGTGCTGGGATTGGTGGATCGAGACGACATCTCTCTAGCTTGCAGGTACAGTGCAAGCATGATAAGAGCACTTGTTGCAACACTTTTGCCGGTTCAGCACTCTGTTCTTCTCCTACCCACAAGCATCACGTTGTCAGCTGTGCTCCGTATACCACCCACTCCACCCCTTCCCTCTCCACCCTTCCCCTACCCTCCCCTCCAGTTTTTCTCCATGGCATCCACTCAACTCAACCCTTTCCCATCTGTTGCATGTCTTCCCACTCTCTCTCCTTCCAGGGCGGAGGCCACTCGGCGCCTGCTCTCAGCTCTCCCTCGGGATTCCCATTCCTCTGGCAGAGACAACGGGGGTGCGGGCATGCAGCAATTGGACAGTTCTCTCTTCCCAGCTGCCTGACAACCTTCCATCTGTGTTACTTCCGCTGCTGCTCGCCCAGTCACATGGCCCATTACTCTGGTCGACAGTGGGGATGTGGCCATGCAGCAGCTGGGCAGCTCCCTCTTCCCAGCTGCCTGACACTGTCAGCTGCTTATAAGTTATGGTTGTAGCCACATGCTAGGTTGAGAATAACACCTCGTGATGGTTATTGCATAACCCATATGTAAAATGCGGTGGCGTGTAAAGCTCAGAAGAAACGTTGTCCATGATTGAAAGGTGGTCAGATGAGGTGAAGAGTATGTCTAAAAGTTCGAGGTGCCTAGATGTTCTGTACCATACCCTTGAATGGTTGTCTAGGTTTCCTGGTTCAGGCTTGAGGGTGGGTAGGTACCATAGACTTGAATGGTTGTCTAGGGGTGAGCACTTGGGCTCGTGATGGTTATTCATGCAGGCATGTCGCTTGGGAGTGCAGTGCTTGTTCCAATCCAAACAGTTGCTAGCTTGGTCTCATTCCCATAAACCCTGCATCCAGAAAAGGAGTTTTGAGCCTGGTGCATGGTACTGTTCTGATGTCTGCAAATGGAACTAAAAAGCCGTTGAATTGCTTCTCTGTGGTAGATTGCCAGGATCTCTCAGATCGTACTCATTCATTTGATGGCAATCTAGGCGAATTGATATTGAGCCCCACAATGTCAGCCTTCACGAATGTCTTGGACATCCCAGAAATAATGCCTGCAAAGAAACGCTTTACTTAGGCAAGACTGAAGCTGGGAGCACTGCAGCTACCTTAAACTTGAAAATGAGAAGAGCTACGTGTAAACGTGGTTCCTCCCAGGGAGGTGATGAGGAGCCAGGGCTAGATAGACGAGCATGAACATGAGCATCACGGGAATAACCAGCAGCGCTGAAGGCGGAGGCGAAATACTCGGGAGAAGCGCCGGCAGCACTATCAGGAGAAACAGAAAGACGGTCACCACCAGGATCGCACGTCGCGACATCATCCTAGCAGCTGGCGGCGTCCCTGCGATCAATTCTTTTCGTGTCCCGGATCGTCCATCAATTTGGTGGGAATCTTGAATATCTTGCTCGGAAAATCCCAGGAGCTCTTCGGCAGGTGGAGCTCTCGTCGCAGCAAGCTCGGAAACGGCGTGGGCGAGATGAGCCTCGACTGGGTCTCCTTGTAACCGAACCGGGTTGCTTTGAAACGACATGCCGGGACGATGACGCTGCTGCTGACCTCCGCGATTTTGGCCGTCGCTGATCGACGAGGAGAAGGAGGACGAGGAAGAGGAGGAGGAGACACGGTAATCTGCTGGGAGGGGAGAGTCGGTTAATCGCCGCTGGTAAGAATTCTGTCTTGAGGGTCTCCTTAAAGGGTCTGACGAAGACGACGGCCCCCCGGACGACTTTCGCTGAATCTGCTTTTTGGGGCCGCTGGAAGAGAGGAAGTCGTAGTAGGGGTCGAGACCGGGAGCGGAGGTCGCGGAAGCATCATGGTGACGCCACGAGGGTCCCATAGCATGCACGGAGAAGACGTCAGATGGGGACGTGAACGTAGTAGACGGGTTAGGCGGCGATGCGTGCAGATCGACAGCGGCAGGAAGAAGCAAGGAGGGGGTTGAGGTAAAGTGAGAGAGGTCGAACACTGACCTCTTCCAACTCGGGTCCCCTGCGGAGTCCATTAGTAATACAAAAAGTTGATCGCTCTTCTGACGGAAATAAAAGACGAAATTGCTGAATCGGGAAACTAATTCGGTTTCAACAGAATAAGGATCAGCCCGTCGTTTAAGAAAGTCACTGGCAACGAGGGGAATGCTTAGCAGATGGAACGAGATCGAGATAAGGCCGAGCCTAGCACCTACTATTCAGAAGGTGAAAGGTGTTACTCCCAGCACCTACAAGCTAACCTGGGGAGGGAACATCATGAGCAGCGGATTGGTTGAAAAAGGTTGTCCACTGAGTAGAAACACGTGGTGCAAAAACGGGGGGATTTGTACACTGGCTCTTGCGTGGGCAGGAAGGAAAAGGCGTGAAACACTTCTCCTGACGTGTGAACCAAGTGAGCCCGCGGCCCATCCGCGGCAAGCTCCAGGTCCAGGAGCCGCGGCGGGAAAAAGGTGTTGTCTGAATGAGGAAGGCAATGCACCAGCATTGCTGCTGGGAAAAAGGGTGGGGTGGGAGCTTGGGGGGAATGGGAAACGGATAAGCGCGAGCTATTCGCGCAAAACTTGCAGCTACGGGGGGGAGGAGGGTGATGCAGAGCAGAAAGTGAGGGGGGGGAGGGGGGTTTCGTCCGAGCCTGCCTTGGGGATCCGAGCCTGCCTCTTTGATGAAACTCACACCAATCGCAGCCCTCCATGCTTGTCTGTTCCAAACCAGAGGCGAGGCTGGGGCTCTTTGGCCCATGCCTGTGATGTGCTGGAGGGTTCGTCAGCAGTCTCCCCGAACCACAGCCTCCCCACACCACAGCCTCCCTGCAGCCTCCCGTTCAATAAACAATGAATCCGAAATAGTGCTGTAGAACTGTAGATTTGAAAGCAATCGATATCGGATGTGCAAGAATCCTGCAGCATCTGATCCTTTCGAGACTGATTCTGCGTTACAGCAACTACTGAATTTTTCTCGAATCGGGCAACAAGCGAAACAAATTTACAGCCTCGCGGCTGAGGGAGGCTAGATAATCAACCAACCAACATAAATACCAATTCATAGGGTCAAAACAAATCTATGTATACCCCGAGCCTACATAGAGCTCGCGATCAGTGTACCAAGCACACAACAAGGTCTTTCCAACAGAAGATTTTTGCTGCAAGAAGGAATGCAGTCCAACTACACCCTAAATCTCGATAACGTCACTTGTTTTTTGGCAGGGCGGTTGGCATTTGTTTTTAGCGAAATGTGGTGTTACGCGACTCCGAAAGAGGCCCCTCGCTATTGGTATTTCCCGAAACCAAAGCGGCCAACAAAAACTAGGGGAGTGTTGGCGACGAAATCGAGGTCCAGTTGAAATCGTCGAAAACAGAGACACCCCAACCGCAGCCAGCACAGCCTGAAACAACTTGTTTCAGCATACACACAACACCAGCAACAATACGCCCCTATGGAAAGCGGTACTGCCTAGCGATACTAGTACTAGTAGGCCACGATTAAAGATACCGACGCCATAGCCTAAAAAGTTACAAAATCGACAAAATTGGAACCTGATAGAGAGGAGAAGGAGAATGTCCGGGTACTCCGAAAATGAAACGGCCCACAACTATCACTCGCCATGACTCCCAGCGCTGTTTCGCCAACCGTACTTAAATCACCATAACTGCAGCGACTTCAGTAAAGAGACACACAAGATATCTGAATTATATTTAACGTGATGCGACAACGCGCCACAATATCCCTTCCGCTTCGCACAACAAATCATATTCCGCCACGTTCCCTTCCCTTTCCATTTCCGCGCCAGCCTCGTCCGTTTGAGGAGCATTAAGGTCGAAGTTAGGGTAGGTACTGGCTCTCTTTAGCCTCTCTGAAACCACGGGATTGCTAATCTCTAGCAAATGCAGCAAGTCACGAGGCTCCACTTCAATCTTGTGCAAAATTCACCAACACACTTGTAGCATGCCACGCTAGACGCCTCTCCGTACGGGCAGGAATGACGTGGGTGACAGGTCCCTGCAGCTGAGCCTCTTTTGCAGTTGCATCTTCGACAGAAAGAGGAGGCATACCTGCAGGTAACTCAGGAGTTGGCAGCCCGTTGTCCACCACAACAAATTCCTGCGGTCCCATAGCATCCGTGCAAAGGGAAAGCTGGCCTAGAGCAGCTCCAAACACCCCCAGCTCGTCCGCAGACGGGTCTGCCCCCGTGGAAGCCGCATTCACATGCCGCAGTAAGGGGAGCCATTGCACAGGAAAACAACGACAACTCCACCAACAGCGTTGCACGGTCGAAGGATCAATCGATCTTCATGCTTGGCTGAGTCCAACGATAGTCCGCTTCGCGTCCGACTTCAAGCGGCCCACGTTAATTGCCCCTCCGGTGTTGTCCCACTGATCCACCACCTCGCCCACCCACCCCGAGCGAAATCGCATTTTGAGTGTCGCGATTAGCCCTTGATCAAGCGGCTGAAGGTGGGTGGTTGTGTTGGTTAGGAGGAAAACAAGTCGCACGTTGGAGAGTCAGAGCGTCTTAAGCCCAAGCAATACTTCCACCACTCCTTTACCGTATGCGATGATGCGTTGTCCAACAAGATAATGCACTATCGACCTTGAACGTAGAAAGTGGAGTCGACATTCGTAACTCATTCGTTGCACCGCTCGAAGCGCAAAGATCAATGCACGAAAAGGGAACATAATGGGTGTGTGAAATAGGGAATGACATGGTGAATGAAAGGATCAATATGAAGGTGCAAATAGAATGAATGAATGAATCTGAAAGGGAGAACGGAAGGGTGCAAAAAAAGAATGAATGAAAAGGGTGAATACGAATGGTGGAAAGAAAGGGCGAATGAAAGGGTGAGTGAAAGGGGGAATGAAAACGAAAGGGTATATGAAAGGGTGACTGAAAATGAAAGGGGGATTGAAAATAAAATGGTGAATGAACGGGTGAATGCAAGGGGGATTGTAAATGGAAATGTGAATGAAAGGAATAATGAAAAGGGGAATGAAAACAAAATGGTGAATGAAAGGGTGAATGAAAGGGAAAGTGTGTATGAAAGGGTGAATAAATGGGTGAATAAAAGGGGAATTGAAAGGGGGACTGAAAATGAAAGAGTGAATGAACGGGTAAATGAAAGGGGGACTATAAATGAAAGGGTGAATGAAAAGGTGACTGAAAGGGGGACTTAAAATGAAAGGGTGAATGAAAGGGGCAGATAAAAAAGGGAATGAAAGGGCGAATGAAAGGGGGAATGAAAACAAAATGGTGAATAAAAGGGTGAGTGAACAGGTGAATGAAAGGGGGACTGAAAATGAAAGGGTGAATGAACGGGTGAATGAAAGGGTGAATGAAAGGGGGACTCTAAATGAAAGGGTCAATGATCGGGTAAATGAAAGGGTGAATGAAAGGGTGAGTGAAAGGGTGAAGCTGAAGGTTGAAGGGAAAGGGGGAATGAAAGGGGGACTGAGTGGCTGAAACTGAAAGGGTGAATGAGAGAGGGATTGAAAGGGTGAACGAAAAGGGTGGAATCACATACCGCACGCGTTATCCAACCACTCCGATTTCATCGCCACCGCACATGATCCGCGACCCTAAAACCTCAATGAAATGCGTGAGGGCGCTGGACCTTGGAAATAATGAAGGGTTTTCACAAGTCGAAGCTGTCTGCATTGCATAAGAGAGCAACGGTGAGACGATCCTTGCACTCACGGGCCGCCTGCATGCGTCTTAGCTGTATAAGTTCGACGCGATAGGTGCGCTAGAAACAGCGGTGTTTCATCAAAGTTATACCGATCCCACGGAGCAACACCAAGAAGAAGCAACAAAATCGGGAGTACGACACGGCAGTGATTGACGGCGTCCATATTGGCAGCTCAAGCTTCACCTTTGCGTATGAGGCAGCGCAAGCCCATGCGGCCAAGAGCTCTAGTAAGCCCGAAACTCCTTAAGACAACCCGCTCTGTTCGCAATGCCTTGCGCCTTTTCCATGATAATTTCCATTATCAATGGCAATCCAGCAGAAGCACCATGGCAAATCCACACTTAGAGCTCCTCCTCAAGAGTGGGATTTGCTCCTTTGCGATTCCTCACTCGACTCTCGTAGTTGGTGGACCTGGCATTTAGCCACTCTGCTGAGGCTGCCAAAATCTTACTAATCATGCTAACATGTGGCCTAATACGCCATGTGACCAAATCTGCGTAATTCAAACTAGAGTCAGATTTTATCTTGAGGCAGATGACTTGTTTCATCATGCGGGTCTGTTGGCAGGGTGCGCGCATTCTCGTAGTATCAATCAGCTTAAGTGTCTGGTATAATTTCGGCCAGTGAAACGTTGTGTCGTAAGCTGGGGAGACTGTATGTTCCACGAGCCATAGTACTCCATTTAAAACTGCACCCCCCTTGGTGTCTTTCCAAATCAAATTGCTCCCTGCACTGCGCGTTCTCCAAGGTTCAACGGATTGCTGGGCAAAATCTACTGTTGCGGTGTGGAGTGCATTTCAGGAAGTGTTCGGTGTCTGCTTTCGGTGGTGTAGGGGAAACCGGTTGCAAATCTAAATACACCGTTAGTAGTGTAGCTAGCAGTTGGCCGTTAGAATCATCGTCACCACCTTGCTTTCGCTCTTTCCGGTGGTGTTTGTTGTGCCGGTCAGTGATTTCGCCAACGCGCGCCTCGTGGTTCCGTCAGTTCATCGCTAAGTGCAGTCGCACCTGTTGAACTCGCTGAGGTTAGACGCCTTCTCCCTGACCAAGGGTGCCTGAACTCCACGTCAGTAGAGGTGGCAATTGTGCTGTCGTCATCACCAGTTTGGCACAGAGCATCTCGATGCCGCGCGTCATATCCAACTGCGCACTCGTTTCGATCCTCTCGCTATGTTGTTATTTTTTTATTTGATTGGAAATTCGTGGGCATGGCGAAATGGACTGAAAGTACCCATTTCCGTCCAACGATGCATCAAAATGACACCAACTGGGGACAGGGTACTGTCAAATTGTTTCGCAGCAATGTGATCACAAGCCGATTTGGGCAGTGACGGTTAGGGCGGTTGTGATGTTTCGTGATATGAAGTTAACTAGATTTAGGGTGTATTACCAACAAACTTCCGTCCGTGGCTTCTTTTGTACACACTCGCAACAGCTTGGCCGCGGCTAGTGCCAGTAGCGATCATATCGGGTCATCGAGCAGCAAGCTGGCAGGCAATTGCCAGTCAGGAGGCCGCGTGCCTTGATTTGGAGGGACCATCTTCCGTGATTTTACGGTAGTCAATTACAGTATTTTACACAACCTGGAAACTCCCAAACGATAACAGTCCACATAATCGAACACCTTATGCTAGGTCATTGGCAGCAGATATATGTTTTTGCGATGCTCAGCCATTCGTTCCGAGGGATGAAGAATATGCCCCTGCAACAGACTGCGCCTGGGCAGGGGCCAAGGTGATGGGAGCGGCAACACCTCTATACTCGTGTTATTTATAACAATGTTCCATTTTCAAACCGCTCTTAGCCAGTACCAGCCCTGGACCAGGTCGCAACTAGAAAATGAAGTGTGGGTAGCTACCTGACCAGCATCCGCAACCACACGCACAGCATTCGCCACGGCCTCTCACCCGCTTTTATGCTGTACAGATCACAACGTTTCAACGCGAAACAGCCTCTGGTGTTTCACGTTTGGCGACAGCTGGCATCTGACAAGCCATCTTCCTGTGTGTCGTACTTTCTGTCAGCTGCTGTATCCCGGGGCCAGCGGGGGGACGCAACGAAATGCTACGCATGCCTCAAGCTGCATAAAGGTCAACCAGATATAGTATAATGCACATTATAGTAATGTACTCACTGTAATGCACATTACAGTAATATAGTCCGTAATCTACATGGTTCAAATTTTAAAAAATTGACGGTGACATTGATAGCTTTCGCGGAAATGAAATGCTGTGAAGGATGACGTATGCCTAGAATTTACGCGAAGATTGACGAATCGCTGTGCGAAACTCTTGGCGAGCTGTGCTGGCAGCAACGACAAATGGAATTTCGAGTAAGGGCGGCGGGGTGTCAAATATAATGATCACGGGGATGTCAGCGCCAAGCAGCAAAGGGGTATGCCCGCCACGTCACCCAACGGACACCAGGCCTATCTCTGTGCCCGAAGGAAAGCTGAGCCGAGCCGAGCCGAGCCGAGCCGACCATCGACCAAGCCATACAAGGGCTGCCAACAGCCATGACCCCGTCAACAGCACTCCGCAACTCCAGCGCATGGATCCTCTGCCTGGCACGCGGGGTGTGGCCACGCTCGTGCGGGGGCAGCAGGGAAAGATGACGTGACGTGAGGTGTGGCTGGGGGGCCAATGGTCATCTGCAGCACTGCACCGGACCTGCGCCGTGTTTCTCAAAGTTACCGATGAATGGTCAGAGATGAGCCTGCGTGACCTAAATGCGGTGATCTGCGCGTCCAACCAGCGTCCAACCAGCGTCCTGCTCAAGAGCAGCATTGCCCCACAAGGCAACACAGCTTTTCCAAACCAAGCCAGCCCCAACGCCCTGCTGCATTCCCTGCTCTCCTTTTCCTGCTCCTCCCTTCCCTGCCATCTTCTGCTCACCAGCAGCTGAAATACGTCGGCCTCAGAGCTGTAATAGTTGTCTGAACGTGAAGCATAGGCCACACGCAGCACACGCCACGTGAAACCACGTAGAAATCAATCATAGAGGAGGATCTCACCGACCCAGCTTGGTGAAACCTCTCTACGCTTAGATCACGCAATTCTCAACGACCAGCCCGGAGAATCCTTCTGTACGCTTGAAATTAGTCCCCGCAATCCTCGCAGAATCACTTCGTTCTTTTCAAATTCGATTTAGACTCCAGCAAAATGACGTATCGACATCGAGATCAAGAAGCCACTTGTCTCGCGCCACCACCAATCTCTCCCTTCACCCCTCGCGGCCGAATCGACGAATTTAGCAGCCGCTCGCCGGACAGCGTTTCCGCTTCTCTCGACCGCAGTAGCGCTGGCGGAAGCGGACCCGGGGACGACTCCTCAGACCGCCTCATGCGCAGCTCGCAGTACTCCGCGGAACGATCTAGCGGTGGAAGCGCCGATGGGGGAAGCCTTTATGGAAGCGGAAGCAGCCACGGAAGCCCCAGTAGTGCCAGTCACTCGGCTCAGCAGCACCATTCGCATCGTCAGCAGCAGGGAGGGTTCCCTCCGGAACGGCGGGATCCGCGAATGAACCGCGTCGTCGTCGGCGGCGGAGCAGTCTACGCAGCGGCTGGCGCGACCACAGCCGAAATGGAGTACGGCTACGAGCGCTACAGCCATCCCGGCGCCAAGAGCGGCGCTATTGCCGGCGGCGGCGGGAACCACAGCCAGGTCGCTCCGCGAGGCGGCAGCGCACGCGCGAACAGCTTAGGTAGGCAGCTTTCGAGCTACGACAGCCCCATCGCTACTCGCGCTTCAGAATACGCCACCGGAAGCGCCGGGTACAGAGTCGCCGCCGGAAGTGCCGGGTACAGCAGAGCCGGTGTGGGGACTGGGTCTTCTTCTGGCCTTTGTTCCGGAGCGGGAGGAGGAGCGCAAAGCGCGGGGACGCGAAGAAGTGGAATCAGCAAAATGGGAGACGAGCATTTGAGCGCTGAGCGCGGATGGTGGGGCCATTCAATGAACGTCACGGAAGGTTGGTGGAGGGAAGGTGACAAATACGCAAGGGAATCAGCCTGCGCTGCTGCTGGGAGAGGGGCCGTTGTTGGCGAAGGAGCGAGATTTCTTACCGCACATAGTCTGGAAGGCAGTAGACAGGCAGCTAGGGTTATGGCCGTGTTGAACGCTGCGGCAGAGGAGGATGAGGATGCAGCGCACGAGGAAGTAAATAACAGGGGACCAGCAGGCACGGGGGCGGCGAAAACGTCACATCTGGCATCAGCCAAGTCCGTTGTTGCGATCATGGCTGTGGTGATTGTAGTATTGGTGCTGCTTCCTGCTTGCTTGTCAGACGTGGCCCCTCCACCTGCGGAGCTGATGCTAGTCCCTGTGGTTGTGATGCTCTTGCTGCTGACGCTCGTCCTCACTCCCACCGTCTCCTCGTTCCCTGCTCGCAGCCATCCTTGATACGTGTAGCTATTGCATTAGATGGGTACTACAATTGTTGCATTTTCCGCATGAGCACAAACAATACGATTTTTGGCAATCTTGGACTTGACATTCTTTTATCATTGTCAGTTGTATGTAGTGTACAAGTATGTTGAACTCGCTGAAATATTTGTAATGAAGTGAAAAATAAGAGGTTTGCGTCTTATCTGATGCGTTTGTATCAAGGCTTGGCGGTGTGCACCGTCAGAAGGTGGTGGAATCTCGTTTGCTGAACCACCAGAATTTGGACCGACGAACAAGCAGCCGTTCGTTGTCGGTTGGTTTCGTTTCGTCGTGTCGTCGTGACAGGTGACGGCACCGTGGCGCTTGCGGTTTCGCTGGGCGCGGAGCGGTGTTCTTCGGGCATTCCCGATGGTGCGAACAAAGGCCAGGACTGTAGTTCTGTACGGCACTGTATGCCACATGCAACGGCAAGCTGGGGAAATGTGGGTGGAGCTGTGGTGGGCAGATTGCCTTGGGCGGTTTGCCTCCCGCTGTCGAACTGAATGACTCGTTCGGACCACACCTGCCCTGACGTACATACGCTGCGCCTCGCAGTGACAGGGGATGGTGGAGGGACTTTCAGCGAGGCAGATCAACAACAGGGGATGGGATGGGATGGGATGGGATGGAATGGGATGGGATGGGATGGGAGGGGAGGGGAGGTGAGGGGAGGTGAGGGGAGGTGAGGGGAGGGGAGGGAGGTCTCAGGGGATGACATCGCCCAGTGGCAAACACCGTCTTGCCCTTCCTCCCCAAACCACCCGTAGCCCGTCTGTCTGTCAAAGCCGCGAGCCACTGGCCGCCAATCGCCAGCCAGAGGGAATAGCCTGAGCTGAACAAGTCGGAACAACAGACGGAAGATACAATCCCAAGGCATCCTCCGTCAACTGGGTCACATGAAAACTACTTGTCGCCCTAGGGTCTTAGCACACCGAGCATTTTGCAGATACATAAATTTTAGACGGGCCGACGGATTTCATGGCAAGAGACGGAGACGCGCTGACAGCATCTGTCGGCTGTAATTCGCTTCGCGCGCCTTTCTGGCTACTGCCTTCACCCACACAACGAGATATGATAACTGCAGGGAAGAGATGCTACAAGTCACTCAGGTGCTGCTCCAACAGCAGTGCTACCCTAGAAGTTCAGGACTGGCCAGCTTCGAGAAGTGGTAGCTTCAAGTATCGGTCGAGAATTCGTAGTTGATGTGCGAATATCTTATCCAGGTCGCCACAGCAGCGTCTGAACTCTTTTTCTGACGCACTTAGTGACGACAATGGCTGAGGTAGAGACAGCTCAAGAGGTTCATGATCAGCAGGCTTCAAGTGTCTGCAGTGAGGAAAGCGCTACTCTCAGTGACTGTGGCTCTGGAAGCGACATCATAATAACTCAGCAGCAGACTGACGTTTCTCAGCTCATGTACAGCCCTCATGCCGTTTGGGTCGTCGATCCGTCGACATTATCTGGCCAGAATGCGCTCACTTTCATGCAGAGCTTTCAGGGTTACTCTGCAGAGCAGCTCGCGTCCCTGTATCAGCAGTATCAGGCATTGAGTGCATATGCTGCCGTAGTCCACCAGCCATACCTTGGCACGCTCACCAATTACAGTGATTCGTGTCAAAGCGCTACTTCAGAACTTCAGTCAGACGCCAATCAGCAGAACATGATGGATATCGAGGCGATGCTGCAGCGCCTCAACCCAAATGCGGAGGAGTACGTGCCTTCATCAGTGCAGCACAGGCCGACTGCTGTTGTTCGGACTATTCCATCAAGGCTCGCTTCTTCCAAGAAGAATTCCTTGAAGAAGGTGAGACTCGTTTCCTTGGAACTCTGTACTTCTGGAGTCTCTGGACATATCCCATCTTACTTCATGCCTCCATCTTGTGTCCCAGGCGCAGAAGGTTCCTGCTTGTCCTGAACGATGGCGACGACAGCCAAGAACGGCGCAGATCTCCACCGAAGAATCCGTCAAGAGGACCGTCTATGTCTCTGACATTGATCAGCAGGTATTGAAACCATCCCATCTGTTACAGCGCAGTCATCTGAGTCCGTTTAGCTTCAACCCTTCATTTTTGTCTGTACCGCGTGCTCCTTTCGGCATTTCTCTTGTCTCTGAGCATGCACCACAAGTAACCGTTGATCAGCGTCGTCTCTTGCTGCTCTCCTCCGGATCCCTCTTGATCTGCAGGTTACAGAGGAACAGCTTGCTACACTTTTCTTGTCCTGCGATCAGGTATACCCCTCTTTTTCGCCCCTGATGGAGTCATCAGTGACATTGGTGCAAGCTTCGGTGACTTCAAGTTTTCCCTGCAATGGACTCATAGCTGTAATCCTTTTGTAACTCCTCATCGCAGGTCATTGATTGTCGAATTTGTGGAGATCCAAATTCCATCCTTAGATTCGCTTTTGTGGAGTTCACAAATGAAGGTAATCAATGATCTAGCATGTTCTGCTCGACTTACGATTCTTCATTTGATGTCCTAACACTGTTGGTGGATGTCACTTTGTGTCGCAGAGGGAGCAAAGAAAGCCCTGACTATAGCTGGAACCATGCTGGGCTATTATCCACTCCGAGTCTTGCCTTCAAAGACTGCCATTCTGCCTGTCAACCCCAACTATTTACCTAAGGTACGGACAAGCAGGCCGTTTTCCTCATTTTTGAGCATGTCACCGCTTGGTTCCGAGCAGATTCTATTTTGACATTTTTTCTTCACAATGTTTCAGAGTCAGGGCGAGAAGGAAATGTGTGCTCGTACTATTTATTGTACAAACATCGACAAGAAGGTAATTTCCATTCCAATAGCTTCCTGTTTCCAGGATGTCTGGCTAAGATGACTGACGTCCCTTGGTGCCTCTGCAGGTTGCCCAGTCTGATGTGAAGCTGTTCTTTGAGTCACTTTGCGGAGAGGTATGTTGTGCAGAATAAGACAGGCTTCAAGCTTCGTTTTCCTGTTCTTAGTCCCTCGCCTGTTTGTGCAACAACAGGTTTCACGCCTTCGCTTGCTTGGGGACTGTCAGCACCCCACCAGGATTGCCTTCGTGGAGTTCGTGATGGTAATCTTCCTCTTCTTGCTAAACAGCTGAGTTTCCAGACCCATTTTCCCTGATCTTCTAACATCGTGTATATATGCCTATGCAGGCGGAGAGTGCTATGGCTGCTCTGAATTGCAGTGGAGCCATATTGGGTAGCCTCCCAATCAGGTAGATTATCCATCTTCACTTCGAAGAAGCTTGCTTTTTTCCTTCCGAAGTACAGTAACTGACAACTACTCCCTCTTTGCTGCTTTCAGGGTCAGCCCATCTAAGACCCCTTTGCGGCCTAGGGGTCCACGGCAACATCTCCTACGCTAGCCCTGGCCAGACTGCGTCACACCTTTGGTCAAAGCCCCAAGACTGCAAGATCAAATTCCTGGACGCCTTGCAATCAGAGTGTACAGAAGGGTTGCTTTACCACCCTGTTGCTTTGCGTTGTCTACGGTTTAGTGTATCAATGTCCCTGTCCACCTCATATTTAGCGCAAGCTAATGATCTGTCATCCTCTCTACACCGAGCAATGTTGTATAATAGCAACAAGGGCATTTTCTTAAAACATGCGGCCCAATTGTTCAAACGCACTGCGTATGAACTTTGACCCTCAGGCTGTACGAAATATGAGAAATCTTTTGTAATAAAAAAATTACAGATCGTGATTCGACTAGACGATGAGTTTGCTGTAAAGGAGACAAACTCCTTCATCTATCGGCAGGTCTTTCAGAGCTGCCACCTAGTCTCATTTGCATTTTTCTGTTCCAACGTGTATACCACCAGCACACTCTAAACCTCTATGCCCAGATCTGGGCATAGGAGTCTCTTGCTGCAAGACGTCCTTTCTGTCAGATATTCTACAATGGTTAGCGGACTTATTTCCGCTGCAAGTGGTAGGCCTCCCGCTCCTCGTGTGAATACTAGGAGTGGTGGAAGGCGTGGGTCCCCTGTACGTGAGGGGGACCGAAACTCTTCATCTCAGCATAGAGAACGATCTTGTTCTCTTCGTCCTGGCGGAGGTAACGGCGCCGTTACCGCTTTGGATTTGCTGAGTGGCGCGCGTCAAGACCCGGTTCAGCACGTCGAAAACGCGGCAGGGGACGCGGATCGTAACATGTCATGCAACCGCGATTTCCCCCCCGGATTTCAAGGCGAGCGGCGTAACGAGCAGAACCGCGTCGACACGAACCCGACTGCCGAAAACGCCCCGTCCCGGCCCTCACCTACCGAATGTTAACGTAGAAACGAATGATTACTAGAGGTGGAAACCTAGAACAAATACTAGTTGGTTGTACTCACTAGAAGCATACCTCAGTCTAGCCTATAACTTCTACATAGATAATATGTATAAGTTGACACACCCCCTAGGCTAGACAAGGGGTGAAACTAAACAAGAAGCAAACAGCTCAGGGCGGCACTACTAGTCCAACCACTGAGGCAGGGGTCTGGAGACCAGTCAGCAAGAATACAACCAAAACTGAAGCAAGCCAGGGTGGCACTACTAGTCCAGCCACTGGAGGTAAGGCCACAAGGCCAGTCTGACAAGCATATATAATAGAGAGTACACAATCAGGATCCTAACAGGGGAGCAGCTATAGGAACAAGACCAAGCTGTACACAGTGCCGCTGATGATCTTTAGGCGCAAGCGCCTTAGTAAAGATATCAGCTGTGTTGGCACTTGAGGCCAAGTGAACTACGCGGGCCTGGCGGCGCTGCTGTAGCTCGCGCAGGAGGAAGTACCGCAGCTGGATATGCTTCGCTCTGCCCTCAAGCCGAGGCTCCTGACACAGGAGTATCATGGCCCTGTTGTCAGCGTACAGGACCGGGGCAGAGCTAGGCCGCTCACCTAAGTCTGTGAGCAAGAAGGTCAGCCAGCGGAGCTCCTGTGCCACCATGGCACCAGCGTAGATCTCAGCCTCACAGCTAGACTGAGCCACAGACGACGAGCGAGTGGATCTCCAAGAGATAGCACCCGAACCAAGGCTGAAACAGTAGCCCTGCGACGACCTGAGCGTCTCAGCGTCGTCTGCCCAAGAAGCGTCTGTGTGCCCAGTAAGGACCACTGGCCTGCGTCCTCCTAGCACTAACCCCATGCCTGATGTACTAGCAAGATAACGCAAAACCCTCTTAGCGGCAGACCAGTGCTGAGGTCGGTGTCTGCCTGTAGCCACAAAGCGAGCCAGGATGCTGAGAGGGTATGCGAGATCTGGGCGAGTGCAAGTCATCAAGTACATGAGGCAACCCACCAGCTCTGCGTAGGGGCCAGTGGGCTCTACTGGCTCCTCAGGAACGGGAGCAGAGAGCCCATGGTCTACGGGTAGAGGTGTGGGCTGTGCGGAGGAGAACTGAAGACCGAACCTCTGAAGGACCTGACGCACCAAGTGTGACTGGGTCAGAGTGATGGTGCGTGCTGCTCTGTCCCTAGAGATCTGCAGGCCAAGATAGCGACGCAGCTCTCCAAGGTCAGTGCAGGTGTGTCTCTTCAGCAGCTCAGCCTTCACAGAGGCCAGTGCGTCCCTGTCAGGAGTAGCGAAGACCAGGTCGTCTACGTAGACAAGGATGTAGAACGGAGTCTGGCCGGAACGCACAAACAGTGAAGGGTCAGCAGAGGACGGAAAGAACTGCAGGTCTGCTAACGTGGCACGTAGCGTGTCGTGCCACTCGCGGGGAGCCTGACGCAGGCCGTAGACCGGGCGCCTGAGAAGCCACTGGGTCCCAGGGGGGAAGGTACCAGTGAAGCCCTGTGGTCGGCGCAGGTAGACCTGCTCGTGTAGGCTGCCCTGAAGAAAGGCAGTAGAGAAGTCGAGAGAGTGAAGCTCGTAGTCACGCTGTGCTGCTACGTGTAGCAGCGCCCGAAGAGTGGTCATCTTCGGGGTCGGGGCGAAGGTCTGGAAGAAGTCAACCCCCTCGCGCTGACTGAAACCTCTGGCCACGTAGCGCGCCTTGAAGACAGGCGGCTCTCCAGGGGGGCGCTTCACCTTGAAGAGCCACCGACCATCGACTACGTTCACCCCAGGCGGGGGAACTGCGTCGACGTAAGTGCCGGTGGATCTCCAGGATGCCATCTCCTGCTCCATGGCAGCTATCCACTGAGAGGCCCAAGGTCCCGAGGTGGCCTCAGCGTAGGTGCGAGGGGTCGGGATGTCGAAGGCGTCTGGGTCACCCTCAGGGACTAACAGCATGGAGCAGAGATGGGGAGCAGCCTCGGAAAGGAAAGCCAGCTCGTACTGCCTGTCCTCTAGGACGTCACTGCCAAGGGCAGGAGCACCCCCGACGGACAGAGGACGGGCAGGGTCAGAGACCAGAGCGGTAGCGTAGTCAAGGCGGCGGGTAGAAGCGAAGTCAGCGACAGCAGCGACAAGCGCGTCAAGGCGCGAGACAGGAACAGCAGGGTCGGTAACAAGAGAGGCAAGGACCCGAGGGACAAGGGGACGAGCAGCACGGAGGTAGTCAGAGAACGGAGGAGGTGCAACAGCAAGGGACGAGGGAGGAGGGGACGGGAGGAGGGGAGGACGAGACGAGTGGGAACGGAGCAACATAGGGTGGGTGGGCAGGACAGGAGAGACGGGACGAGCACGGGAGGGACGGCGAGCCCAAACGTGAGACGGAGGGGTAGGGTCAGGGGACAGCGGAGGAGACACAGGAGGGGAACGAGGAGGAAGACGGGCCGGAGACGAGTCTGGCGGCGGGAACACAGGACCGTAGACAGGGAGGTCAGGAGGCGGTGGGGGAGACACCGGCGCGCGGTCCGGGGAGGGAAGGCCGAGCAGGCGGAGAGCGGAAACCGGCAGCGACGGCTGCTGTGGCGGCGACGACGGCTGGGCCGGAACTCTCGGACCAGCAGAGGCAGAACGACCGTCGGCAGAACACTCAACAGCAGCACCCCCAGAACCAACACCCCAAGAGCGAGAACCCCCTCCAACACCAGCGGCACCCCCAGAAGCCGCAGGACGAACACCCTCCTCCACACCAGCACCCCCAGGGGCCGAGAGCAGCGGCGGCAGTGGCGGCGACAGCGGCGACGGCTGCGGCGGCGACGGCGACGGCGGCGGCAGCGGGGTCGGCGACTGCGACAGTGGGGGCGGAGGCACTGGGGAAGGGGGACGCGGCAAGGACGGACCGGGGGTACCACCAGAGTCAGCAGACTCCTCAACGGGGACAACCGACGGGAGGGGAGTGACGTGGGAGACACCAGACGGGGCAGGACGAGGCGGGAGAGGGGCAAGGGCTACCGGGGGAGAGGGAGCAAGGAAAAGGGGGGGGGCAACTGGGAGACCTCGGTGAGGGAAGCGGCGGTAGAAGGAGACGGACTCGTCAAAGGTGACGTCACGAGACTGGAGGAAGCGGTGAGACGGCGGGTGGTAGAAAAGCCAGTCAGACGAGTCCAGGGGGAAACCGAGGAAGACACAGGGGACAGTGCGGGCAGTGAGCTTGTCCGTGCCAGAGGCACGAACGTGAGCAAGGCAGCCCCAGACGTGGAACGCAGACGCGTCACCGGGGGACCCGGTCCAAAGGAGGGTCGGCGAAACCTGCGGCCGCTGGGAGCGTGGCCACAGGTTAAGCTGGTGAGCCGCGTAGCGAACAGCGAACGGCCACAGAAAATGGGGGGCATCGGCATGGATCATGGAGGTACGGGCGACCTCCATGACCAAGCCGATGCGGCGCTCAGCAACCCCATTCTGCTGTGGCGAGTCCGGCAACGTGTACGACTGGGTGATGCCCTCCGCACGACAGAACTGTCCAAGCCGACCAGAGGCGAACTCGCCGCCACGGTCGGAGTGGAGACACAACACGGGGAGACCGCGGTGGAGACGCGCAGCTACAACCCACGGGAGAAGAACGTCGGGCACGTCGGCCTTCCGCTCCAGGGGAAACACCGTGGTGTAGCGCGTGTAGTCGTCAACGAGCACAAGGAAGTAGCGCTCACCGCGCGGTCCGGGGACGGGGGCAGGGCCCCAAACGTCCAAGTGCAGGGTCTGAAGGGGGGCAGTAGCAGGACGCAACGAGGAGGAGTGAGGAGCACGGCGGAGCCGACCCTCGACGCAAGGCGTGCACGGTGGCGCAGTCGAGGGAGGAAGGGCAGGGAGCGACGCGGGGAGACCTAAGACAAGACCGTGCTGGGACATGTGACGCAGACGCGGGAGAGCAGGGTGACCTAAGCGGTGGTGCCAGAGAAGGGAGGGGTGAGTGAGGGACCGACACGAGCAAGCTGCAGCGACCTGGGAGGACGCACCAACCGGGGGGGAAGCGGTGTGTAGGGTAAACAGACCGGACACCGGGTCCCGGGGGAACGTCGCAAGGGGGAACCTGAGACAGCCTCAGAACAGACAGCGAACCGCTCGTGCCCGGGGAACGTGGTGGTGACGCCGAGGTCCTGGAGACAGCCGACACCAACCAGGTTCCTGGAGAACGAGGGAACGTGGAGGCCAGTAAGGGAGCCCGAGGGAACTGCCGGACAGGGAAGGGACGTAGAACTGCGCGCGACGACCGGACCCGCAGAGGGGTCAGCGAGAGAGACAACAGCAGGTGCAGCAAGCGGCGTGAGCGTGGAACGGTCGCGGAAGAAGCA